AATATATATATACATACAAACTTATTGGTTACTTATTTATGCGAGACTCGCATGTGGTCGAGAATGTGTAGAAGGTTCATACTTCGAGTCGAGCGAGGGAGGGGGCTAAGCTGGTAGCAAAAAAGCTTAATGTCATCGCTGCTTTGAGCTCTGCACTTGGTCTGTTCTAATGCCTCAAATGGGGACGTGTAACCTTAGGCTTAAAGTCCGTTACAATTCCAGTACCTCTTGACCATACTAACTGCAACAGCAAATGTCAGGATCTAGTTGAAGCTGAATGTTGTATATTCCCATTGCTCATTATTTGTGAGTGCTTGCTATTCACGTTCACTGCTTCAGAACAAACTACCGCAACTCAGATTCACTCCTTGGCTTACTCAATGCACGTAATACATCCCTTTCTGCTCTGCTCTCGACTCATCGCTCACGCGTTCGATCGCTCTGCTCGAGCTAGTGCAAAAAATATTCGGATGATGTCATCTTGACAACGTGAGGTGTGTACGTTAGACCTACCACTTGGGTGAGGTACACCATGGTAACCCACCCTTGTGTATTGTGATCCACCCAAGGTGCATTCACATTGAAAGGGATGACGCCTAGCAGAGACTGACGTCATTTGATGACGTCACGAAAACACAATCCATATTGAACCCGGATTCCTTCCCGCAAAAAGCGTACTAATCTGGTCCGACAGGCAGATAAGAGGGTACTAATTTGGTCCATGGTAGAATCATAATCCAATGCAGTAAACATATTAGAAAGTCCATGGCCTAAAAAAGCACAGCAAGCAAATAGTGCGCTCAATCAAATGTGGTGGAAACAGACTGTCTATTTACCGTTTATGGTTTACAAGATTTCTGAAAAGTCCTCAGCCATTCCAGTACCCCCGGAGTTGTCTCCTGGCGGTTACGTGGGCTATGCAGTACTGGCTGCCGGATGTTGATGGTGTCTTGGAACATTTCCGTTGCTAGGCGAAGGTAGACGCCTTTGCTTACATCTTTATCCTTCGTTGTTCCCTGATAGCGACCGCTCGGAGTTGGCGAAGAAGGACTTGTTTGACTTCTGTAGCATACCCAGACCTGGTATTCCGTGAGAGTGTGTCCGTGATCCCAGAGTTGTGCCGGTGACTGCGACATCGGGAAGTGGTTACCGTCCTGTGAGCCGTCTCGTTGATGTAGCCTGGTAATTACCGCCGTAAGTGCTGGATGAAGCTTTCGTTTGGCGCGATGGAATGGTTGGCGTTGAAGCGCCTTGAATGCGTGCATGTTGTTGATGGAAGGTGGGAGACTCCATGGAAACCCATGTAGCAGCGGATGCGCTGTGAATACAAGCGCCGTGTTGCGTGTTTTCTGTTGTAGATCCACCAGCTCCTGTTGATCAGCTTCTGGCACATCGGTCATGTGATCAATGATCCAATGGAGTCCGTCGTTGGCTTGATGGAGGACGATAAGGGCGTGGTTGCCGCCGGCGTTTGCTTTCTGGCGCCCGAGTGTGACCCCCTGGTCCAGCAATGTCCAGGTGTACGTGTTCAATACCTCCGGCCCGTTCCGCAGCGTAAGCTGAGCCGGTATTTGCATTTCTTCTGCTTCGTGCAGATAGGGACTTGCCATAAGTATGGCTGTTGCCCATAGCCCTAGTTTAGGCAGCGTGTGGTAAGTATTCAGTTTCGTTGTTGGGACCCGAATACGGTAATCCAGCGTTGACACTCGCCGAATGTGTAGCTCAGCTAGCGTGCAGGCGGGTAGTAGTGGATATTTCTTTGTTGATAGCATAATCCCCTTGTCATCTATTATCCAAGGATTCTGATCCCACCTGTAAGTCGCCCAAAAGTCTTTGTGCTCCTGGGTGTACATGTTTGTAATAGTCGGGATATCTTCATAATATTGGAGAAGTAAATCCTGGTCCGACCTGGTGGCCACGAGGTGCGTCACTAGGCGCTTCAAAATTCCATCACGATGCTGTTTAATGATCGTCCATTCTTCTGACGTCGGTGCGATCCACGCGCTTAATTCCGCTCTGATTTCCGGTTGTAAAGCCATTAGCGTGCTGTTTCTACCGGCTTTGGGTGATGCCGGTGAGATTCTCCACATAGCTGAGTCCTCCATATCTTGAAATGACCACGCTGCCCAAGCATAGAAGCAGCGATCGCGTTTCTGAATCAGCCACTTCATCGCATGCTTAATATTTTGAGTGCATATGGCGACGTCTATGGAGACGAGCCCTATCCCCCCGCCCCGCGTGGTGTGTATAGCAGGCCTGGATTGACCTTGTGTCTGCTGTTGCATGTAGACGTGGTGTGATGCCACATAAATTGCTTCTGTATGTTGTGCAGTTCTGCTCGAGCCCATTGCGGGAGCCGGAAGACAGCAGCTGTAAATAAGACTGCTGGTAGCATGACAGCATTCAGTAGCAGTATCCTCACGGCGACGCTGGTTGAGAGGCTTGCCGCGGTGGCTAGACGCTTTCTGACGTTTCGAATCCGTAAGGCCCAATTTGCGTCAACCAGGTCTCCAGTCCCCACCTGGTACCCTAAATACCTAGTCGTTTGACCATGACGGAGTACTGGAATTCCTTCATAATCGGAGATTGCGACCGCTGTATTGAGGAAAATCAGTACACTCTTTGCTGGTTGTACAGACAGCCCTGAGAGCTCCCCGAAGCGATGAACGATGATCATTACCTCCGGTATCTGCCCCGCGTGGTGTAAAAAAAACGTCGAATCATCAACAAAAGCGGAGAAATTTTGTTCCTGGGTAGGAATGCCTGGATGCCGCAACCCCCGTATCTGGGTACTTTGCAGTAGTGCGATTGATAGTATTTCTGCCACGAGAAGAAAAAGTAGTAATGCTAAGGGACAACCCTGTCGGATGCCCGTGAGTACGGGAATCGGGTCGGATAATATCCCATTGACTACAAATCGGGCGGTAGTGTTACGGTGGAGGTTCCGAATCATTGTAATGAAGGACTCCGCAAACCCGAAATACCGCATAACTTCAAATAAAAAATCGCGCGAGACCGTGTCATATGCCTTGCGAAAATCCAGCAATAAAATTGCTCGACTATATGCAGGCTCCAGGTCCGGTTCGTGTTGCGCCGTTAAAAGGTGTGCCATCATCATCATGACTGTTTTAGACATTTGTCTTCCATGTACAAAACATTGTTGAGTGTCTTGGATAGGAACCCCTAACACTTTTTGTACGCGATGAGATAGTACCTTGGCGACGACTTTGTAGCCTGACTGTAGCAACGCTATCGGTCGATTATCCATTGCATCCGCCGAATCCCCCTTCTTCCGGAGCGGGATGATTAATCCCTCCAAAAAGGAGGCTGGTGGCGTTCTTCCCTGCAGTATGTCGTTGCCTATCGTGACGAGTGCCGGTGCAAGTAGTGCTTGATAGTCCTTAATGAAATCGTTGTTGAGCCCGTCCGGCCCAGCCGCTTTATGTCGGGAGAGCGACGTGGTGGCCCGGAGGACCTCTGCCAACGAGATAGGTTCCATGAGTATCTCGTTGTCGTCCTGGGTTAGGATACGATCGGTTGGCATGGTTATAAAGTCTTGTAACGCCTGTTTGAGAGTTGCGGCGGGTACAATACTGTGAATGTGACAGAGAATTGGCCGCCACTCGGATGCGAAATGGTTTGCAGTTGTGTCTCCTTTGCGGAAAGGCTGCCCATTGATCCGTCGCAGCCCGGAAATGGATTGGTCTTTTTCCCAGTTCGAGGCCCGCTTGAATTGCCATCGCAGACTATCCATAGTCCGTTCCAGGCAAAGACCCTGTCGAATAGTTTGTGCCAGTCGAAGCTCCTCTTCAATTGTCTGTATGAAACTCTTTCGCGTCAGCAGGTGCGTGCGGGCCTGAGCCTGGATTCTCTGTCGGAATCGACGTGCCCTCTGCGTTTCCTTTTTCGTTATTCGACGGATACTTGAGCCGCAGTCGAGGACCGCTTTGTCCCATGTCCTCGTGTTGACTTCCCGTCCGACCTCCCGACGTATTAACTCCGCTAAGAGCTCGTCGTGGACTCGCGCTGGCGTCTGCGTTCGAATGGGATAGTGAACTGGCTGGGTTTTATTTCTTTGGTTCCGTCGCGGTCCACCGACCGCAACATGCAAGATAATTTGTTGATGGTCAGAATGAAACACAGGCAGTTGTACTTGTACCTGCTGGACGACCGCTGTCCACGACGTGCCTACATAAAATCGATCAATCCTGCTGGCCGACCGTGCATTCCAAAATGTGTAGTAATCCACCGGCTCCGGTACTTCGTCCTCCATTGCCGAAGCCGCCAGAGTCTGAGCGTCTTCGAGTCCTAAAGCTTGAAGTAATGTCTCCAACTCCGGGCTTTCGGGACGTCCCGACCGCAAACCTCCCAATCTGTCGAGATGGGGACTCTGGACACAATTAAAATCGCCAAAGAGCACCACCTCTAATTGAGGCCATGGCCATTCCCGCATGAGACGGAATAGACGTTCCCTCTCCTGTCTGTCATTAGGAGCATATACGTTGACAAGCAAGATGGAGTCGACTATGACTGCTATCACCCGTTTAGACCACAGCTCCGGGTGCCACCGTTGGCACACTTGTTGCTTACGCGGGTCGAGTAGGATGGCTACTCCCCCGGTCTTATCGGCGCTAACGCTCCAGTATGATGATTCCGTGTGACAGTCCGAATATTGCGCACCCCAGTTGGTTGACCACGAGTCTGCTGCCTCTTGGGCCGCGCTCGCCGAATCAATGTGTGTCTCTTGTAAACCCAACGCAATGGTATTGGTTCTTTTACTTTGTACCCTTCAACCGCTCATCCATTTGTGCCGGTCCACCCGTTTAAAACCCCGGACATTTTGTGAATGGTACATTCCTGTCCCCCGTCCGTCCGTTTGTTTGGCGACGGGAGAGGCATCGGGAGCGAAGAGCTCCTTGACATTAAGGTGTTCCGTATACGCGTCCCGTCCAAGCTCCGCAGCTGTAGGCTCAATACACCAGGCGTCAGCCTCGGTGCCCTCAGTATTGAAGAGTCCGTTGGACGGACTCGTGTGCGAGGGATGTCGCGAAAAATGCGTGAAGCACGCTCCAATCCTGCAAGGTAGAGGCGTCCTGGAAGGCTCGTCGATAATCACCGTGCGACCGGCTTGCCTCTAAATGGCGCCTGATCCTGTCAGGTACCGCTTCATCCGCCTCAGCCGGTTTTCCTGTCAAGGCTTTGATATCTACATTGTGTAGGATAGCGCAAATAGTATGCCATGCAAAATTGCTTTTTTTGCAACGTCACAGCGGCGTAAGAGGTCGTCACTGCCATACCCGCGTTCCCGTAATTTGTCCCAGTCATCCCTGTTGTCGATCAGCGGCGCTAAAAGTGCACTACCTGATAGGCTAGTCGTTCGTGCTTTCCAGTCGTCGAGCCACACTTGTGTTGGGTGGTCAGTTGTCCGATTTCGATACTCCATGAGCCCCTGATACATGCAGTCCTGTCTCCACGCAGCCATCCAGGCTAGTAAGACCTCGTCGCTTAGGGCATTGAGGAGGTTATGCTGGAAGGGAAAGTGCTGGAGCAGCTGCATCAGCTTGATCGGTTCTGCAAGCACTGCACGGCGCCACTGCTCATTGCTGCTGTCGAGCGTTGGAAACTGTACCCCAGAAGCTGAATGCCACGTCTCGCTCCAGGATTGCCACATGTCCTGCCAGGGTCCATTCGTAAGCATAGGAATCTCCGGGCGAGTTAGCGCTGCCTTGCCTCCCGCATTGCCCTTCCCTTTCTTGAGCACTAGTGCGGTGTGCTTATTTTTGGTTTGACCCTTCTGCCTCTCCGTTCCGTCCGGTGTAGTTGGACGTGCCCGTTTGTTTGGCTTGAAACGATTGGGCGTTTGTGGAACATGAACGACTAGCTGTGACTGACCACTAATTTCGTGTTCCTTGCTTTGATCTGGTCTCGCGTCACGGACACCGTGGCAACCGTGACTCCAGGTCACAATATCTTGTTGTTTTTCCTGTGCTCCCCGGTTATTCTCTGGCTGATGCAGATCATTCTCGTGGCGGAGAGTTCGCCACTGTTGCAAGATACATGGTTCGAAATGATGCTGCTGTTGCAGCTGGATGACATCAATGTTGGTGGCATCCTTAATATCCGTTATTGCTATCCGTTCTTGGTCGTTGTGCGAGAGGTCCGGTACTGTAGACGTGAGAAATGTTAGCAAATCGCGCAATCGCTCTGGATCATCGCTTTGCAGAATCTGATGAATGTCTAGTTTGAGCTGATGCGGGACGGCTAGTTCCTGACAGCGCTCATGCAGCACGTCCAAATGTCCGTCTCCCAGTTCCACATTCCAGGGGTCAAAGGGACCCACGCTCATACTCTCATCCGTAAAGTCGTAATTTGCGCCTTTTTCCTCCGTCAGTTGCTCCTCCCCAACGTCAGTCATGGCCACGTCCGAAGTACTGGATGCGTTAAGTTTTTGTGAACCTGTTCTGGTGGCCGAGCCTGAATCGGTGGATTTAAGTGTAGTCCTCTGGTGAACGAATGCCGAGTAATGTCCTCCTTCGTAGTGTAACACTAAAGGCGATTGACCGGCCTCGTTTAGCTTGTCCTGGGCAATGAGTCGGCCACATTCCGCCGCCGTTAGTATCAGTTGTTCGCCTGTCTCGATAATTTTGTTGTTTCGACTCATGGAACTCGGCCTGTACAGGCTGCAGTGCCAGTCATCACTACCTTACCCACCCTTGGCAATGACGTAAATGTTTCTGCGTAGAAAATTAGCCGCCATGCAGAGCGTTTCACATCCACCCCAATTGTGGACGTGAACTTTTGCGTTCCTCTCAGACGGACTCTTGCCGTATTCCTCCAGGTACCATTTAAATTGCTTCTTCGACGCTAATGGCTCCATGTCCGTCCATCCTCGTTGCACTGCTATGAGTGTGGCTACTCGTGTGTCATGCAGAAATTTCTCCCCAAGATGAAGCTGTCCTGCATGCTTGATTCCTCGTTTAAGTCTACCCGTCGCTGCAGCCAGCTGGGTGTCCTGTGCCGCTAAGTCTGTATCACGTAACGCTTGCACAATGGCCATCGCCATGCAGTTGCCTGTTGCCGGTGTTGTGACTGCTCGAAGCTGGAGCTGCCCGGCCATGTCGTCGACGGCCCGGAAAGCGGTGTCAATCGGCTGAATCAACTTGACCAGAGGTTGTCTTTCCGTCTGTGAGGGTGCGATGAGGCCAAGCAGATGAGATCGTTCCCTCTGTAAAAGCCCCATTAATTGGGGCTCCGCTAGAATTGGCGGTGGATTTTTCTTGAGGATCCGTAATTGTGACATCTCCGTTGGTGTCCGGAACGGTGTCTCCGTGATCACCTCTGTGACCGACCCCTCAATAATTTCGGACTCCTCTCCCCGGAGCCCCTGCATCTCCTGTTCCTCATCTACCCCTGCTTCAGTCTCCTTCCCGGAAAGTGCGTCATAACGAGTTAAAACCTCGGCGTGTTTCCGTGCTGGCTTGTTCTTGTATTTAAAGCGCCGTCGTCCAGCCCTTAATAATACTGTAATCCATGTGGCTTTAGGCTTCGGTTGTGGTGGTGCGTCCGTGGGGACGGAAGCTGTAACTCCGGTGATGTTGTCGTCAATGGATATCGGCGGTGAGGACGCCTCCGCGCCTACTACTGGATCGAATTCGGTACGGTCCTCCGCCGTTGGCTGAGGTTGAAGCCCGCGTTTAGAAAACTCCGCCGTCTCTTGATGAATGTGTCTTCTGGTGGCCGCCGCTGCCTTCATTTCCTCAAAGTTGGCAAACGGCTTGGCTACATCATCCAACGTAACCATTTCCTGCTCTGTGACTATTAAACAACCTGGTCCCCGCAATTGCTCATCTGTATATACACATCGTGCCAACGTGTGGCCAATATTTCCACATCTGAAGCATTGAAGTCTCCGGCCAACATGGGGATGCTTGAGGATGATAATCATGCCTATCCAACCCCAAATCGAACAATTCCTCGTAGAAATTCCGGACATCCTGCCAACCTGAGAGTCAGTCGCCATACATTGGATGTTCGTGACTCCGGCGTGCAGGTATCCATGTCCTCGAGGTCATGTGTCACGGGACTGTGCTTGCTGATAAACGCCGAAATTTTTCCGATGTCGACAAACCGGGAAATGTTGTACATTCGAATCTCGTATTCCACGGCCCGATGGGATCTGGTACTGCTTGCTCCCACCTGTCGCTCCCATGCTGATCCTGGGGATGGCCCATGCCTGTTTTCCAGCCTGTAGACCGCTTTCTTGAACGGGACCGTCGCATTCTGAAATTTTCTTGCTGTTCCTCTGTCGAAAAAGAACAGGTGGATGGACTTGTCAACGTGATTGTAGCTGATCGCCTTCAGGGTTCGCAGGAGGTCGTATAAGATCTGCCGGTTGACCTTGGTACTTTCTGCTGCCAGCAAATTTCCTCTTTAAGAGCCTGCGTGTGTCGCCGGCTGGCCGGTACGGAGCTTCCCCCACTGAGACGGAAGCGCAACTCTCCTTCAACTTGGGCCTGAATGGTGCTGTGAAGCCGCAGCAATTCTGTGGAACCGTATATGTTTTGGAGGAACAGAGGCAGCCGTCTGGTCACTATGTCGCCCTCCGCCAACCCGCGGATGATAATCCATTCATCGGCGGACCCCTCCCTCAGCTCGTGTCGCACCCCCATGCGCTGACCTTTACCACAAATTGCTTTTAATCGGCTGCACTCCTGTGGGGAAAATTTGGCCGGATTGAACATGAATTTCTCGTACCGAAGCGACGAAACTGGGTCTGGTTGCTCCGGGCTGGGATCGTTCTGTCCTGTGACCTTCGCCGCCCATTAACTTAAGGCTGGCTGCTGGGACCAGCGCAACTTGCTCAGCATCCTTTCCAAGATGGTCGTTAACATCCACGCTGTGTTGAGTAAGTCCGTGCTTATGCTTGTCGCATACTGTTCCCACTGCTGATAGGAGCAGTTGGCTTTAACACACGCCTCCTCAAAAAAGGATGTGAGAAGCCGTCGTTCCGCTTGCTTCAGTTTCGGGTACCGGACCTTCTGTGGCGAAAGTCGCTCCCGTCGCGCCGGTATCGAATTGTAGACATCCGAAAAGAGGTATGCCACCGTTACTTGCCATGCCTCCCGTAATGCCGCATCAGGCGCCTCCTTAATTTCGTGAACTAGGCTTGAGTACAGTTCCTCTGGTCCCAATGGTTGCGGCACCGAGTGCGCTCTATTACTGGAGCAATTTTCAGCTGCGCCCTCTTCTTCCTGCGACCTTGCTGTGCTCTCTTGCTGACCGCTCTCACAATAGACGGTTCCCGCCGACCCAGCATGCCCCTCCTCATATTCCAATTTGCGTCCCTCCTTGGTCGGCTTCCGTAGTATCTTGGCACCGGACCCTGTCGCTGGCTTTCCTGACTCGTGCGCGTCAGCCGACCGTAAATCCCGCCCTCGAGGGGTTACCGAGTTCTTCACTCCGCCTACCTGGTCATCGCGCATTATTCCATTACCTGTATCACCGTCCTTGGTTGCTGGCACCAATCCACCCCCATGGGGCGGGTCACCGGACCTACCATCCGGCTCATCCATATTGCTTGGCTGTACTTTACCCCTTAAGTACGAAAATCCCTGTGTTGTCGCCACTCCTGGTCGACTGCCTCCGATTGGGCGTTTTTACGAGTGACTCTCTCAATTAAATGTATCCGCAGTTGCTTGGCTACATTCTCATTCGTGAAATGTTCTTTCGAATTCGGTAGCATGACGATACAAAATAGAGCTTTTGGTGAACCCATGCTTTAGCTTTGGAAGTGACCAGTAATTCACTCAGTCATTTTCAAATTGCCTACTTCGCACTCAATCAACATATAATGCGTCTAGCTCTCTCTCTTCTGGCGATCCCTTTGCTCGCTGCGACGCCTACTGTTGCAGACACATATACCAATGTCACGGAGACACCTGAGCGTTTGGATTATTTAAACACCGCTTTAGATGACTTCCATACTAACCCCTCATTTAATAATGATATACCGTCCCTGTGCTACTATGGCGTGGGAAGAATATGCGAACATTCACCAAAAAGAGACGAATCGGAATATAAATTCTTATACAACGTTCAAGGCGATGAAGTGGATGATTATTTTTCTTTACCGTCCCCACCATTTTGCCCATCCACTTTCCCTCTGTCATCGTATCAGGTGAAGATCTCTGTTGATAGGTTGAATGGGAATATTCTTTTACATTCTTACACGAAGCGTAAAGATGGAAATTTTAGTTGTGTTGACACAACCGAGTACGTGATTGAAAATGCTGCATCATTATTATGTAGTGCTTTATGTGGAGTATAGTGTCACAGTCCGTCTTACTTTGTTGTCATTGCTTTAACTTCTTGTTGTTTCCGATGATACTGAAGGCACATAGAAAACGGTCCGAGGTGTACTGGTTAATAGCCGTCAGCGAATGGGCCATCCATACAGCCAAAAGGAGTTTAGCAACCCGACACAAGTCTGAGAGAATTTGTTGTGGCCGCTCTCGTAATGACAGTGGTCATATACCAATGCATTAAAGACGATGTGAACGCAGTCGCTAACTTACATAGCCGTGGGCAGTTGGTGAGATCGAAGAGCAAGAAAAAAGAGAAGCAGCATTACGAGAGATAAGAGTTGAATGAAAATGTTGCACTAATTGTCCTCTTGTGAGTTTGTTCTATTTGGAGTGTGTGTGTGCATTCTGTAGCCCACGAGCTGTCAGCCGTAATCAGGAGTTGACAGCTCTGACCCCGTATGAAGAGTTAATACTCTTTGGCCATTCAGTAGGATACATATCTAGATGCAAAGCTTGGTATGATGTGTATATCATGTCGCAACAGCAAGTATGTGGACTCTTTCTCTCGTGCATAATGGTTGTAGGAGAGGCTAGCACTGAGGGGGTAAATGGTTTCACTTGCATTTGATGGTATCTGCTACGAAAAGCCTACGCTAGAAATGTGGCGACGTCGATACCACTCATGCCGCATGTTGTAAGTTATCTTGTCAAGCCCGTGCTGCTGATACAAACAGCGAAGCATCGTGGTTCACGTGTTTAGAGCTACTATGGGAAGTAGTTGCATGTTTCCATTCCTTGCACGTAAAGATGGTGCCCTTATCAACTACAGGCAAAGGCTATCAAACAAAGATTTGTAGTGGTCGGCTTATAAAGTCGCCTCTCCATAAAGTCGCCCTCTGCATATAGTCGCTACGCCCCCGCCTCTAGTAGGTGTCAGTCGATGCCGCACCAACGTTAATTACTGCTGCCAAAGGACCCAACGAAATTCATTTTAAGCTCGACGAAGTATCTGAAGCTTGGGCGTTGATACCGCTGATATTGGAATCTGCCGAGGTCGCTTTCGATGCCGTGCCCTACTAACCCAACTACGCTCGGATCGTGCCCACCCGCCTTTGCCTTTGCTTGCACTTTCCAAAAACGAGCAAGCAGGACCGGCGAGACTCTGATCATGGTACCATTGGTTTGCAGACTTGGTCCCGATTCGCAAAATATTTTACCACTCCTCGGACGAGTAGAAAGATGCCATCATGATCACATCTCGTTGCGATGGCCAATGAGGTCTACGATGCCCTCAGTGCCAATGCCTCTGCACTTCTCGACGTCCGGGCAATAGTTTTACAACAGCAAGTCATGGACGTGCTAGTCGAAGAAGCAGCAGTGATATGAGGGTTCACACCGTTGCTACGCTGATGCGTTTCATGACCGACAATCTGTCAGTATTGTAGATAGACTGCACACTTTTTTTCGCTTTCTGTGCTAGTTGTAACTCGTACGTGTACGGCCGGCAAAAGATGTTATCACAGCGACCGGAAGGTGCCACCTGTGCGATTCTACAACCTTGATACTCTCGGTGACGATTACGATTAAATTGCACGGGAAAGAGACAATTGGAATGAAGCAGTAGGAGTGGAGAGACGTTAAACTACCCGCGCAGTTTATTGCTGGTTGGCCATCGTAGCTGTTGGTAGGAGGGCGACTCCGAAGGTTCTTAAGGGTAATCTTGCAAGAGTTGCTTATTGGCAAGTTTCCATGCTGCGCGTCGTTTAAGGTGTTATTTACGGTGGACGTACACTTGCTAGTGAAAACATTCGTGCAACTATGGAGTGCTGACAATGATCTACTCTTGGAGCTGGAGATTCACGGACGGTCCGAGAACATATTTTTCCTTGTTGCTTCGCGTCTAAAAAAGAGTCTCTCTATTTTTGGAAGAAAATGCGACCGCTACTTTGCAGACAGAGGTTGGTGGTACTGGCAACTGCCATTCTGTTTATCCCCGGACTTGCCCATCGGGACTGCATTGCACTCGACACCGCCACTGCGTCTTCGACAGGCCCTACCGAGTTAGGGTAGCTATCGCTGGAGACTTCTCTGCGAAGGTATCATCGAAGGCCACTCGACGGAGATCGAACATGGCCACACTCGGTTCGTCACTCTGCACCAAGCTGAGGATGGGATCCATTGGTTTTGCCAAGGCTTCGTGCCGGAGCTCACCGACGGTTCACCTTCAGAACGCCAGGCTATTTGTCGTGATATTCGTACTTGGGGCTGGTCGTTGAGGCGCACCCGCAACTTCATCGATTCCCCTGGTCTGTGCCGGACAAAAAGTCGAATTACTTCATCATGAAGGCCTTAGGCAAGCAAGCGTTCCGGTTCCACAAAAAGCTCTTGCCCGCCGACTTTTGGTACTCGTTGACCGCCTTTCCCAATCGGCAACAACGGATGAATGGCAATGCGCAGCGCACCGGCAAACACCGACGCAAGTGTGGGATCATAGTAATGAAATCACACCATATCAAGTCTGGACAGGGTACAGAGTGGCGACGAGACAGTTGAATCGGTATCACGCTGCGCGGACCGAAAACAATAGCTGCCAAAAGACACCGGCCTGCAGCGGCAGCGTGGAGACCATGGGTCCATCTGTTTTGGGAATGTCCTAGCGCCGAAGCGCTCTGGGACCAACTTGATGGTCACTGGACCGGGCAGCATGTCACTCGTCAATTAACCAACAACACCTTGGGGCTTATGTCAGTCGATAGGTTTGCAACATACCCGCGTACCGAGCGAAAATACTGCCGGACCGATTTCAGGATGACGTGGGTAAAGCCGAACGCGTCTGGGCGCAAATTTGGCACATACTCGCGACTTGATGTCAAACGCGAATTTGAGTCGACAGGAATGCAGCTGTCTACAAGGCTGTCGCTCTACATCTACTCAGCAGCATCGCCAGTTTTTGGGCTTCGTGTCTTTGTCAGCTCCGAGCAATGAGAGATCATCGAAGAATAGCGTCAGCCACGCATGGTGCCTTGCTGGATGCTTGCATTGAGTTGCTAGAGCGAGAACCTAGAGGACCACCAAGTGCCACGGTGGCCAGCCACGATATACCGCCGGACCAACTGGCGCTGATATCCTGGCTCAGGACTTTCCAGAAATCTTGCACATAGTTAACACCATGTAAATAGACGATTTGAACCTCTCTCTATATATTCTACTGAATGGCCAGGTAGTTTTAGCTCTTCATATGAGATCAGAGCTCTCATCCCCTGATTACGGCTGACAGCTCGTGGGCTACAGAATGCACACACACACTCCAAGTAGAACAAACTCACAGGAGGACAATTCGTGCAACATTTTCATTCAGTTCTTATCTCTCATAATGCTGCTTCTCTCGTTTTCTTGCTCTTCGATCTCACCAACTGTCCACATCTGAGGCCGGGGTAGTAGCAACTGCATTCACATCGTCTTTGGTGCATACGTTTATGACCACTGTCATAACAAAATCGGCCGCAAAACAAATTCTCTCAGACTTGTGTCGGTCGCAACATTCCATTCGGCTAATGAAGTGGCCCACTCGCTGACGGCTGTTAACCAGTACACCTCGGACCGCTTTCTATCCGCCTTGGTAGTCATCAAAAACAACAAGAAGTTAGAGCAATGACAATGAAGTAGGACGGACTTTGACACTACACTTCGCATAAAGCACTACGTAATAATGATGCAGCATTATTAATAACGTACTCTTTGGATCTAAGTCATCACACTCATTACCTCGATTGTTACGTTTTGTGATAGAACGTATGAGGTTCCCATCCGACCCACCAGAAGACATCTTCACCTGATACGACGACAGACGCGAAGGGTATGGGCAAGTTATTGAAGACCGAAAAGGGTCAGGATCATCCACTGTATCGCCTTGAATGTTGTACAAGTACATTATTTTCGAATTCGTATCACCTACGCATATTGAATCCACTGTATTGTAGCACATGGGCGGAATTCTACCAGATGGGTGACCACTTATAGCGAATTCTAATTTCTTCAAAAGCCCAAAGGACTCCTTGGTCTTCTTATATCCGTCTGCAACAGTAGGCGTCGCAGCGAGCACAGGGATCGCCAGAAGAGAGAGAGCTAGACGCATTATATGTTGATTGAGTGCGAAGTAGGCAATTTGAAAATGACTGAGTGAATTACTGGTCACTTCCAAAGCTAAAGCATGGGTTCACCAAAAGCTCTATTTTGTATCGTCATGCTACCGAATTCGAAAGAACATTTCACGAATGAGAATGTAGCCAAGCAACTGCGGATACATTTGATTGGGTGCACTATTTGCTTGCTGTGCTTTTTTGGGCCATGGACTTTCTAATATGTTTACTGCATTGGATTATGATCCTACCATGGACCAAATTAGTCCCCTCTTATCTGCCTGTCGGACCAGATTAGTACGCTTTTTGCGGGAAGGAATCCGGGTTCAGTATGGATTGTGTTTCCGTGACGTCATCAAATGACGTCAGTCTCTGCTGGGCGTCATCCCTTTCAATGTGAATGCACCTTGGGTGGATCACAATACACAAGGGTGGATATCCATGATGTACCTCACCCAAGTGTTTTGCTAAAATGAAGTACGTCCGCTTTTCAGTAACGAGCAGTGACCATGGATGTTTGAAAAAAGACCTACGACGATCTCGTTGCATACTTACAACCATTTCAATCAGTTCATCAAGAGTAAAATAATGATATCAAAGCAGTTAGCATGTCACCTTCAAAATTCTTTTGCAAGACACTTATGCGAAGCAGCAGGAATGAAACAACCCACACAACGTTTTCGGAATTGGGAGCAACATGCGAGGCACCTACAAAACCCAACGCGACGATGTTACATACACCATTGACTTACTCATAGCACCATGTATGCAAGGCTTCCGGGCTCAGGGGTAGAAGTTGATGGTGTAGTAGCGACAGAAACATCCTTTGTCCATTGCAAAGCGTCCCCGCCATGTTGTTTTTTGCGCTTCTCTGCTGCAATGGCGCGGTGCAGATGATCAAGCCAACGATCCAAATCGGTCTGTGTCTCGCTGGCCACGAGCAGCTTCCGCCCCACTTCTGTTGTAATCTCCAGACACAACCTTTTCGTTCGCAAAGTCACGACGTGACATACCGTAAAACTGCGCAGAAGTGCCCCATTGTAGCTCTTAAAGTAGCACAGTGTGGTGCCATGCAGAGTAAAGTAGCGCCGCTTCCAATTCTTTACCGTGCCACCTTCCTTTTGCAGCCATCCACTGCATACGACTGGTTCCTCCATCTCGGCAATACCCAAGCGGAGCGAGTTTCGGTCTACTTCTGCCGCAGCTGCTGCCACATTCTTCACTGCTACCTCTACTCGCTCGTTTGTCGGCTTCACTAACTTCTCCGCGCCCTTACTTGTGGACAATTCCATCGGCTCTGTCCGCTGTTTCAAGCTATCGTCACTTAACGCTTTGTTGACCGTTGACGATGCTTTTGACAAGCCTCGCTTAAAAGCCGTGGCAGCCGTCACAACGGTGTGCATGGTGTCCAGATGCGCATCCTCTTCGGCGTCATCAAAATCAAACTGAACATCCTGCTCCAGGTCGCTTTCGATCGGCTCCGACAGTACACCAGTTTGTAGCAGACGGTTCCAGGCCATCATCTCACTCTCGTTGCCTGCGACGACATTCATCACACGGCCATTCTGAAAGCGAACGTCTAGACAGAAAGGTCGAGCATTACCAATTGCAACATTTGCCAACACTCCTCGTCCGAGGGATGGTGCATCTGGCGCACTCGAATACGACAAGTGCTTTCCCTCTAGCTTGAAAAATCGGCGCTTCCAATTCTTAAAGTTCTTGCCCTTTTTTAGCAGCCAGCCACTACCAGACTCAGTCACACTTAATGCAGTATCTTCACCTGCACCACGCGATAGCCTTTCCAATGCACTGTCGCGTGCCTCAGTGATATCTCCCACCGAAATGCAATCGTTAAAATGGTCGAGCCACGAGCGAATCTCATCAGGAGACTCGGCCACTACACGCAGCGTACGACCCGACATCAGGATCAAATCCAGACAGTTTGGATAAATGTCATTGGGAACGGCACTTTTGACGATGCCGTTACCGCGCGGGGCCTCACCAATTTGCTCAAAGTAGTACAGCTTATTGCCATCAGCCATGAAGTAACGGCGCTTCAGTGAGCGGTTTCGGGCACCTTCTTTACGTAACCATCCATATTTTCGAATCAGACCGGTAGAGGAAGCTCTAGGTGACGTCGCAGAATTGCTGTCAATACCAGACAAAGGCCGAGAAGAATCTGGCATGAGTTGACCAAAATTATTATTGTCGCTCTCGGTGGTGTCATCGATGCCGTCCAGAGATTCACCTGCACAGACAAGGCTCGATTGACTAGCAGGAGTCAATCGAGCCGACGACCGATAAGTTGGTAATACTAGCGGTAACGTCGCACCGGACCCTGCACGACTAAACGCGCGTCTTAGCCGATTGCTACTACTCACAGCAATGCTGACTGCAGCAGTCGTGGTTGCGACTTCCTTTTTCAAAGTCTTGGAATCCTTGTCTAGCAATTTGCAGATAGCTTGCACCCACTTGTCCATGAAGGCCCGACTGTCAGCACTTACACAAAGCACTCGACCCGATTCAAGCTGCACAAACACGCAGTTGGTATCCATCTCGCCAAGTTTTAATCCCACAACAGTGCCCGCACCCTTGGGCACACTCTCCCCAGGTCCATTCTGGTACTGCAGCTTATACCCTTTCAGCTTGAAATAACGTCGCTGCCACTCGGTTGACCTCTGTCCTCTCTTGTACAGCCATCCTTCACACAGCACACTTTCTTCAAACGTCTCCCCAAGAAACGGGGCATCTTGTCCAGCATATGGATCTCCAAAACATGGTCGCTTACCAGTCACTTTCGCAAGTGCATGATCCCACGCCTCAATGTCTGCGAACGAGTCAGCCGAGATTCTCAAAATACGATTATTGTCCGAGTAAATATCCAGTGCAAAGGATCTGGACGGATTAATATTCACTGCATTGACTCTAGTCTCTCCAAGAGGTTTCTCATTAGGCTGCGCTCTATACTGAATAACTCGTCCCGTTAACGTCATGTAACGTCGTTTCCACGTCTTGAAATTCTGTCCTTCTTTTAGTAACCAGCCTTTCATAAATACAGCTGCATTTCTGCCTGCATGTCCTCGATCTTCCTCTCTAGTCATTGCTTCTTGTAAAGCCTCTGAAAGTTTATCAAACCACTCCGTACACTCATCATTTGAATCCACTTGTATCTTCACTGCTTGATTCTTCAATTCACCTCGTACCATTAACGCATTGGTACATTCCGGTGTACGCTCCACACTATTGATACATAATCTTCCTTTTTCATCAATTCCTTTTCCATTAGGCGATCGCTCGGTAAAATAAATAAATTCCCGACCTTTTAATACAAAGTAACGACGTTTCCAGCTCTTGATAATACGGCCTTGTTTATAACCCCAACCCGAGTGATCACAATATGAGCTACGTACAATACGTCTCAAGGCAACTACTTGCTTTGTAGCTCCTTGAAACTGCTGCTGAGCGACGTGCTGACGCGTCTCACGACTCTCGCTGGATGTCGCATTTAATGCATACATTACGACTATATGTTACGTGTAAAATATGAGATAAAACGCTGTTGTGCGATTGGTCAAAATACAAAATGATTCAACAACATGTGGCAAACAAGAACTTTAAATGGATGGCGGGTTGCTCCGTTTCTGTACGCAATCGTGAAAAGAGGAGGTTTTAATCATGACTTTAAGAATTTTGTAAAAAATATTCAGCTAAAGCTCTGCTTTTTAGGCAGAAAAAGCATTTATTTATTTTGTTTAATTTCAACGTATTTTTATAACATTTTATGTAATATTAAAAATCCGTCGACATTGGACATATCATGAAAATAAATAACTATTTTTATGAGGATGCATCAATTGAAAAAATTCTTGAATCATGTTATAATTTTTTACGTGACGAAGCCTTGTGCTTTTTGGTGGCCATCTCAAAATGATCAAATACTGCAGGCACCGATTAGAGACGATGAAGAACACGATACGAAAGGTTGAACGATGCAGAGTTACTGAATACTATAGATTGCAGGGCCGTGTAAATGTGTAAGATTGTCAAGCACAACAGTTTCATTTTGAGACGTTCATCGACCACATATCGCGGCATTTGTTCACCTAGAGCTAATTGTCTCCACAAATCGGACTCTACTAACGACATTGGTAAGGTTAACCTAAGCCGTTGTACAAGAATTAGAGCGCAGCAAGTGAGATTGCCATAGGTCGTTCAAAGTATTTGAAATATATATCATGTCGTACAAAACAAAGAATCTAAAAAATCATGGGGCTGAACATACTTTTACTGGCAGCGTCTCGTGATGTAATGATGATGCCGGCTGCAAGCCTTACCGCCGTCAGCACGCTTCCTGTGATTTTGTAAAGAATGATTAAAATGCGTATTGCTGAAGGGAGAGTATACAATGGAAGGCACGAAAGCACAATGCATTTGCAGTCCAAGGTCTTTAACACCAGCTGGTTTCCTGCGACCTCCATCGCTGCTTAGCGCTTCGTTGTTAGATACAAAGAAGTATGAGCCACAAAACCCTCGAGAGTTTCTCGAACACAAGTGAAACGTAGTGACGCTTAAAACGTTCCAAACGTGATCATGCCGTCTATGAATGTGGACGATGCAACATAGATTGCAGTCACTAGGTGCCTAGATTATCAAGTTTGGTTTTATATTATGCTAAGATCTTCAAACAAGACATGTCTAGCTGAACCTGCATGCAAATTGAGGGAAGGTCTAAAGAGTGGAATGGCCGTGGTTTTTACGCGGTGATAGAGATAAGAGAATGCCAAAAAAAGATAAACGTAAAGTTATCAGCCAATAGCAACCTACTTTACCGAGTAAAGACGTGTCTGTTGTGTTTATACAAAAGACAGTTTCGGATGTGTAAGAACAAGCGTACAAACATTTTTATTTTTACTTTATGACTGTCTTGGTTAAATCCGTTAACAGCATCACAATATTTTTCAAAAGCAGTATATTGACTAGACATTTTTTCAAGATTTTTGCTTATTTTCTCAAGTCCACGCCTTCATCGATGCAAACTTCTCGAGATGGATAAAGACGTGTCGTCTCTGGATGCGTAACAACACATCCGACATGGTGAGACGAGGGTAATGATGGTCTTGTATCAATGTCCATTGTCCTCATGGTATCAATCAGTCGCACTGCTGGACTTTTTGAATTGTTTCGAAAGTCGACTGTGTTTGGAGCGAGACGGATTGGAGGAACGAAGAGCGTCGTTGTTGTAGCTGATGCCGTTGCAGCTCCTCCTGTATTAGTACTCGTTGGTCCAAAGCTAAATCCCGGATGCTCCAAGTACGGCTTTGCAGATGGAAATGCATTCGTAGATGGCTGTGGAGGAGGCCAATCGTCAATAATATGACGAATCGACTGTGCATTGCGAGACTCGAAGCGCGTCAACAACTTTCGCGCCGACTCCACCGAGATATCGGGTAGTTTGCGTAGAGCCACAGCCTCCACCAGTCGCATCAGCTCGTCAAACGTCATCAGCACACCCAACTCTGCGTGAGCCACCACCACACGCATGATCCCGGCCTCGTCGTTCGGGTCAAAGTACGCGTCATTTCCATTTTTCTGTCCACCCTGTGTGCGCTTTTTTACGCGTCGGTGCAGCGCCGCAAAGTGCACGCCGTACATCTTAGCGGCCGTGCGTAAACTCATACCCTGCTGCTCTACAGCCGCGATGGCCTTCTCCCATGTCTCGGCTGGAACCGTGTGGCTCAGTTTGTAGCTGCGCTTGTCTTTGGACGACGACGACGTGTTAGACGCCGAGTCCTGGATTTCGTCCATACTGCTACCGTTGTTGGTAACAAGCTGTTGAATCTGAGGCAGCATCGAGCTAATATCTCTTCCGCCATTTGGTCCGACGTCATTACCACTTGACCTGGTATCCCCCCGTCCAGCATTTGTGCTGTTCTCGTTGCTCCAACCGTTACGACTCTCCCCGAGACGCGTTTCTTTCGATCCCCTTGCAGATTCTCTCGGCCACACCATAGTCCGTCGACGTTCGTCTACGATCTTTGCTCGACGCTGTTGCTGCTGCAGTTGCTGTTGGTGACGTTGACTAAAGTTGTGTTGTAGCTGCGTCTGACGTTGTACCTCGTTTGTAAACGACGGACGAGGGTCAGCATAGGCCATCGCAGTCTTGGACTGCATATGCAGCAACGAGCGGTCGCTCTCTTTGCTCGGTCTTTTCTCCTTCCCGTCGTCGCTATTTTTGTCGTTTCTGCCCGTGACTTGCACCACACCGGTACTCAATCTGCTGCTCTCTTCATCTTGAATGTTTATACTGTTGCTGCTGCTATTGTTGCTACTGCTATTGTTGCTACTGCTACTGTTGCTGGCACTCGTGGTTTTCTCGCTATTGGATCCTGGTTCTACTGGTGCTGACACTGGACGCAGCTTTGCCATCTCCAGCCTCTCCGGTGTCCACACTTCCTTATTACTGATGCTTCCTTCCATCGCATCAAATGCAAAGCTATTGAGTTGCATGAAGCCATGCACACGCTTGAACTCAAGCACCCATCGGGACGGTGGGAAGTCAATCGGGATAGACACGGCACCACCTTGACTAGCAACGGTCCGCACCGCAAGTCGGACGTCGTCGGATGTAATGCGTTTCTGATGACGGAGCTGTTCTTTCAGTACACGAAGCGCTTCTTTCTCCCCTGGTTCACTCAGGTAGCGCCGTACACAGACAGATGAGGACAGTGCCATGGCAATAATGTAATAGCGACGCTACGGGGTCTATGTTTGTGGAACGATTGTGGTGTGTACGTCACATAACAAAAGTTGGGCGTCGGATTTTGGTCGGATAAACAAGTAGGTCGAATATTCTTGGTGGAAATACCGGTAACCTAATCATCCCTTTTTAGTGACATGACCGCCGTCAATGTTGACAATATTGACGCTGTTCATGTCGCAATAAAAATAGTCCGCGCTTTTATTTCTTTTATGTCGTCATACGGTTGTTTTAGCCACCGAATTTCTACTAATTAAGGGTCGATACCATCGCTTTAAAGTCATTCATGTAATTCCTTTAAGACAGTTTCTACAGATCTAACAAAAGCTCTCATTGAGCTTTGAGGATAGAATTGCAATGTCATACGCAGGCCCCTTCTCAAATTAAGCTTTTTTGTTCCGACAGGCAAGGATGACGAGGACTAAACTGCCGAAAACCGGTGCTTAGCGACGAAATAAGGACCGAGAACCCTAAGATAAAGTCGCCGACTGCTTAAAAGGCTTCCTTTTCGCGCGTGTCGCATTAATCGTCGATCAGATGTGGATCCAATAAATGTCATAAACAAGGCATAAAAAGGTGTTTTTATTTTCTGGGAAAAGTAACTCTTACTTTTTCAGAGTGTTATACTCGAAAATACATGTTGATCTGTTCATTGAACGTTTTTGAGAGGTGTCAAAAATCAGAAAATAGAGAGCTACTAACCGACTGCAATCTGACCGACGTGTTACGTTTATTTCATAACAACTCAAACAGATAAAATCATAGAGGTAAAGCCCCACTCGAAACATGGCGGACGTCTCTGTGCAACCCAAGCGCTACATGTACTGAAAGAACAGCTCCGTCATCAGAAACGCATTACATCCGACGACGTCCGACTTGCGGTGCGGACCGTTTCTAGTCAAGGTGGTGCCGTGTCTATCCCGATTGACTTCCCACCGTCCCGATGGGTGCTTGAGTTCAAGCGTGTGCATGGCTTCATGCAACTCAATAGCTTTGCATTTGATGCGATGGAAGGAAGCATCAGTAATAAGGAAGTGTGGACACCGGAGAGGCTGGAGATGGCAAAGCTGCGTCCAGTGTCAGCACCAGTAGAACCAGGATCCAATAGCGAGAAAACCACGAGTGCCAGCAACAGTAGTTAGCAGTAGCAACAATAGCAGCAGCAACAGTATAAACATTCAAGATGAAGAGAGCAGCAGATTGAGTACCGGTGTGGTGCAAGTCACGGGCAGAAACGACAAAAATAGCGACGACGGGAAGGAGAAAAGACCGAGCAAAGAGAGCGACCGCTCGTTGCTGCATATGCAGTCCAAGACTGCGATGGCCTATGCTGACCCTCGTCCGTCGTTTACAAACGAGGTACAACGTCAGACGCAGCTACAACACAACTTTAGTCAACGTCACCAACAGCAACTGCAGCAGCAACAGCGTCGAGCAAAGATCGTAGACGAACGTCGACGGACTATGGTGTGGCCGAGAGAATCTGCAAGGGGATCGAAAGAAACGCGTCTCGGGGAGAGTCGTAACGGTTGGAGCAACGAGAACAGCACAAATGCTGGACGGGGGGATACCAGGTCAAGTGGTAATGACGTCGGACCAAATGGCGGAAGAGATATTAGCTCGATGCTGCCTCAGATTCAACAGCTTGTTACCAACAACGGTAGCAGTATGGACGAAATCCAGGACTCGGCGTCTAACACGTCGTCGTCGTCCAAAGACAAGCGCAGCTACAAACTGAGCCACACGGTTCCAGCCGAGACATGGGAGAAGGCCATCAGCAGAGTTGGGGTGTGCTGGTTACGTCTATAATATAAGCTGCTTGAAATGGCTAAACCTATCCAATAGCATTCAGCTCTCTATTTCTTAAATCCCTTTTCAAACCGATATCCATCATATATAAGTTGTTACAAGAATTAGAATTCAAGGATCCGATTCCCCACTTCCCTACTTCCCTACGATAGAAATGACGGACTTTATCACCCAGGAACAGGCCGCGTATCCGGACATTGCACAGCGTTATCAACAACTTAAGGATCTCCACGTTCGCAAGTATGAAGAGCTGTTGTTTGTCTCGTATTTCGCCCAACTCTTTTTTACGACTTGAAACCTGTGAAACTTTATATTTTTATTGAAATATTTGTGTCACCAATAATTTATTTTCCATTAGACTTTATCATGAGCTCACCAATGAACTTGAGGCCTTTGTACTTGACCCCATGTGTCACAAATACCCCCTCAACCTGACCAAGTTGTACGAGGAGTTTATCCGTAGCTTTCAGGAAAAACTTAATCCGATTCGACTCGTTATTATTTGCACCGAGATCAGTACGCAATTTGCCGGTAAAGTATTTTTTATTTTACTTCGGTAGAAATATTTCTATATGGTAAACTAAACCTTGAAGTATTGTAATATATTTCTTGTAGATCCTGCCAAGGCACAGGAATTTATGGAGCAATTGCTAGGTCAATTAAACACCAAGACAGCACATGAAGCCGTGTTATTGTGCAAAATGCAGATTGCTCAGCTTAAATTCCGCCGTGGAACAGCATTTCTAACAGAAGTCAAAGCCACAGTCGACGATGAAAAACAAGTGATCGAGAGTCTTGTAGGGGCTGAACCAGTGGTCCATGCGGCTTATTATCGTGTGGCTTGTGATTACTATGGAGCTCTGGGTCCTGCGGACAAATTTTACAAGAATGCACTCATGTTTTTAGCCTACACGCAGTACGACGAGATACGTCCTGATGAACGTTTCAATCTAGCAGTGAATATCAGTATTGCTGCACTCACGGGTGACGGTGTTTTTAATTTTGGTGAAGTGGTGAGATCACGGCTATTTTTTTTCTTTCGTGGTTTGTGGAGGATTTAATCGATGTACTTATTTTTTTCGTGGTGATTATGCAGCTGGCTACTCCAATTCTTCGTGCTTTAGAAGGCACGGACAAGCAGTGGCTCTCGGACCTATTGCACGCGTTTAATAAGGGTGACATTGATCGGTTTAACGAGATTGTGGGCCAGAACAGCAAGGAGCTCAATGTCCAGCCAGCGTTGGTGACCAAGCAAGAATACATCAAGGAAAAGGTTGCTCTCTTGGCATTGATGGTGCTAGTGTTTCAGCGTCCGTCGCACGAGCGAAACATTCCGTTCCACGAGATCGCTATGGCCACGCGTCTGCCGCAAGAGCAGGTGGAGTGGCTTGTGATGCGTGCCCTATCGTGTAAGCTTATCAAAGGCTCCATTGACCAAGTGGACGGGATCGTACGAGTCACGTGGGTGCAGCCTCGCGTGCTGGATAATTCGCAGCTTCAGGAGCTCGTGACTCGCTTGGACGGCTGGGAGAAGAAGGTGAACTCGACTTTGTTGTATGTGGAGGAGCAGACGCCGGAACTTTTTCAGTAAATAGCCAGCCACCTTGTTGTTTTCAGCACAAGCTGAAGCAACCAAGAGCAGCAAACTACACTAACGTCGAGAGATGGTAACACGGTGGTGGAAAATTATGTGATAGACGGTTCCAAATTGTATGATGATTGTGTTGACAGGTTTGCTCTTCTTGGTATGCAGCTGAGGTGCGTTTGTGATGATAATCGTCGTTTATCATGTTTTGTGTCGGAGCCAGGCTACGTGCAGATCATTTGTCATGACGTTGACATCTCTGTTTGTTAATTGCTGGGGCGCATGGACCGTCATCGGACACTTGACTCTCTTCTAATCGCTTGTCCAACTCTATCGACCTTGTGCTTGACATGACTGCAGAAACGCATCAGACGCAAGGAATTGGACACCAGTAAAACTGTAAGGATGAACTGGCCTGGATGGTTGAGTACGCTTACCTTTAACACCTGCACTTCATTTCCACGGCGAGCTGTGCAACGGAATTGTATCAGACATGACAAACGGACGTTTCAGTGATTCAATTGCAAGCGACCATTCTAAGAAACCTCGCTGTGCGTTTGAATGAGTTGGTTATGTTACATTACCAAGCCACGAAGCTCCTCAAGATGATCCAGCTCTTCATGACGTATTGACGAGCAGCTATTTTTGCTAGGATTCTTCTTTGACAGTGGTAAGAAGCTGGTCGGGGTTGCAAATGATTGACTTTGTATTCTAAATGCGTTCAAGACTTCCGTCTTGTTAACTGGGCAGAAACCCTCTATGTGATACAATGCCACACCAAGCCAATATGGCGGGTGCGTTTCGATAGGCACTGACTCGCTTGCCTTCATCATTTTTTGCTCAGTTGACGGGTCAGGAAGAGTTGATTGCACGGCGGCAAACTCCTCGAAGGACATAAAGCTGCTTGACTGTTCTTCAAAAAGCTGCCGGTGCTGCGATCGCCGAGGTGGCTGGGACATATGTATGCGTGTCGACTTTTTCGTACTGCGCCTCACTCTCCAATGTTGCGACAGAATGGATTTGCTCGATTGTTGAGCTCGCACCTGGTACAATCTGCTATCACACTCTCGCAAAGTTATTCCGATCTATCGATGCCGTCGCTGGCTTCAGTCCCCAAAGCGTTGATCAACCAGAGAGATGATCCAATGCAACGAAGATGCAACTGCATTGTTTCGACATGAGAAGAATATCGTCTTTTCAACGGTGGCTGCATCAAAACATCTTCTAGCGGTGTGTCCAGGTGCTTGAGAGAAGAAGGCGAGAGCAATGACAACTGAAGACATACAACTTTAGTTCGACTTAGCAACCGACAAATTTGACCCCATCGGCGGGACAAGCAGGTGACAACGGCGGCATGAAGAACACGGGCATGCGGTGGTCAATACTTGGCTTTGCAGGAGCAGGGGCATGTGGACGAGAAGACCGAGTGCTTTCATTAGCTAAAGTCATTGGCGACGCCGATGTGTCGCTACCGCAAAAGAGGAGGAACTGCGGACGTTCAATAGACGAGCTGTAGTAACTGCTACGACGAGCCTCGAAAGCTGCTAACTCGTCGGCTGACGTTATCTTTTCGAACTGCTCGCGATTGAGCACGCGAAAGCAGCCAGCCGATGTTGTTGGATTGGAAGACGTCTTCGCAGCAGAACGATGGAAGACACGGTCAAAGTCAATGGCACACATGAAAATTCGCATTGTAGACTATGCGTGGTGGTTTGACTTGAGAGATGTGACTGCAGAAGATTGTTTCGAGTCGAGTCGTAATTGGAAATGACAGACTCTCGTTTGCACACGATAGTCAGAGCATGAAGCTGGTTCAAAAATTGCCATGTATGTCCGGAGCCTACTTATCAAGCCAGGAAGCCGGAGCGGTCGCCTGATCGGAGCTCGCGCCAAGATTGACAAGGCAAACATTAACGATGTGTAGGTTGCTTCCATGCGTCTTGTCTGCTCTGTACAGAGGACAATGAGATCATGGTAGAATCACCGAATTTGCACGGCTTTCAAGCCATGGCTGATAGACTAATGGGTTTATCGACTGAATCGTACACCCAGTGCTTTGTCAAGTAAAATTGACATCGACCTGTACTGTAAGTGATTCTCGTCGAGTATGTCGTTTTCTCTTCTCCCTCAGAATGGCCATGCTGAAGCTATTCCGACCCAAATGAACTTTGAGATATCAATGGGAAGCTCACGAAAGTCTATTGACTGTTTTTATTGCTATTCCATAGACGTGCTTGGTCTGAAAGCCAGAGAAAAGGTGCATGGACGATATCTTCTCTTCCTCCTGATTGTCTTTGCCTTATGCACCGAGATCTGAACGTTCCGGCGTTTTCAAAGCGCTTACGTTTCTCGAAAGCAGTCTGGCATATCAAACAGGCCGCCATTAGTTGAAAGCTACAATGCCATGTAGTTTATACAGGCAGGAATACCTGCTTTGAACATGCAGAAACAATGCTACGCGCACGTCTGCCCAAATAGATAGATTAGGTGAGGAAACTAGAGATGACACGCATACATCCAGCGACCGAATTCATCTGCAGAATCGCGTGCTGTGGTATCCAGTACTACGTCGTGTATTTCGCTGCTCTGTGATTTTGAAAATATATGGTGAGTACATTGGTGCCGACATTGGTGACTGCAGTGTATCTCGTGGTGAGAAGAAGCACGGCATCTCGTGATTAATTCGTGGTGACTCGATCACTGCCGGACTCATTGGCTTCATCGACAAGGCATGATTCGAGATCATGTCGCTTCGGTATCCGCTTGAGTTGAGACTTCTTGTGAGATGATCACTCCCGCCGTAAAACAAAAACTGCACGTGCCTGTCCCTCTCTTCTTTATTGTAGTAAGAGTACGGACTGTTTAAAGGTGAATCCGAGCGTGATCTCGAGCTTGATGATGTCGAGTTTTGTGCCAAACCTACATGAGTGCTTGGCGATAGAGAAAGCGATGATTGATACCGAGACTGCATTAAAAAATCATGTTTGACGTCGTGTTCCCAGTGATTGAACATTTGCGGAATCGTGTACACACCCGGTGACGTCTCACGGTAGTAATCAGGGTCAAGTATATCGTAGCAGCTCGTGCAATCGACGAACGGCCGACGTACGAGGTCCCAAACACTCTGAAAGAATCTCGACATTCCCATGGGATGGCAACAAGGTCGTCTTTCTTGAAAACTTCCTGTATGGTGCTGTCAATATCAACAAGTAAGTCCTCACGCGAGTGAAATGCGTGTTGATAAGGACAAGTTGGTCGTGTCGTTTCTGACTAAGCTATAAATACTAAGAGGGAGGAGGGACCTTATGATGAAGCTCATTGTGTCGTAGAGGATGAAAAACGAACAAGAGAGAGTAGTTTGTACCCCCTCATCAAAAAAGGCAGTGGAATGAACATCCACGTTGTCTGACCTGTGAGTTGTTTGATTGTGAAGATGGACCACGAAACTTTACTGAAGTCATGCCTTAGTACGCCAATGGATGGAAAATGCTGTTGCCGTGGATGATGAGATGGCAATAGCTTAGTGGTATGAATACTAGCTAGTATCTAACACACCACATCATCTCGGTCTGCAACTCCAGTCTATTCCGTATCTGTGGTCCCTCACACTTATGCCTCTAGTTACGCTACCTGCTACTCAACTGCTTACACCAAAAAAGTATTAAATCACCCCAGCAGCTAGACGTTTTCCCAGCCACCTCACCTCATTTGCTGTACTGCTCTTTTTCCATCAAGATGTTTCCTCCTAAAGCTCGTACTCCATTGGATCAGGCAAGATGCCACTGCGACGCATTTTTCCTCCCAAAGGCACTGACAAAAACAGCGGCATCTTGGCCTGTAAAGATGGATGGATATCTTGCTCATGCAAATTGTCCAAGGATGACGATCGTAAGGTTGGCTGAAACGTCGAATCCACGTCACTTCCTCCAAAAAACAAAAACGAAATACGGGAACGTTCCGTCCCTGACTCGCCACTGGAATCCAACTCCAACGGGTCACTGGGTGACCGTGTGCCTTTGGCAAATGAGAGTTTGGGTTTTGGCTTGAGCTTTGTAACCTCAATCTTGTCCGTCTCTACTGTATTAGCATCTGAATCTACAGGACGAGGGGAAGTGATCTCCTGGATAACAGCAGACGTGGGTTCCGTCATTATCGCCGTCATTTCAAAGGGTGCGTCAGGAAGCGACTGACGATGTGACCAACGCGACCAACGTGACGTTCGACGTTGTGATGCTTCACTGTCACTAGGAGCCGTGACGTCGTCTGCATCACTGCATTTGCGCTTGAAAAAACCACCAATGACACGTATAAAACCACGATGTTTTGACTTGGAAGAAGACGGTTGTGTATCAGTGTCTGTCTTTATTTGCTCTAGCTCTGGAGAAGGGTCGGAAGTAGAGGTTGAAAGTGGAGGGGGTGGAGCACGTCTTGGCATGACTGTTGAGGTAGAAGCTTCTGGTAAAGGCATTCTTTTATTTTCTTAGATACAAAGGATTTATGAGCTCAATGATGAAACTCGGAGAATGACAAGAAGAGGAAGTGGAATAAAAAACATGGGTACGCCGTCAAATTGTTTGAGATGACCTGGCTCTGGGCATCGCATGTCGCAAAGGGACTTGATTAAGTATCGATATCCAGTATGGTGTTGTTTGACGGTAGGAAGGATAAGAAGTGATTTGAGCACGTGCAACTTTCTTTAACAGATGAGCCACTTGGAAGATCATTTACGAAAGATAAGAGAGGTATCTTTGAAAGTTCAGCTTATCTCTCTACCCAGAAGCAGGGGAGTTCGTCGAAACCAGCTGGTTTCACCGCATTGAGTAAAAATCAGGAGATTTTCTCGAGCATGTGAGAACAAGCAGCTTGTTCGTTTGTGCTGTCAGGGGCGGAAGGCAAGAGGAAGATTAGTATGGTATTATCAAGCACATTGGATTGTGCAGGTCGGAACGTGAGTGACCAAAAAAGTCGGCAATGGGTTAAAGACGCTAGGAGATAGTGACGAGGATACGAAAAACATTTCGATAGACAGCGCACAAGTGCACCTACAAGGTGACGCTAACCGTCTCTCGAAAGCCATGATTGTCAATGTCAGTGCTGAGTATAGAGCTCTTCGGCCCATGCATCAGTTACGCGCGAGATTTAACAGATATGTAGCTTGTGTGAGTGGAAATAACATTGTAAAGCAAGATATCGCTACAGTCGGACCACGATCTCTTCGAGTAGTAATAGCCAGATGTGCTACAAGCAACTTGAACCTGCAGTTTGCAAGCAAATGATACAGTGACGGTTTTCGGCTATCCCCGACGAGCAGAAAATATTGAAGTAACAACACCGAGTAGTAAGTACTGTTTTCATGTGATAACTTGTCTTAACTGATACGGTCCCAAGGGATATCACGTTCGATTACCGTTATTACAAGTGTATCGTACTTGTCTTAAGTATACGTACGCTCGTAATCACTGCGATTTCTTACTCTCACAATCGACGAACCCACCTCTCCATCAAATAGCAGAAATTTCGTAACATGCCCAATCGCAATTCCAATGTCAGTTCTTCTGTAGACAATGATCAATTTCATGACGTCCAGCAGCAGCATTACAGCCAAAATTCCGATCTCGGTCGTCTCTCGCGTCTTTCAGCCAATGCTGTAAAACTCAATCAAATTCATCACATTAAGATCTGCGCGACGTACGACAAGAATGGAGACGGTACGACTATCTACGTTATGAACGTCTACTTGCGGTACGTACAAAAGGGTCTCCCACCACCATCGGTGTTTCAGGGTGAGAGCTTGAAAGAACAGAGAAAACGGCTGAAAATAGAGCGAGAGAGGGAACGCCCTATGTACCAGGTAGAGCATCGGTATTCGGTATTTCGGGAGCTACGGAGACGCGTCATGAAGACTGTCAATGCACAAGGAGAGGACAAGTACCATCACCAATGCTCTTATTGCAGCCGTGTCAAGTTTATCGATTCGTCGACCATCTTTCCACCTCGCGTACCAAATCGTGGATTCTTGGCATCATGCACGGGCTGGCGGCAGATCTGCACGTACTTCCGCAAACGCCAGCTTGAACGCTTTGTCAATCAAATGCTCTGGGCAGCAAAGGACATGTCGTATCGTACCGGAAGCGGGCGGTGCGACCGGTTTCTATTGGTCTCGGAGATCCTCAACTCGTTTTTATCGGCGGCGAGCATGGAGGCGACGGAGAATGTGTGGTGAGTGATCGGATGGTTGATTCACGTGTTGACTAGACTGTGCTATGTCAAACAACAACAAGCACATCGCGGGTGTGTCCATAGGTGCAGTTCATGTACACAGTAGCTGAGCCAGATGGACTTTGTACAACATGATTATTGATGAAAACCTTGTGTTTACATCACGTCTCGCGTTCCTCCGTCTGTTCATGTAGCCGATCTATTGCTTTCAACTTGATGTATATCACCGATTCATCGGGGGGGGAGCATTGTCTAGTCGATTATATGGACCTACTATTGATACTAGATACTAAATACTTTTTGCCTTCATAGTTAATCGAATGTCAACCAGATTTGCCCCAATGCATACCGAGACGCGACAATTTGGCTGTCACCCCATTGTTTAGGAATAAGAGAGATCAACATACTGGATGCAACTTCAACAAACTGGAGATTGACTCGCATCAAATAGCCATATGTTCGACATTGTGTCTTCTTTCACGTAAAATGACGTACTGCATTTGACAGTGATATGATCCTGGTCAGCCGAAGTGGCTTTCTTTCCCTTCATACGTGTACGCTGTCGTAACGCAGACTGTCCTCTTGATCGATCATGATCCATACTTCAATATAATTGCTAAGAAACTGCCCACCGTTCGGTGTGTCAGTCTTCTTGACGCACACATCACTTTTCTACAGTAAAGATAAGACGTCTGTGTACCTCTTCCAGACAACCGACGATTTTATCGCCGACCGAGCCGAGCTACACCAAAACAGCATATGCCGCGTGCATCCATGCAATTTTACTTATTCTGATTACCTTCCTCCTTGGGTGGTTTATATACATAACGGACTCGCCTATATCTAGCTATCTTCCTTGTCATCACGTGCCTCCGATGTATACAGGTGAATTTCCATCAAAAAGTCGCTCAGCAACCTTGACACCGCCTCAAAGCGCCCGCACGGATTGCACCCGGACCGATAAGAGACGTCCTTGGCGGCAGTCAGCAGCCGGTTCACAAACACCTCTAAATGCTGCTCTCTAGTGCGCACCAGCAGCTTGTGCAACCCCGTGATGATTGCCACCCGCCCGCGGTTCGGGAACCGAGACGGGAACCCGCCCGAATTCACAAGCTCTCGCACCCGTGAGCAATACGGACACCATTGCGGGTGTGATGTGTCCTTTGGCGCAGCCACCGTCTTACGAATGCGCTCACGCAACAGACGAAATGCTGAGTAGCGGTGCTCTACCTGGTAGTCTGCGTGCAGCTCGTCCTTCTCACGCATCTCTCTCGGCCTGCGTTCGCGCTTGCTCTGCATGTGCATATTCGCCGCAGCCGTCGTCTTGGGCAAACCCCTCGGTATCACCTGCAAGAACACGTCCAGCACATACACCGTCACGTGTTCCTCTCGGTCGTAAGCCGTACACATGCGAACGTGGTGTACATTGTTGAGTGCCACGGCCTCCTTGGCACGGGAAAGCTGTGAGAGTCGCCGGCCCAGCTCCAGAATGTCCAGACTCGAACGCTCACTTGCCGTGTCCACGAAGGTGTTCATCTCATCGCAGACTCTTGAAGTGAGCATTTGACGCTCGTGAAGTCTCTTTTGGTCGTGATATCGTTTCTCGTGCGTAGCTCGTCCTATATTTGTCAGTAAGGTACATACGCCACATGTTTACGATAGAGGGTGGGGTCGAGTGTGCTCATTAAGGCTGTCACATTAAGCATCGGACAGTTTCGTAGCGATGATATGGATACGTCAATGAGGTGACGATTGGGAGGAAGGTTGCGTTTCGCGACAGAACGATTGCCTGCATCAAGCGCAGGCGGTATACAGAGGGGCAGCTAGTGTACACGTTCATAGGAAGGACTTTGAAGAGAGAGTCACTTCAGCTGATCAGGTCATATCACTGTCCCATCAAGAACAAAGCTGAGAGCGCTGAAAGTACTCGTCTACTAAACGGACAAGTGGTGGACTCTAGCTGCATCCCATGAGAAACGCGTACTATAAAGTTTAATTTAGTCTACAGCCTGATGGTGTAGATGACCACATGCTGGCTGTAGCTCGTAACAGTCGACGGTTTTACATTACGCTTCTTTCAAATGGGTAAATGTTGCCACATCGCAGACTAGTCAAGTAGCTTCTAACGCCAGCGTGGCCGCAAGTCGCGACTGCTGCATCTGCAAGATCAGACCCGTCTGCGCCAGTTAGTAGTGGCACCATCGCTTGACCTCAAATTGACTTCAGGATCTTCGACGACCATTTCATCGGTTTGACGTCTTTTCACTTCAAGACAAGCATCCTGCTCAAGATGGCGAGATATAGTACCAGAATCAAGACATATATACGATTCAATCTGTGCAGAATGCCCTCAATAAAGGTAACATTCGTGATATGTACGCAACAAGAAAGCTCTAGATCATGGGCATCCTGTACACTAGCAATGTTGCTAGCTGCACAAAGCACATCAGTAGCGCTCTGTAATACAGGATTCTATCATTGTCTATTGTGCTACTATGATGCGCTAGCTGTTCTTGCTCTCCATCGCTCTTGTACACTCAATCAAACATCCATCACTATTGTCGTTTCAATCATTTATCCGTCAATCCTGGTCATTTCTAACACTCTTCTTCGGCTACGACTTACCGTTCTAGACTATGGCTGGCCTACCAAAATGGTGATATTGAAGTGAGTGTCGTTAGCTAATATCGACTTTACCGGTATAGACGAAGCTCAATTCGATACAAATAAGTCGAAAACTGCAAGTACGTAAACATGGGTTGGTGTCCTAACTAGGCAAAAGTATCAATCAATGCACTACATGTTAAATATTCACACCTCTTCTTTCTCTTCAACTATTCCTCCTCAATTTTTTCCTTGTTGCATGCATCATTCACCCGTCACTTCTCACGAAAAGAATGATTCGCCAGTTTGTTCCAACAGAAAGCGCTTGATAAGCGCCGGGATAATGTGGTAGCCACGCAATGACCTTGGACACGATGTGTAGTCCTCGCGCGCCATGAACACAAGTTCATTGATAAAGGAGCTCAGAATATGCTTTCGTTCTTCCGTCGTGGTCGTAAACTTGACCTTGAGACTTGGTTTATACGGCGTCACGTGCAAAAAATGCAGCAGACCGATGCAATACGTGCACGATTTGCACTTGGAGTGGCGCTTACGTGCACTGTGAGCCACATTAGAGCGCAGCCTTGCAAAACTCGAGTACCGCTGTTCAATCTGATAGTCTGGGCCTCTGTCTTTTGGTTCGAGATCCCCTGGACGCTTGTGTGGTGGACATAGCTGCCCCGTTGACACAGAACGACGTGTAGACGGCAATCCCTTTTGCTGACGATAGCGATATACGTCCAGTATAAAGTAAATAACGCCATCTTCACGCTCTATCACGTCGTGAATGGTAATAAACTCGATGCGTGAAAGAAATTGACGGACCTCTCTGGCTCGAGACACTTGCTGTGGGAACATCATGACGGGCGCTAACTTCAGCTCGCGTAGCATGAATATTGTTACATCCAATGCAGTCGTTCCTCTCTCTGTCTCTCCATCAATTGTCGTAACGTTTTCATTCTTGTGACTGCTTAAATTCGGAGGTGAAAAAGTGTCGAGCATTAAAGCAGTGACTTCATGTTGTTCACTGTCATCTGAGTTGACTTTTGCCATAAGAAATTCGTTCTGAGAATTATTTAAAGTGACATTTCTTTTGAAGTAGTAGCTGCAGAAGCCCGTAATCACGCGACATCGCGTAATACCTTTTAGAAATGATCATACTGCCACTTCTGGCTTAATATCGGTATGTCGGTTTCGTATCGGTTCCCAACCTACTAGTATACTACCGGTTCTCTACCAGTTCTCTACCACACCTTCCCATCATCTTACAATATGATGCTGTCCGGTGACGGCAGCCGCAAACGCACAGCGACACCTCGCTCTTTGAGCATCAACAAACGTAATAGCTACGGTACTGGTGTATTCTGCGAGACCAAACACTTGGACACAGAGGCATCAGAAGTACAAGACCACGACACGAATGAGGTTAACGATCGTCCACTGACGCGACATGGACGACGTCGGAAGTGGGCTTCTAGTTTTGTCGTGGGCGTTGGAATCGTCGTGCTCTTTGTCGTGACGTCGTTGTATCAGACGAGACAGTCAAAAAACATACAAACAGATGTACATGTTTCGATACGTTACAAACTGTTGCACCAGCTGTTGGAACAGCTGCCAGAGCTCGTACCACTTGAGACAAGAAGGTCAGTCCATGGAGAACTAAATACCTCTCTAATTGTAGCTCAAAAGCTCGTTAATAATGGTCCCATTGCATTCTACACACGTGCCTTTGACAATTCGGTACCTGGTCCTTTATTGGTGTTACAACCAGGAGATGTTTTAAATATCCATTTGATAAACAAGTTAGGACCCAATGGACCGGGAAATTGGACTTTCAACACCATGCATGGACCGAATAATACGAATTTACATTTTCATGGAATGCATGTGGATCCAACAGGGACAGCAGACAATGTGTTTCGTATTGTATCTCCTGGAAAAAGTGCCAAGACTCGGCTACATGTTCCACAGAATCATCCACGAGGATTATTCCATTACCATCCACATGTCCATGGATCAGTGTTTTTGCAAATGAGTGGAGGGATGGTCGGACCTATTGTGGTGGAAGATGACCCGGATACACTACCACAACAATTTGTAGCAATCAAGCAACAACATGTCGTGGTGTTGCAAGAATTCAAGTTTAGCGGAGGTATATTGACATCGTTAGTGGGGGCGGCTCAGGCATCGCGCAGTACATTGGACATGCAGCTCACGTATACTAACAAGACCAAGCTTGAAGCACAGGTGAGAACGTTGTATCCGGATGTACAGGAGATGGAGCGCCCTATTCGAAATGCTAAATTGTCAAAGGAACTGCTGGAAGAAATGGACTCGTCCGGAGAGAAGCCGCAGATCCCACCCATTGCCCAATACTTTTCCGTGAACGGACAATATCTGCCCAAGATCAAAGTGCACCCACATGAAAATGTCCTTCTTCGTATGCTGCATGCTGGTGGTACGGCCTCTTTGGAAGTGCAAGTGCCGGGCTGTGTTATCACATTGGCCTCAAGTGACGGCCTTTATCTGCCAAAACCTCGTCAAATGAAAACTGTAATACTTTCACCTGGAGCTCGAGTCGACCTCATTCTGAACTGTGAGCCCAGCGCAGACGGCGGCATGGAGATGTTACGGCCAATTCAATCCGTTAAGAACCCAGAACTTCATGATTTTATGGGCAACCACTCGGATCTCTACTCTGGCGTATTAGCGTTCGTCCATGTGCAAGGCAAGTCACTCGCTGAACCTCTTATCACAGCGGTACCGCCGCCTTCGGAACTTTACGGTCCATCGAAAAGTTTGCTCGATTTGTCGGCGGAGGATCGTGCCAGTATGGATCCGCTGCCATTCGCGTTTGAGTTCACGATGGGTGATGTAGTGATGAAGGACGGCTTTTACTACAAGCCGTACTACATTAACCATGCGCTTTTTGATGGCAGCAGTATCCGTACTATGACCCTTGGTCGCGTGCAGGAGTGGATCATCATCAACAGGAGAGACGAGAGCGGTGAAGTGACGCTTAAAAACCATCCGTTCCACTTGCACACGAATGCTTTCCAAATTGTAAATATGAGTCATGGTCACGGCATCGACTACGAGGTCGGTGACTGGCGCGACGTCATCTCTGTGCCCACACCTGGAAACGTGACCATTCGTTTTCGCCCGGAGGATTACACGGGTATTGTCGTTGCACACTGTCACGTTCTTGGCCACTCGGACGCAGGTATGATCGCCGGTGTGGAAATGATTGCTGGGGATTGAGAAGATAGACCGGAGTATGCAGACATAGTAATGCATGAAGTGGTGACTTGAAAATGAATCATGTATATGAATGTTAACGAGTGCTCGTTGACACGTCGAAGTGATTCCCCTCGCTACTAGATGTACTGTACGAAGCTGCTCGTGGTGTCTTCAGTTAGTGATGCGAGTTGATTTCTGCTTGGATTTCGTCCAACGTCTTGCCTTTCGTCTCCGGCACGAATTTGAGTGAGAATCCCAGTGTGAGTGTGAGTAGAAAAGCAAATGGAACGAAAATAAAGTCGCCCAGGGCAGCTTGCATGGCAGGAAAGACAATGCCAATGACGAAGAGTCCTATCCAGTTGACCATCGTAGCGATAGAAGTGGCCGAAGTACGCGACTTGGGTGGAAACATCTCTGCTGCAATTAACCATGGAATCGGACCGAGGCCGATCTCGAAGAACCACACAAAGCTCATGACACCGCCTACACTTAGAATGCTCGAATACGGCAACAGATCTAGAAGTCCCACCGTCATAATTGCACTTGACACGAGCATGCCGACAATTGACCATAGCAGCAGTGCGCGACGACCAGCAGAGTCCATAAGCATGAGAGCAACAATTGTTGCCAGTACATTCACAATGTAGACCAACGTAATGCCAACAAGCGAGTTTTCCAGTCCAGCACTTTCGAAGAACGAGCTAGCGTAGAACATGACCGCGTTGATCCCGCTCAATTGCTGTCCCAATTGCAACACCACAGCAACTAGTAGCGGCAAGCGAATGTTCTTGTCACGTAATACGTCTCCGACCCCTTGGATATCCCCCGTCTCGCTGCTATTTGCAGCCGAAATGTTATCAATTTCATCACTTACATCGTCCGTCTGCCGCAACTTCCGCAACGTCTTCTCTGCTTCTATTGGATTGCCATTGTTCAACAACCACCGTGGACTCTCCACCAATAATGGAGAAAGCACAAGTTGTAAGGCGCCAAGTATTCCGGCAAATCCGAACATTAAACGCCATCCTGGCCGTGTAATGCCCTCACTCTCGCCTGCAAAGCCAAAAGCAAGAATAATTGTTGCTAGAATACCTAGCACCATAGCAACTTGGTACGTTGTTCCGAGAGCTCCACGCAAACTTGGAGGTGCTAGTTCGCCAAGATATAGCGGTACAATGACGGTAGCTGTTCCAGATGCAATTCCCACAAGGAAGCGGCCGATAATGAGCATGTACATGTCAAATGCAAATGCCATAACAAGTCCAGAGAGCAAAAAGAGACAGGAATTGGCATACATGGTCTTCTTCCGACCAATGGCACCACTTAATTGTCCACCGAGAATGGACCCAAATGGTCCACCCACTGCAAAACTGGATACACAAAGAGCCCAAAGCATGTCCGAATGACCTGGAAAGACTACATTAGGATTCAAAGCTCCCGTGATTGCCGTATTGTAGCCATATTGAAAAGCATTGATGACTGCCACGGTACATGAGACTAGTAATGGGTACGTGTACCCCGGCTCAGGTTCGTCATCTTCTTCGTTCAATAAAGGTTTAATTTCGCCATGCTGGTAAAATCGATAGGAGTTTTTAATATTCGGTTTGAAAGGGAATAAAAAGATAGAATGTTATACCTTTTTCACAAGACGAGAAAGATTAGCCCATGAACTACGAGGACGGAGCTGAGGAAATTCTCGTTCACTACGGAAAGATCGACGACGCATGCCTGGAAGCGCACGAAATGGCAGTTCTTGGTACAAACGTCGTTGCTCTTCACCTGAATCGAGTTAAATGTAGCCATGTTATAGTTTATTGTCATAGATTGATAATGTAAAGCATATGGTTCTGTAGAACGTACCATATGATTTTAAATTGTGTACCGTACTCGCTCGGTCTAATCCTTGAGCTTTCTTCAAATTTTCCCAGCTTCTGTAGCCACCTTGCTCCAATCCACCACTTAATGCGGTCGACGCCATGACAAAAAATAGTCACGTTCAAAGATCTTTCACGTCCGTTTTGATGTCAAGCAAAACCAAAAGTGAAGATCGAGCTGAATGAGGCCGAACGGTCAGTCGAAGAAGCCAAGTGAGATCTTAAATGGACGGCTTGGCAGCCAGTATCCTTGTGACTCCCACTTCAACGTCACACGTCACAGATTCCTAATTTAACGTATATTATAGGTTCAGTATAGATGCATAAAACCTACAATCATGACGCTCTCAGGACAAGACACACCGTATGATTCTTTGCATTTTCTTTGCGTGTGATTGGAATGTTAATTTGCACTCGAGTCTGTGGCTAGAACCGTCGCATTTTGTCGTAAATTGTAGACACCTTGAAGTGCCCGTGCACTAGAAAAAAGACGGCCTCGTTCTAATGATGTGCGTCTCATGAGCTTTTCAGTTGGAATTGATCCAGTCGTTGGAAGTCGTCGTAAAGAAGATGGATCATTTGTCGAGTTCTCATCACTTGCATCAGGTTCTGGTTCTGGTCCAAAATGGGAGTGATACAGTAGTGGCACATGCCGCGTAGGACCAGTAAATGAAGTGAAGCGACTGAGTCGCATTCCGTTATGATCGTCAATGGCAGTCAATAATTTGGGAACTCCATTGTCCATGCAATGCTCTTGTTGAACCAGCGTGACGAGTTGAATCAGTTGTGTGTATTCGACACTCGTGCCTTGGAGTTCAAGCAATAGACTAACGACACTGTTGAACTTGAATCGAGTCAAGTGAGTGAGGAAACCAAACGACGTCAAGACTGTCCGAAGCTTGTGAATGTCAATGAAGCCCGTACGATGCAAGTCGTGCGACTGTAGTACTTGGTCCAGATCGGCAACTGAACATCCACTTTCCTTAAGACACTGGATCAACCCAATTGCAAACTCTGACCGTAGTTCGACAATCTCACTAAAGTGACTCACTACTTCGCCCAGTACCGTAACGTCAATGCGTACAATACTGGAGATCAGGACAAAGTCGCGAAAGATACCTTTCTGGAGAAACATGCCATTCACGACCAACGGAAGCGGGATCAAAATGATCGGCAAAAGCCCAAGTTTGTCATATATATCGTCAAAGCTGTAGATTGCACCCTGCGCAAGCAATGCAACAAAGAATGCATTCAGGACCGTCATGAACGTGACGACAACATGCCACGCATTGCACCAAAACAAAGGTAGATGAATCTTCGGTGAATCAGGCAAGACACCATCACTTGGTCGTGGTGCCGAACGCTTCTTGGAGCTCAAGATACGCATGGCTTTACGAAAGCAGGTCGTAAGTAATTCAAGTCCTGCATCACCTTTCAGTTTACCTCCTTTCTCTGCCTCCTGTTCGAGTTCCATTTCTTCATGTTGCGCATGAATTCGGTTCATAGCATCTAACGCGCTGTCAGCAGCTTCATGTTGCCAAGCACCTGCCTCATCTTCAGCGATCTGATTGAGGGTTCCAATCAGAATGGGTTTCTTGGTGCTGTAGCCTCCAATTTTCAGCAGTCGGTGCTTACAAAAGCGGAAGTAGAGCAGCACGAGGATATTGAGCAATACGGATACCCAAGCAAACACCATGAACGTCTCAACGAGCTCGTAGTGCACATTGATTTTGAAATTCTCGAAAATTTGAACGACAGCACTGAGAGCCCATGACATTCCAAGTATGAGTATCCAAATGGACGGTTCAACTTCAATTGAATGGACAATGTTGTTGGCCTGAGCACGGCGTAGGTATTTCGAGAAAGGAAAGAGTTGAGGAAGTCCGAATCGAGAGAGAAAGAGATGTCGTAGTATTCGATGCTCGATGACTTTTTTCTTGAGTAGATCAGCATTTAGTTTTCTGTTGTCCGATGTCGAAGTTGCATTGTCCGACGCATTCAAGACATTGACCAAGTCTTGAGTTGTAATCAATTCGGCTAGATCCACTCGTTTGTTATGTCTTCGTAGTAATAGCAGGACAATGATTGCTTGGTACACAAGTCCAAGGGCCAAAATAAAGATGATGAGATCAGCGACTTCAAATGCCAACATGGTACGACTATGATCATCTAAACCACCTACTTCCGTCAGCATCTTAACAATGAAACTCAGTAGTCCGAGAATCATTAATTCACGATAGACTTTCTTGAGCATGAGCTGATACTTTTCATTGTGGGCTGCAAGATAATGCTCCAAGTGATGTAAACCAGTTTCAAACAAGAGGAGACATATTGCCAATACATTCAAGACGACGACAATCTGATACACTTGGACATCTCCATCTACGGATTCTTCAGCCATTTTTTACTTGGGCAGGAATAAACAAATGAAAGCGATCATGCACGTACTGATTCTTCCTTGAGGATGAGTACATTCTCGCCAATCCAATCATATTGTCAACTGTTTTATGCCATAGGTACGTACGTACGTACGTACGCAAAGCAACCATGAGCTTCCTGCTGATTTTTTTAGGGTGGGTAGTACCCATGCTCCACGATTTTTTAGATGCATTCCATCAGCAGTTGAGAATCTAGTTTTTTGATTGAGGCACGAGTCTAGACAAGTGGCTAGTTAAAGCACTGTGTACGCCAAATTCGAGGGTACAGAGTCCATTTGGGAGTCAGATCCTCTGCGGATATTAAACATATCGTGGAGCGCTCGAGAGCTCGAGCCAGCAAATTGATGAGTATAGCTACGTTCCAGCGTCGGACCTCGTACGCGGTTGTTGTTTTCCGGAGTCGCGGTTGTTGGGTAAGATTCAGACACTCTAGGAAGTGTCAGTCGACGGATATTGGCTTGTCCTGGCGTGTCCAAAGTCACGAAATCGCTCGCTTTTGGATCAGACGCAAAGCTCGGTTGTGGCAGCAAAGGTACTTGACGTGACGTCACTGACGCTACACGACTTGCTCTTGCACCGGGCTCGGAAACAGTCCTAGTTCGCTGCAAGAGCGGGTGTTGGCGTCTTTGATAGGCTGAACCATTTTCCGTCGGAGCTTCATTCTGTCCAAGTGCCAATAGCCGAAGTAGTTGATCGTACTCGACTCTTGTTCCATTGAGTTCAAAAAGCAGCTTGGCAACGCTATTAAAGCGGAAGCGCGTCAACTTGAAGCCAAAGGCCGTTAGAATGGCACGAAGTTTGTCAATGTCCATCATACCAGTCTGTCGTGGGTCGTAGGCGCGAAGTTCTCTTTGCAAATCCATGACCTTGTAGTTTCCCTCTTTCAAACACTCTAGCAACGAGGACGCAAACTCTGACCGTAGCTCGACAATCTCGCTGAAATGGTTCACCACCTCGCCTAACGTATTGGCATCCACACGAAGAATGCTGCAGATGGTCACAAAGTAGCGGAACATTCGTTGTTGAAACACAAAAGTGTTCAAAACCAACGGAAGAGGAACGATGATTGCGGGAAGCAGCCCAAACTCTTCGTAAATGTCGCTCAAGTCGTACACGGCGCACTGCACAAGCAGAGCGATGAAAAATCCGTTGAGAATCAGCATGAACATCACCACAACGTGCCATGCCTTGCGTGAAAAGAATCGGATGTGAATGTCTGGACTTTCAGGCTGCACCCCACTCGGTAGTTTATGCAGCTTGACACGACCGATTTGACTCAAATTGCGACAGCAAGTAGCCACGAGCTGTAGTCCGACATCTTTCCGAAGCAAAACGTGTCGCGCGGCATTGCGACTGTCCTCGATCTCTTCAAGTTCTTCTTGTACCTGGTTCATGGTGCTCAGAGCACTGTCAGCCGCTTCACTTTGCCAAGCAGCAGCCTCAGCTTGAGCGATTTGTTGAAGATTATCAACCAACGTAGTCTCATCGTCACTATAACCAGCAGCTCGCAGTAGCTGGCGAACACAAGAACGGAAGTAGATCATCGCCCCAACGTGAAGCACGACGAGTCCCCAGGCGAAAACGACGAAAACTTCAACGAGTTCATGACTTTCAGGAAGATCGATGTCCATTTTGTGGAGAGCACTAAAAAAGCCACAAAGCATCCAGGCTACAGCTAGTAGAAGAACCCACATGGATGGCTCGACTTCAATCATGTGTGAGATCTGGTGTGCTTGAGCACGACGAAGGTACTTGGAGAACGGGAAGAGCTGCGGAAGTCCAAAGCGACGAAGAAACAAATGCCGAAGTAGTCGACGTTCGACTGCGTCTTGCTCAACTCCTTTGATCGATTTGCTCGGCCAACAAAACCATTTCGTTGGTTTCAATTGTGCTGCAGGTGGGTGCGTTTCAGTCGGTGGACGAATGGCATTGACCAAGTCTTGTGCCGTGATTAATTCAATGCGATCAGCTTGTTTGTTGTGTTTGCGTAGCTGCAAGAAGACGATGAGTGCTTGCAGAATGAGTGCGAGGGCCAAGATAAAGATGGTGAGGTCAGCAACTTGGAAAGCCAACATGGTCTTACTGTCAGCGTAGACACCCGGTACTTCCTTGAGTAGTTTCAATCCAAGACTTAGTAACCCAAGCACCATGAGTTCTCGATACGCTTTTCGAAGCATTTGCTGGTACTTGTCATATCGTGAGAGTTGATGCTCGACCCGATGAAGAGCGGCCTCAAAGAAAACAAGACAGAATGCCAAGATGCTCAAGTGAACTAGTACCCGCCAAAATTCGACCGCTTTACCGACTTGAAACAGCGATCCGCCTGCCATGTTGTTGATTCGAATATGAGACCGTCCTTCCTTGATGTAACGTGTTGGTCAGTAAAGAATGGCCGGACGTTGGTAGCTTGTTCTTCTTCTCGCAGTGTCGTCAAATGTATCGTCACACCAGCTGTGGTCTGTCGGTCTGGTCTACCTCTGTTTCGTAGTCCTGGTTAAAGATAGACACGAACAAGTGCACTGGAATTTTTCAAAGGGATCTCACCCGTGTGCTCTGCAATAGGCTGCCAAAGGATGTGACGTACAACCACGTACGTGGTAGAACGGCTTGACGACTCACTCGATGGGAAGGACGATTGAAGGAATCTCGCATCTCCGACTCGATTCGCGTTAAAAGACGGACGGTTGTGACGTCGCTCTTCCCACAATGGAACGCACGCCACCAAAAGACAAAGATGGGGTCACTGTCTACATGCTTAATGAGTCTCTACAAGGGACAACAGGTAAAGACATTACGGTTTTGCAATGGAAGAAGGAGGTATCGAGTTATTGAATTGGATGTGTCTAGATAGTTATTGCAGTCGCATGATGGAAATTCTAGCGGTCGAAAGACTTTTGTTGATGGCAGGAAGGGCGAACGACAAGACCGGTGTGCCTATCGATTCGACCGTAGCAACCACATTCTTCAGCATCCATTGGGATCGTTAGCAGCACTTTGTCACAATCAGAGCAACGCCACGTTGTCTTTTACATGGGCATACAAAAAACTCTTGCAGCCTTTCGACGGAAAAATTTACAGCGTTGATGGTATATTTTGCACCTGCATGTGCTCCGTCACACGGTGCGTGAGGCAGTACTTCGTGACCTCAGTCGACATGCCCGATGGCAATCGAGTGCTAATTATCTTATTTAACTTTGTTGGCTCGACAGTTATTCAGTGATATGTTTTGGAATTAGCTGTCGAGCCAGCAAGTCAAAGTTAGCGCTTTATCATATCTTAAACTTGGCTATAAACTTACTAATAATGTAGGCAGTATCGTCTTGTGAGGTCAATACGCATGGTATAATATACACACAAGATCGAGGTGGGAGATACTATATGCTTGGTATAAAGTTCAGCTGTATTGAATGGCTTGATGGTTGGTTAGACATTATGTACCTGTACAATCCTCTTCGGTTACCGATGGTCGCACGCGTAACGAGCAGTGTATGATAAAAGACACGAGCAAACCGGTACGAAACATGGTGGTACTTTGTAAAAAGTACCCCACTTTATGTGACTAAAAGAAGGTTACATAGGAAGTAACTCAATCCTAAAACCTTGTACGACCGTGACGTACCGGTACCGTACGTACTGGTATCATAAAGGCTCTCCTTAATTAAGGATTCGACTTTATTCCAGCTCAGATCCTTCCGAATGCTGTCTCTGCTACTGGTGCTTTATGCGGTTTGGCTGTTTCTAGCCGGTCATTTCACTCAAGCCACGGATGATCCATATACGATTATCAATCGTATCGATGAGGGGGATTCGGTCATCGCAGTCGTACATTATAATGGAATTCTCTTTTTATTGTACGACCAAACGATAATCGGAGCTGAATTCAACGACCCGGAGATACGTAATCAAGCGGCTTTTCCAGGCTTTGCTATTATGCAATGTGCTGCTTATTTACACGAGAAACCTACTCGAGCAATGCAAATTGGACTCGGCATTGGAACGATTCCCAGTTTTTTACGCAAAATGGATATCCCAACAGGTTTGAAACGGTTTTAAATTTCTAAAATTTGATAAACTAGAAAAGGTTTTTATTTTAGAATTTTGTACTGCAGATGTGGTGGAAATTAGTGAAGCGGTTGTAAATCAAGCAACGGACTATTTCCAGTATCAATTATGCCAAGAAGAAGAGAAGAATCAAGAGTTTGAAGAAGAAAAAGAAGAAGAAGAAGAAGAGTTTGAAGATGAAGAAGAAGAAGAAGAAGAGTGTTTTAATGGACGGACGTTTGTAATGGATGGATTGAAATTCATAGCGAGTAAACCAGTGGATCTTGGGATCCAAACGGATGACAATCAACAGCCCTACGATCTCGTTATTGTGGACGTCTACACGGGCTCGAATCCTTTTGAATTTTTTGTTCGGGAAGAAATGCTGCGTATTCGTGACAATTGGTTGAGACAAGAGGGAGTTTTGGTCATGAATTTTGTTGGATACATGCAAGGGTTTCGTACTGCCGCTCCTAAATCCATCTATCGGACGCTACAGAGTGTGTTTAAATACGTGAAAAGTTTTCGGGAAATGGAAGACGAGCCGGATGAGACGGAAGCAGCAAACATTGTTTTCTATGCTTCGGACAAACCTTTCAGCTTTGATCTACCGACCACGCAAATGTACGAGAATCCTGAAAGAAATACTTACTACAGGGTAAGCACGTGGTTTGTGCTGTTGCTTTTTTTGTATTGTTTCATGTCCAGAACCTGGAACCTAATGCTGCTGTCATTTGTTTCGTAGGTGGTCAAACACTTTCCGGAATGGGAGGTATCGGGGTTGTCGACTTTTCTTGTTCTTGCTGCTCTACAGCAACTGACTTGCGTTTTCATGAGGTTTGCCGTAGATTTTTACCGAGCTAAAGGCTGAAGTGGAAGTCGCAATTCATCAGGAGAATGACGATGAAGACGTGCGCTTTGTGGAGAACGATGAAAAGTCCACGACTGATGGTCGCACTGCTGCGATACGCGTGCTAACTGAGGCTGATCACGGCCAGGAAGATTTCCGTGAGATTCACACTGACACGCAGGCCCATATGCGTGAGCGTGTTCTGGACCAATTTCCTTCAGCACTTTGGGAGGACCTCAAGCAGAAGCCAGACAGCACCACTAGCGAGTAGATGTTACTTGCAGAGGTGAGACCGACCTGCATTGCTAGATTGTACGCGGTGTACATCATAAAACATTTGAATGTAAGTTGTTCGGCTTGCCAACTCAATTACCATCGTCGCTGCTTCTTCCAAGCAACGGCGCTTGGACTATCCGGTTCGCATTCATAGACCATCTCCTCTTCTTCGTCCTCCTCTTCGTCTTCTGTACTAGCAACTTCGATATCCTGGCTAGTCACAATGTTTTGAACAAACTGCACCTCCGTCGCTGGCAGCTCCAGGTAAGCGCCCAGCTCATGTGCCTCATGTTGCAGACGGCGTGCTTTTTCAACATTCCACTCTTCAACTTCAAGTGTCTTTGTCGCACGTAACCATTGAGCTGCCTTATTCACTCGTTCTGCGATCGTTAGCTGCATGAGTCGATATTCCTCACGAGGAAATGCAAAACCAGGCTCTTGTCTCTTCACGTCTTGCAGCAGAGCAGCCAGGTGTGCATACTTTGGAGCTCGATTATTAGCGCCTAAAACAAGTTCACATGCTCGCAAACACCAGTGCACAGCCCCTAATCGAGCTTGCGCCATCTCTAGCCCAACTTCCAGACTTGTCAGGCGCTCCATAAGCTGAATGACAGCAGCTTCCTGGATCTGCATGTAGTTCGGCGTGGCAAACACACTGGGTGAAAACTCTCGCAACGCAAATTTTTGGGCGAATTTGTTGACTTCACGTTCGACCTCCTTCACAGCCTGCACGTAAGCGATGAGCTCGTGTGCTCCTGGAGGACACGCCACCAATTGGGTCTTCAGTTGCGTCAAAAAACTCTCCACTCTAGCGAGCGCCGGTCGTCTTCCCAAACAGTCACGACGCAACAGCTTCTTGTTCAGGTAATAGAGATTCTGTCGTCGCGAACAACGTGGACAGCGGAATGCATCGATACGATCAAGCTCATGCGGCATAAGGTCCACGCACGCTGCATGGTACCATTCATCGCAAAAGTCACAGCAGATCATGGGCGCTTGGTCGACACCACGGCAGACGCAGAAAATCTGTGGTGGTTCATTATCCCTTGAGTTATGGCTCGCACGTTTTCGTGGAAGAGGACGGCAGGTCGCACAAAGGAAAACGTCCTTTGAATGATGAGGGATTAGCTCCGGCACACACTGGGGGTGGAAGTAGAGATGACAACGTTGGCAAGTCACGACCTGAGCTCGCTCACTAAGTACCTGTTCACAAACGCAGTGCAACTGCGAATGCACACGCAAAGCCTGGCTTGGAGTCTGTGAGAGTTGCTGTTGCACCTTGCCCAGCGATGTTTGCAAGAACTGACTCAGTGGCAAATGGCTATTCGATGGACGCAGAAACAACGCGTGAACGGCGTCGTACCATCGACGGCAGTCTTGCATACGTGAGTGCACTTGTCGACGCAGTAGAGACGCACTAGGCACAAAATGTTCGTCGGCTTGAGCGTATAAGCTTTCTACCTCACAAAGTGAAGGTCGCTCCTCAATCGACCTGTAACTTGGAGAAGCTCCAGCAGATCCAGAAACGACAACCATAATTTGTTGGGCGCGATGTTCCCATAACTTGCATTTCTCAAGTCGCTTTTCCAGTTCCTCTGCATTCTCGGGAGGAACAGGTAAGGCCCTCGCACGCCGAAGCAGAGCCTTCAATTCTTCCGTGCTTTTTGAGCGATCACTTAGCGCTTCATTCACCTCTGCTGCCTCAGCTTGAGTTGCTGCAAACAGCTTCTGCAATACCACAGCATTTGCAATATACAGGTCTGGACCGCACAATTCACTTACCTCATGCAACACTCGTTCAACTTGTACTTGCGTCGGTGCACCCATGGCGTTGCTCCCTTGAGACCTCTCCACAATAGTGGCAGATAGGACATTCACCTTGCAAAGCACTTCTAAGTACCGCTCTGCACTTGCAAGTTGACTGCGTAGGCTGCCAGCAGCATCGTCTTCTTTCTTTGCACGCAGGCGATTATTCACATCAGCGATGGCCGTAGAAAGCTTTCCGAAGCGCACAATGCCGTGAAGCAAGATGTTAGGAGCGCCCATCAACTGAACAATCGACGCAGGATCGGTGAGCGAAGCTCTAGGTCGAGTTTTCTTCGTGTCCTCATCGCGAGAGATTTCGTTTACTAATCTAAGCATCGTGATAGCGTGATTTCGAATTCCACGCCACTCATTTACAACGTCCTGAATCTTTCCAACTGTTGCAGGCTCAACAAGCAATTTCTCTGCGTCCAGCAACAGTGACTCAAACTCGCCAAGTGTGAGATACACCTGCTGTTGTGGCTCGAACGCGATAAGTAGCCGGTCAGCTCGACAGTCCCATTGCTTAGCGCTAGCAATCGCAAACTCCAATGAATCCAAACGTTTTTGGTTTGCACCACCACACGATTTGCCACGCGATAGCAATCGCTTCAAGTCAAGTACTGTTATCTTCGTACCAGGAGAATGGTCGCCTTGTCCTCTTGCATGCTGCATCACTGTGTCAAACTCGCTGTTCCATTCTCGGACATTATCCAGCCGTCTTCGCACGCTACTAATCATTTCTTCGAGTCGCGTAGCCTCGTTGCGGTATAAGTACACAAAGTTATTTGGATCCCCGCACTTGCACATTGTCGGATAGTGCTCCAAACAGCCAACGGTAGAGTCACTGCTACTTCCATGCGGTGGGCGGCATCTAGTACACACTACGGCTTGAAGATAGCAGTACTGCTTACAAGTTACGCAGCGAAGACCTTGACTTTTGCCCGAACGACCTGCCCACAGTACCATCCTAGTAGAGCGCATTGATGTATCAGAAGTTTCCATCATCTTGGACCCTCTGGTGCTCTGTGCTGAAATGCTACCTCCCATCTTTGAAGGTCTGTTGCACGCTCGAGCCACCATATTCCGCCTCGTCGAGGACGTTGACGAGATTTCAGGGTCAGTTGTACCAACAGTTCCTCGATATTCATCCTTCTCGAAATCGGCAATGAGCTCGCGCTTTAGCACATGCATCTTACTGTTTGTGTCTCCAACGCGCCGCTGGAACTCGAGATAATCCTGCAACAGCTGCTCTACCGCTGGCAGCAAGAACGATTCAGTGTGCTCAAAGTCAAAACTGCTGCTGTCCACGAGAGTTTCAGCTAGAGTCCACACAAGTGCGTCATGGCAAAACACAGGAAGCTTTCGGAACTCTCGATACTTTCGTAAAGACTTTGCACCCCATGGCAACCAGTCTATCGTGGCAAAATTAACTGCTTCAGCACAGTTAAACCCAGTGTTGAAGCCGGCGTGGTATGCCGACGGAAACGTGACAATGAACTCATTCGGGCGGTGCGTAGCACGGTATACGGGAACGCCATGCTCGCGCAAAGTTTTGGGTGAGAACATCGTAACCAGTTGCATATGCAAATCTGGTTGACTCCCAAAAAGCTCTGGTGTGAGTTCCTTCATCGTACGTTCAAATTGCTCAGCGCTGGCACACGGAATACCGTACCACGTCTTCGGTGCACCGCAGTGCAAATAGCTCGTACTGTAGAAATTGTGATCCTCCACGTGCCAACAAAAAGTGGAGAAGCACATTCCTGCATACAACCACGGGATCATAACACCTTTAATGTCCTCGTCCAAGTGCTGAAGCACGGAGCCAGGCAGCTTAGGCATATTGTTCAAGTTCCAGTCATCCTGCGCGTACTGCTGCAGCAAGTCCTCCAGCGACTGAATAGAGTCGACATTTTGATTCTCCCCTCCAGCACTCGTTGACAGATTCTCACGTAGCCCATGCGAGAAGAACTCGCTGAGCTGACGAATGTAGTCACTCTTTGCCTTAGTCGTCAGATTTTTCCAGCGCTTGGATACTGTACGCAAATTCTTTGTGTATAGATCCAAGCGAGGAAATCCGCTTCCATTGGAACCAGTATCGACATCGCTGCCGTATTGCACTTCAAGTCGCTGCTCGTGGACGGGAATACTCAACAATTTCCAGTACTCAGTTTCTAATTGTCGGTCACTAATCGCTTCGTCCGGGTCGACATCGGATGACAACGAGAAATACTTCCTTTTCCATGCATCCGCACGTTCTTTGTAGTCTGCCATGCTGATCTCTGCTCCCATATCAAATCCAAACTTGGGGTTCGTCTTGCGTTTATCTGGGTTCGTTGCATCTTTTACACATGCTTTGCAATACCAGTCACCGGTGGGCACTGCGGCCAACGGCTTTTCCAAACAAAAGAGATGCTGTCCACTGTTGCAACGATCACATAGCAGCATTCTGTCCCAGCAATCGCCACGCAAACAAACCTGACAGATCTCGCTATTATACGCAAGCTCAGCAGCGCCTGCGTCCCAACCATTGGCGATAAGGATCTCCATAGTGGACATCTCAATATCGTCGTTTGAACCATCCTCCATGTAACGTACTACAACGTGTGGCTTCTTACCACTAAAGATACGTTTCACCTCCGCTAGCACTGCTCCTGCATCAGGGAAGAACCGGTAGAACTTTTGTCCAACACAAATTTCTGGAGCACTAAGTCTCACGTTGCGGGTGTCCGACGGTTTCAGTGATTCAGGCTCAAGGTTGCGCTGCTGAATCTTTCGCTTATGGTCTTGTTGTCCATTTCCATCTTCCGGGGAAATAATTGGGCGGGTGTCATTCTCTTCGCTGCTCGTGTGCTCGCCCTCTGAAAACAGTGTACGCTTCACGCGCAAATCATCTTTTTCTGTTTCAACCTCGTATCGATTTGTAGATACGGAACGCTTTGATCCACTAAGAGTTCGAGCCCTAGATGATGGAGTCGCTTTGGTATCACTACAACCACTTGTTCCGGAAGGTGTGGCTTGTATCTCTTCAATCTTCACCTTTTCCTTGGTCACTGTTATGTCATCATTACTATAATTGTTCTCTTTGGCTTGCTGTTCCTTCTCAAACGCGAGCAATGTCGTCTCATAATGTCTCTTATAAATGTGACACAACTCTTCCGACGGTTCACTTGCTGATTTAGTACGACCCACTCGTCGTACGACGTGCCTCCATTGGTCATTTGCACACACTGCATCAAATCCTTTGAGTAAAATCACCGTCTTATACAGCGAATGTAAATTAACTAATTGACCATCAGCACGTGGTAATTCCTTCATCGGTTCACCTCGTTGGTATAAAAAAAGCCGAAGTGCTTCGACAAATTGACCTTCAACTCTTGAATGACCTTCAATACAATTGAGTTGCTGGACACGTGTTCGAAACCGAAACGTTTTTTCATTGATAGCAAAAGGTGGTCGCCAACCTTTTGGTGGTACAATTTTACAAATACCCGCTTGCATTCCAATATGACGAATACTATGGACAAAGAAACACACGAGAAAATAAAATACCATGTCAGTAATTTATGATTAGTACTTTTTGTCTACTAGTGAAGATAAGTTTTCATATCGACTCCAATCACTGTCTTTCAAGAGTAGATAAACTCGAAAGTGGGATGGATAGTAAAATACATTCCAAGAACCTTCCATAGTCATCTCTTCGTGACCAAAAAATGACGTGTACGTCTCTTTACTAATTGACTTACAAATAAAAGTTCATCATGTACATTGCAGCTATTGTAACAGCTTTCGAACCTTTTCAAGTTACTAGAATAGCTGCAATTGTAGCTTCAACGTCGATTGAAATGGCCACGAAGAGGTGAAATAGACCAAATGTGAAATAAATTACCGCACCTGGAAATATATTTCAACGGGTGCTTGAACTCCTTAGCTGTAGGATAAAAAACTGGACAGGGTGGACATATGTAGCCATCGGTGTTTGTCACGGTAGGGTCCCAGTTCATTGTCGATAACTTGTGCGTGAGAGTCGTAGAATAACGTTGTAAACTTGTTCCTTATAACGACGGCGAATATACGAGAGTGCGGCTCAAAAGACGCTGTCTATACTGTCTAGCAGACTAATTTTTCTACCTGAATTTGTAAATTCTCACAAATAGTTTCAGTAGGTGATAAGGTCGTGTTATATATTTTTCTTACACATTTCTCCTATTGTCAATACCGGTTTTAGTGTTACAAAACACGGCAACGACGAGGCTGGTGTGGTAATTTATAATCGAATATTGCAGCAGCGACCTATTTTAGTACTACTGAGTGAAGACTATCAAGCCAGCAGCTGGTTTGTACAGTATCTACTAAAGTAGGTTCCGTATTCAAATACACTGCTATACTATATGAGACATGCTTCTCTTGAAAGTATAAGAATATAAAGGTTAACGCGTATGCGAATATATTAGCGACGACGGCTTCTTTCTCGAGATCTAGAGCGTTTCGAGCTCTAAAACGTAGCAATCCGATACTCCTGTGTCTAATCTACGTGTTCGTATTGTTTTGATGCATAGAAGACGTTTCCACGCATCACACACGTCGCACCGAAGCTATTTCTCCACGTGCGGCACGTTGACGTAATTTATGCTTGATGATAGTGGTCGTAAATTAAGACGGTGTATGCATAAAACATCCGATTTTTGACATTTATCGGTACAAAAATGACAGAAAATCCTTTTTAACCGACTTTATGGATTAAATAGGACCTACTATATAGATTAAGAATAAAGTGGTATCAGAGCCAAGAGACATGGGGCCAGAAACGCTGCATAAAGTGTAAAACCACTGACCACCTGACGGCTATGAGCTTCAGCGTGTAGTCGCATAAGATTAGAATGAGCTTCAGCGTGTAGTCGCATAAGATTAGAAGAATAAATATTGAACGTGTCAAGTGCTTTATGCGCTGACATTGAGACGTCGTATGTTTTGCATATGGAGATGATGAACATCAAAGCCGAAGCGATAACGCTCTTTTTCATGTCGATATTGATACAAAATGGGTTCGTTCACCCTGATGGGCTGAGACATCATCCGTACGTGTCGATCGTAGCATCGAATGCAACTGTTGTTGTTAGACGGTGGTCGCGTCTGACAAGTTGTCAGTCTTGAATCATGAGCACTAGCTGCATTCACGTCGTATCGTTGAGCTCGAAAAGCAACTTGACGACGCCGTTGAAACGGAAGCGTGTCAGACAAGTCTCTCGACGATCGTCTCCTTCAACGAATCCAGTACTGGTTGGGCACAAAAAATAAAAGCACAGAAACATCATGAAAGCCTCGACTAGCTCGTGGCTCTTTAACAAACCGGTGTCAATAGCTTTGAAAGTTTCAAGTAGTCCGTAGATCGATCATGATATACTTGAAGAATGGAAAAAAACTGTCATAGCCCAAAGCGATGAAGAATGAGACGTTGTAATTGGCGAAGCTCAATGAGTTTTTCATGTCGTAAACTCTCTTCTTGGCTGTCCAACCATTCTTGTTGACCCATTAATCAGTCCAAGTCTTAGTGTAGCATCATCATCATATACTCAAGTGTATACTCAAGTGTATACTCAAGTGTATACTCAAGCTAAATGTATACAAAACCTCTCTCTATGTAGCCATTTATCGGCTATGTTGAAGCCTCAACCTTTTAAACCATATCATTTATTCAATTTCACAAGACCTTTTCGATTTTTGATTGGTTAAAACGATCCAATAATATCTTCCAACCACGTGCAATCAAATAATATCTCGAATGGTAGGGAAGCGTCGAAGTCCCGTCGGTGACTTGTCTCCTGACGCTCAGCGCCGTAAAAGGCTCAATACACGGTCACAAAACGACGTACGATCGAAAAACCATGACATTTCTCGCAATGAGCGTCCAACAATGTCAATGGAAGCTCAAAAACTCGCGTCAATAGCGTTGAAAACTCCACCTTCCAGATCAGAGCTACCAATGTTGGTTTTCCACCATCAGTTTCAAGTTCTCGACGTGAGTAATAACCAGGTGATGACGGCCATTGGCAATGACGCATGGGGTGCGTCTTGGCGTGTCATTTGGCAACCTAGAAGTCCCACAAATGACACTTTTGTCGGATTATTTGTCGAGCTTGTAACAGACGCTGCAAAGCCAGAAAACTTATTCGTACGACCCGTAGAATTGAGTATTGTACTCATTAATCAAGGTGGTTTATCCTCAATTATCAAACATACAAGTGTTCATGGATTTTCCAGCGAAAATCCGATCTTTGGCATGAGTCAATTAATTCAACGAAGTGACTTATTGAATCCAAATAATAAATTCTTGACCACAGATGGAAACGTAGAAATTGAGGTGCAATTAAATTTTGTCGAGGAAATTGGAAAAGTTCCAGAAGATCATGAGAAAGAAAAAGTCAAAACACTGCAATCGACAAGTGGTACGCATCCAAATGCAGTTTTGACAACTGATTCGGACGTGACGTTGGAAAGAACGCAGCAATTACGTTCGTACGACTCGAAAGAGGAGACGGGGATGGTGGGGTTGAAAAATCAAGGAGCTACGTGCTACTTGAACTCGCTCTTGCAGACCCTCTTTCACTTGCGAGCATTTCGTCAAGTGGTGTACGAAACACCGACAGCTCAGGAAGACACTAATGAGTCCGTGTCGTTGGCACTGCAGCGTGTGTTTTACAGGTTACAGAGACAACGTAAAGCTGTATCGACAAAGGAACTTACGCGCTCATTTGGGTGGAGTGCAATCGACTCGTTCATGCAACATGATGTGCAGGAGCTGTACCGGATTTTGTGTGATCGATTAGAAGAGAAGATGAAGCACACGAGAGTCGACTCGGCAATTCCAATGCTTTTTGAGGGCAAAGTGAGGTCTTTTGTGCAGTGCGTGAATGTCGATTTTCAGTCTTTCCGTGATGAAAGCTTCTACGACTTGCAACTAGATGTTAAGGGCTGTAAAGACTTGATGCAGTCGTTTCGCAAGTATGTGGAAGTAGAAATGTTGGATGGAGACAATCAGTACGAAGCTACAGGACACGGAAAACAGGATGCCAAGAAGGGTATTGAGTTTGCCACCTTTCCACCTGTTCTCAATATTCAGCTTAAGCGCTTTGAATACGATGCTACGCGTGATGGCATGGTAAAGATTCATGACCGCTTTGAGTTTCCAAAACGGCTTGTGCTAGACGAGTTCATCTCCAAAAGTGGCAAGAAAGAAACAGATAACAGTACAGAGAAATCTCCACGGTATATTTATCATCTGCACAGCGTTTTGGTGCACAGTGGCGATGTACACGGCGGTCATTACTACGTATTTATTCGACCTGGGAAACATATTGCTACAAGTGCGGACTGGTTCAAGTTCGATGATGATCAAATCACGCGCGTCGACGAACAGATAGCGATTGAGGGGAATTTTGGCTCTGCTGGGACCCCTGCAACTCCACAAGATGCATTTACGGAACCGCTGTCACCTCTGTATTCTTCATCACTCTTCTGTTCGCCAGATCGTAATGGTGGGAAAAGCAACGAAAGGAATGGTATGGATGGTCTCGAGTTCAGATCTATGGACACAAGAGGTGAGCCAGGTACTGACGGTGATAATGCAACAGATGAAGTGTACAATTACAGCCAGAGCAATGGCACTCCCTTAGGTCCTGCGTCAGACAGGATGATGCTTCCACTTGGTAGGAGCTTTTCGAGCGCATACATGCTTGTGTACGTGCGGGACGGTGAAAACGACATCAGTGCGATTCAGTATGAGAGAAGTGCGAATGCAGGCACTACCCCAATGACTTCTGCGTTGAGAGGTGTTCCGATGACCGATGGCGAAATAAGCAACAACAAATTGGAAGTGGCATCAGTTGAACCAGAGCTCTCTACGTGGCAAAGCGATCCGCTACCAATCCCAGCTGATTTGGTCACTCGCTTTCATGAAGAGGAGAAGGCAGTCGCCCGGCGCAAGAAAGCCCAGCAGACAGAACACTTGTACATGAACTTTCGTATCGCTTCCGATACGAGTATTGCCAAACTGACACGGATAACAAAGATGATGGATTTCTCGGGGTTTAATAATTCAACCACATTGCGCATCCGTATCAAACGCACAGCATCCATTCGACAGCTTCATCGTCGCGTGTATAACGAGACCGGTGTCCCCATGTCACGACAACGCTTGTGGAAAGTCATTACGCGTGAAAATCGCACAACTCGACCCGACCAACCGCTTCATCCAGATCTGTTTGATTATCGTGTGGACTCGCTGATTGAAGATGATGCCTCGACTAAAGCTCCTGTTAAGTTGTACCTTCAGATACTGGATAGCTTGTCAGAGTCTTCTGCAGCTTCACCCATTTCGCCGTCATCTCCTTCTATTCACGCACACAGAGTAGGATGTATGCGTACAACTCCAGCAACGGTCATCCACCGGCATTTCTGGGACGAATTCACACCTCCTGCGATCGAAGATGCTCCATTGATCGCGAGCGATACAGCATCCTGTCAGGAAGTGGAGGACGAGGACGCAGGTGCTGTTACTGATGAGGCTAGCGATAGTAGTACGTTTCATCACGCGATGCCTTTGCGAGATTACGAAATCTTGTTGTTTATCAAGTTTTATGACCTTAAGAAAAGGCTAGGTGAGCGATTGGAGTACGTGGGTAACATAGTCGTGGATTCGCGAATAACAGGTGCAGAGCTAGCTAAGTGTCTACACGAGGCGCTGTCAATTCCCCTCGCCACGGAATTATTGCTGTACGAAGAGGTGCAACCGACTTCTGTGTCTGAGATTGATATGGAGGCAACACTTTCGGGATCTGAAATTCAAAATGGTGATATAATTTGCTTCCAATACGCAGATGACGAAGCCCTGGCAAATGGTATCGTGATCAACCCTGATGTCGGAGTGGATGATGATCCTGATGCCACGGAGGCGACGTACATCGGCCCTAATGGTGAAGAAGTGACAACCGTCATTTCTTCGGATAGTGATGACCTAGTGGGCACCAGTTCACTAGCAAACAGGAGCGGCTTGTATGCCAACGGTATACGGGGTCTTCATAGCCACGGGTCAGCTGGAATAAGGCAAATGTCTGTGGGGAAGTTACACCAGTACCAACGGCGACTGGTGGAAAGATATCCGGATGTGCCATCTTACTTTCAATACTTGCTAGATCGTGTGGAGGTGACATTTCGCCGCTACGGATACTTGGAGGAAGAATCCTTCACGCTGTCGCTTTTGTTTAGCAATGTGTATGACGAGGTAATCGACGCGGTAGCGGAGTATTTGGGGCTCCTGGGACCAAAACGATTGTTTATACGACTATATCAGCATTCGCCTCTAAACAACTTGCCCATGAAGTCGCCATTACGCCACTCGCGCTACGCTGGGGATGATCAAACTACACTGGAGGAGCTGCTTACCGAGTATCTGGAGCGTACTAACATTTTGTACTACGAGCTGCTCGATCACCCGATCACTGAGATTGAGACGAAGAAGGAGCTGCTCGTGCATCTCAGTATATATGACGCTTGCTTCGCCACCGACCAGGCAGCGTCGCCATCCCCGATTGCACCACAGCGCCATATTGAAGTGCTCGTCATACCCACACACCAGATCTGTGACTTGCTTCAACTCATTCGCAATGGACTTGGACTGCCGGAGGACATACCGTTGCGCGCATGCGAGGTCATCCATCACGGAACAATGATTACGCGGTTGATTAAGGAAGACGAGTCGCTGTCACGCTTTTGTGGCAATGGCATTGTGTCAGATTCCAATTCGCCTGAGATATTAGTGGAACAGATTCCTGCTTACGAGATGATCAGCGATAAAAAAACCACTAGTGAAGACGAAGAGTTTACAGCGTCGGAGCCGTGTGAAGTAGCCGCTAACAGTTCCACGATGGTCACACCAAGTGAAAAGCAATCGTCAGAGAGCCGACCAGCTAAAGCTGCTTTACTAAGCGATCAAAAGGATGCTTTACCTGATGACGACGAATCCACAATATGGTATTACAAGGGCGTGGTGCATTTCAACTTTCTAAAGAACTCCCAAAGGTGGATTCACCCTCATGGAGTACCATGTGTCGTGCGCTTCGGCAAGTGCGACACCGTCGGTGACATCAAGGAGCGTATACGTCAACGGTAAGATCCGCCGTTGTCTTTTGCTCTCTGTGCGTCATTCGACTAACTTTTGGTACATCGTGCTTTTGTGTAGGATGGGTATCGCATTAGAAGTGTTCGCACAGTGGAATTTTGCACTAGTAAAGGACCTGAAAGCGTCGACGCTACAGAATGTGTGCGACGACATGGAGCCAGAGGCACTAGATGTGCTTTCTATGTCGCGGCTTACGGATCTCTGCGGTGCAGACTTTGAAGGCCTTGGTAGCTTGGGGCTGGAGCACGCAGACCCAACGCCAGTTCCTCGCCATCATAGTAACAGGAGGCTTGAAACGGGTATCCATATCCGCCAGAGCTGAGCCAAGTACAAGAGTTCAAGACACAGCTGATTGGATTGTCCGTGTCTGTTGATGTGCAGTGCTGTACCAGTCCACATGCCTGTCGTCTACTGGTTTTGCACGACGTAAGACTTGAAAAAACATGCACTGACTTGGGAGACACAAGGCGACAATACCAAAAACTATCGCCTGTATCGCCATTGCGAGCATATCATGTACACTTTTTGTCAAAAGTCAATAGACTTCTAAACACCCCTTGTCACTAATGGTACAGCAGCTGGACATTTTGCGATATAGCAAATCGACATCAGTATGTAATATATGGAACTTTATTCATTTCTAACCTATCAAATAGAATTTACACATTAAAAACGCGTATTGTTTCGGTATATATTTCATCCAACGTAATTTTTCAGTCGTCTACTTAATTTTGAGTCATTTTCGTCAAAAGCTCATATGATCAACGTCACGAAACGACAAAATGACCACGACTCGTCTTTTAACCTGAATCAAGTCGTTTTATCAACGAAATCGAATAAAACCAATCACCAGTCGCTTCATTGCAAGTTTGTATTGCATTCGTGGCCTAATAACGAAATTCATACCACGCGTGACTCGACAATTCATCGTTTCCAAGATTCCAGTCGTCACCGTTTAACGTCAGACATGATTTCCTTTACTACAACAATCATACAAACTTCTAAATTTAGTACCAATTCACTCGACGTTTCGACATTTAAACGTTGTGACGGAATTCAATTGGGAAGAAATAAAAAACCGAAATTTTCACTTTTTGGTAAACAAAAGACTCAAAGTGACGAAGAAAAAGAAGAAGAAGAAGAGAAAAAGTTGACGAGAAAGTGTCATTTGTATTCAATGACATCATCTTTTGGAGAATTGAAAATTGAATCGACTGTTGAAAAGACGTGTCAGGATGCACCGGTCGTCAAGAATGGCTACATGTATTCATTGGGTAGTACTACTAGGGATAGTAGTGCTCCATCCATGTCAGAAACAAGAGATCGACGTAGTAGTCGATTTAGTACAGGACGTGCCTGGACTCGAGCATTGAGTGTCACACATGACAGACAAGATGTTACAAGTATTGCAGCATTGGTGACTACAACACCCATGACAGTTTGGAATACTTTTTTACAAACTGTGAGCAATTTTGCAGATAAACCGGCCATTGTTGGACGGGAACAAGTGGCTAAGTGGACTCATCATCGGGCTGCTCCGATGATAAATGTAGTGTACTCCTGGGCACAACATGCTGTACGTGTACGTTGTGTGACAAGAACATTGTTGCAATTGGGATTTCGTGCTGGAGAAGGAGTTGTCATTAGTGCAAAAAGTAGTCCGTTACTACAAGCAGTAAATCTTGCCGTGGTGTCATTGGGTGGCATAGTGGCTCATGTGCGCAGCTCATGGAGTGCGCATGAACTTCGAGAACACATTTTACCCACTGCCGAAGCAACCGTTGTGATCGTCGATACGTTGGAGGATAATTTTCGAGATGCATTAGAAGCACTGGATACACTTCGGCTGCCTATTCGTGCAGTGGTGATTCTTGGTGATTCATCTGCTATGGACTGTGCTGTTGCGAATCTGCGTAATATTAACATTATTGGAGCAAAAGACCTTCTCGATATCAACACACTTGCGACCGCGGAAGCTGCAATGACGCCGTCGCTCAATTCACTGGCGTCCTGTGTGCTGCCAGGTCAATGCTGCTTGCTAACTTTCGACTACGATGACCTTGGGCGCATACGAGGCGCTGAGCTCTCGCATGACAACGTCATTTTTACAGCTGCTGCCTTGGTGCAAAGCTTTGGCCTTCTTAGTCGTGACCGTCTCGTGGGATATTTGCCGCTGTATCACGTGGCATCGCAAGTGCTGGAATTTTACGTGCCTCTTATTGCAGGACTGTCTGTAGTGTGTGCACCAACGTACAATCTGCCGCTTGTGCGTGTGATTACTGATCACAAACCGACGGTGTTTTTTGCGGCACCTGCTACGTGGACGAGCTTTAGCCAGCAAGTTTATCGTGCGAAAAGTGACGTGAATGCTGCTGTCTACAGCTGGGCAAAGACACGGGCCACGAACAACTCACAGAAGCTTCTTTTTGCCAAAGACAAAGGAGCGAAGCATCGCAGTCTAGGCTACATGCTTGCCAAGGCACTTGTGCTAAACAAGATTAAGAAGAAGATTGGACTGGAGAGTTGCACTGCCTGCTATTCGGTGTTAGCACCGCTCGACTTCGAGCTCGAGCGACTTTTCAAGACGGTTGACACGCCGATTTACCAGCTTTTTGGTACTGCAGAGACGTCTGGCTTTGCTGCAATTAATTTCCCGCACGCTTGTGAGTTTGGAAGCTGTGGTCGTGCACTCCCGGGTACTACCATCCGATGTGATGAGCGCTCTCACGAAACTGTGCTACGTGGACGCAATGTATTTTTGGGTTATCGCTATTCTCCTTGCAATAGCAATAGTCTAGGTCCTGAGTTCGACGGCGACGACAATAGTAATCAATCGACACCGACATGTGACTTGGATGGATGGCTTCGTTTGTGGCAACGTGGTTTCCTGACTCCTACTGGTTTCCTCAAACTGAGCGACCCGAGAGACTTTCTTGTGCTTGCTACGGGTGATTGGGTCCCTATATACCCTTTCGAGTTTGCAATGATGGAGCTAATGCCGGAACTTGATCGTGCAGTATTGGTAGGTGATGGCCGTACGTTTCTAAGTACGCTCTTCTTTCTCAAGACCAGTGAAGTGGGTTATCGACCTACTTTTGCAAACAAGCACACAAGTGATCTACTACTAGACGAGGTCGCATTGAAGGTCGGTCATGCCATTGGTAGTAGTGCTACTACAGTTACAGAAGCTATTCGCTGTCAGCGATGGGCTGTCCATTTCGACACTATTTTGGAGAAGCTGCCTCAAGTTTGCTCGATTTCCGGATATCGTGTACGTAAGTGGATTTTGATGGCCGCCGACTTTTCCGTCGAGTCTGGCGAGCTGGACCCTGATACAAATGACGTTTGCCGTCGCAGTGTTGACCGCAAGTACCAAGCACTACTTGACTCACTATACAGCTAAGAAACACTTGATTACTACAGCCAAGAAAGAATGAATGATAGAGATTTAAGATACGAGAACCCAGGATTGAAGACCATGGCTCGCTTTGCTGAACCCAAGCTCTCGTACCCACCCACCCTTACACTATGAAGTTTGTTTGGTACGTGGGACATCTACCCCACCACTATCCAACAAACACCCTTTGGGTTACGAGATGGATCTTCCACGGTATCTCTTCCGCCTATCTACCGATGCTTTAGAAAGTGCTGCACTTGAGTGGAAAGCGATCTTGATACCTCTTGATTGGCACACTTCTATCATTCCATTGAGAAGTGACCCCATGAAGCAGTAGACACGGACGTCATTGCTAAGAAAATGATACAAGTAAAAGGAAAATCTTGCTACGCAAAAGATACTGTCGGGAGGGATCACATGTAGTTCAAAGCGGCGTGGAAAAGTAGAGTCGCCGAGACATGAACGAGAGGATATCATTTATCAGGTATCCCACCATTTCAATGGCCGACCGTTTCGAAACTGCCACAAAGCGCAGGCCTGTCATTCCTCGATGATTGGCGACTTTGCTGCTAATGATGCAGTAGTCGCTTGCAAGAAGAGTGTTTTCTGACAAACAACCACCTCGTGTCAAAGGGAGGACCCGATAAAGAAGCTTGAAATCTTTCAAGATAGCAGGAATTAGCTCGCAAGTTGAAGTCGTGCAGCTGCACTTCTCAAAAAGGTTGCACTGGGTGCACTGCACTTCTACTAGCAGCCTGTACCTGTTGCAGCCAAGCATGCGCCCCTCCAAGTGCATCCCTTGCATCGAAAAAGAGCCTTTCGACTCTCATTTTCGAAAATTACGCAACGAACTGACCTCAACTTCATGCTGGCTACTCGAGCATCGTTTCTGTCGTTTTTGGCTCCGAAATCGATCCCCACTTTGTGGACTGTTCGGGTGATTACCATACTATGGCAACTTGCAGTCAAACGTGCCCGCAAGTCGCGGAGACGAGGTCACGACACTTCCGACTTCATGTACGGCAGTGAAAGTTCCACCTTGAGATTCCAAGAAGAGAAAAAGCTCGACTTTGATGAACCCTCAATTATGAAAGAAGCTGCGCTCTTGATAGTCGCATCGGGAGTTATTTCACTCGCTGACTTGGAAGCAGTCACAGGCTATCGTCTATCTGAGAATCGTGACATTGAAGTGTCTCCGACCAAGGACAATGATGCGAGTTCAGAAGCGGCCACATACATGTCGGACTGCAGCAGTATTGCGGACAGCGATATGTCCAAGAGCACACAAGAGGAGGGTACTACCGTCACGAAACTCACGGCCACCGACGATTGCACTTGTCAGCAGCCATTAGCTATACGACGAACAATGCACAAGCCATTGAAGTGGGTCTGCATAGGCTACGGTCGCTACGTGAAAAAAGAAGACGTAGCCATAAGAATCGAATGTATGTAAACTCGTTGCAAATGTATCGAATGCAGTCGTCATTTAGCATGGCTGAAGCAGTATCGTTCGTACTGTACAAGGAAGGCATGATGTGTCATTTAATGATACCCAAGTCGCTCGTACGACGCTAGGATTGTCTGTAAACGTGTCTGCTTCAAGATGAAACATGGGTTGCACCCGTAGCTATTTGTTCATGTTTGATCTAGTGATGACTTCCTCTCACTTCTCGCTTTGACTCCGATACATTGTCAAGCGCACTTTGCCTCAAGAGTACAGGCACAAAAAGCCCGACGGTAGCGATGCATATCCCAATGAACTGCATCGCTACCGTCGAGCTTCTTGTGATACGTCGAGATGAGGGACTGACGCAGGTAAAGGCGTGACGTTCGAGCTGGCGTGTTCCCACCCGTCAGCAACAACGAAAGAGCGATTGACTGCAGCATCTAGCCCTCGAGTATCGATTTAACGACTTGGAAGAGCTGTGGGCAAGACATTCATGGTAGCGGTGAAGCTGCAGCTGGTACTGTCTTCAGAGTTGTGGAGTAGATCCAATCTCGGCAAGTCGGCTGCGTGACCGGGTCAAGCAGTTTAAGGGCGAGTACTACTTACGCAAGCACGTTCTGCAGAGGTTCATGAGCCAGGGGCCAACTACGGGTAGAAGAGACTAACAAAAGAAAGTGACGAACCCAGCAGCTCATCTCTAGGCAGGGAAGAAGATATATAGTAACTGTGCACATGATAAGCACAATTACCATGTCACCCTTGACGTCTATTGTGGGTGGTTATTGTGCAGGAAATGTATGCTGCATGACATCTGTACGCAGCATCTACATGGCTTCAGCTTTATACTTCAGCATTTGTCTAGTGAGCTAGTAAGGACACCTTTCGATGTTTTCGACAGCAACTACAGCTTCGACATCGAATCCTGAGTGTCCTCAAAGCATTCGGTACATTGAAGGTGAAAGTGTCGACGGTTTGAGACGTCGTCTTTTTCAGCTCATCTGGTCTGGCAAATCGGGCTCACCGAGAAACGGCGTAAGCGTGTTTTTAACGATCCTCGCAGACTTTTTGTACCGTGACGAGCACATCGCGATCAGCATTTGCTAATCACAACTTCCTACCAAGACGACAAACGATGGCTACACTAACAACCATTGGAGATAGCGACGCTCAAGATATTGCGACAAGATTTATATGTGTGTCGTTGTTTGGTAGCCTTCATATCGCGGAAAAAAGTTCTAACATCTCTGACCTCATTGCGATCTCCGGACTTTTTTACATTGGCACAAGATAAGAAGTGTGGAGCCATTCAATCATCGATAGCAAGTTCTGCCCTGCAAACTCGCACCCAAAGGGCGTTAAATAATTGAATTGGCAGGAAGGCCCTCAACTTGCTGAGAAAAGCGTCATGATGAGGTGGTATTGGATGCAGACTTGAAAAAGGTTCGGATAGCAGCTTACCATCCTAATCCTGACGTGCGAGTCCGGATGGTATCATTTTCTCTAAAGATTTCGTATCATTTCTACCAGCGACGGCCCTAGTCCGGACATGTGGGTCGCAGTGTCAAATATTTCGGGTATGAATGTGTCAAGATCGATCGATCGATAGTCGCAGTGGCTCGGGCTTTGTTGCGAGCGCGCAAACTTTACCTTGACAGCCTTACTGTAAACAGGACATGCCAAATTCGTGTCGCACTAATAGCACTTGATGATCCTCCACCCTCAGTTTCTCGCCCAACTTTCGAAGGTCTGCACTACGTCATTTTTCAATTCACCTTGAAACTCATCTCAACAACTGATGGGAACACGGACAGTCAAGTAAAAATTGATGAAAGCAGACATGAAAGTCAAATTCTCACCCGCTTCGTTCGTCAAGATGATCCGGGCTGCACTAAAGGCGTGGCAATGTGTGGCAAAGTATACTACCAAACCTCTGCTTAGTCAGGGGGTGGAAGGAGACGTGGCAATGGCCAAGAACTGTCGACGATCGTTTAATGTTCCGGGTAAGAAAGAGCAAAGAATCAATATTGCGCTTGAGGACAAGATCAAGTTGATCACTCCGGAAAAAGTGATCTTTTACACGCTATCTGCACCTCGAGTTCGAGTGGTGGCACTTGCCAATTGGGAGGCAGCACCTACGTTCGTTCTCGATGAACATTTAAGGAACAGTTTTTTTCAGGAAAATGCTGACGGATTGCTACACAAGTGCAATCCATTCTTGTCTGGCAAGCGTAGAGCCCACAGTGACGATGACATTGTGTCCGAAACACCGACAGTCTCGACCGACTGCTCTGTCATTCCGGAGAGTGATGTCGAAAGCCAGAAATTGAACGAAGAGGTCAAAGAGAAAAAGATATCTGTAACACTAGAGACGCAAACGCGTAAAGTGAAGGCTGACCAAGTCTATCACCAATGCAATGATGTCAACACGGCGATGATCCAAAGAAACAAAAACTTCCATGATACCAAGCCAAACAAGCACACGTCTCACTGGATGTGTGTTGGTTATGGTCGCTATATTAAACAAGCCGTGGAGCAAACAACATAGGATTTCTCTGCCGAAATCGCAGAGTACTCGTGACGATCTCATGTTGCAGACCGATACATCAGCGGGGACACACTAAGAAAACAACAGCAACAACTCTGAAATACAGACACAAAATGATGTTTTTTGCTAATCAATTAGTCCAATGGACAGCTCGTCGCTTTAGTTTAACCTTTCAATATGAAGCGCTCGTCATTGTGCAACCCCCGAAGTAAGTGCATTGAGAAAGTAGCAAGCAGCACTCTTTCCAACCTTAAGGCCATAGGTTGCCATAACCATGTAAAAGCGAGCAACAAGACGAAAAACTTGACGCTGAGGCTCTCTGGAATTATCATTAACACAACACGACTAGACAGAAACTAATGGTTGATCCCTATGCATTATGCTTGCTCCTCACACCATTGCTGTATCGTGATGAGTTATAGGAATTCGAGACATCCTGTGCTTGATTGAAGAAACTGAGGTGTTGTTACGTTACACAGTAAGCTTGTTTTTCTTGGTCTAGGAAGCCATACAAAAGACTTTAGGATGATGCTATACAACAACAGATAGCAGCATTGAAAGCGGGTCATTGCATCTGTCAGTCAGCGTGAAAGAATCGTTCGAACACACGCCGACCATCACAATTCGACTAGTTTGCTCTGCTATCTTATCAATCGAGAAATAAAGTACGTGATACGTGTAGGAACTTCTGACTCGAGTCAAAACATGATGTTGACATTGTTATCGACGTTTTTCTTTTCTAGCGGGTGCGATCGAGTACCAATGGTAAAAGCGCTTAGAATGAGAGACGTTACTTGACATGAAGGCGAACAACGAGTCTACAAAAATGTGCAGATTGGCTTTATAACGTCACGGTTGTTTCGGTATCGGCTACAACGTCCATTTGAGAGTCAGATTCTCTGCAAATATTGTACATGTCGTGGAGCGCTCGAGAGCTCGAGCCAGCAAATTGATGAGTGTAGCTGCGATCCAGCATCGGAGCACGTACATGGCTATTTTCCGGAATCGGGTTTGTCTGAAGTTCAGACGGTCTGATAAATATGAGTGGATGCAAGGCTGGCGTGCTCAGATTCACGAAATCGTCCGGTTTCAATTCGGTCGTATAGCTCGGTTGAGATAGTAAAGGTACTTGACGTGATGTCAGCGAAGCTACACGACTCGCTCGTGGGCTATATCGTTCACCGCCGGAAGTAGACCTGCTCCGCTGCAATAGCAGGTGTTGGCGTTTTTGAAAGGCTGGGCCACTTTCAAGCGGAGTATCATTCTGGCCATGTACCAACAGCCGGAGAAGTTGATTGTACTCAACTCTTGTTCCATTGAGTTCAAAGAGCAGCTTTGCAACGGTATTAAAGCGAAATCGCGTCAGCTTGAAGCCAAAGGTTGTTAGGATGGCACGAAGGTAGTCAACGTCGATCATGCCAGTCTGTCGTGGGTCATAGGCGTCAAGCTCTTGGCGCAAATCCATGATTGTATGGTTTCCCTCTTTCAAACTCTCTAGCAACGAGGACGCAAATTCTGACCGTAACTCGACAATCTCGCTGAAATGGTTCACCACCTCACCTAACGTATTGGCATCTACACGAAGAATGCTGCAGATGATCACAAAGTAGCGGAACATTCGATGCTGGAAAACGAAAGTGTTCAAAACCAACGGAAGAGGTACCACGATAGCATGAAAGAGCCCAAAGTCTTCGTAAATGTCGTCCAAATCGTACACAGCGCACTGTGCGAGCAGAGCAATGAAAAACCCGTTAAGAATCAGCATGAACATCACCACAACGTGCCATGCCTTGCGTGAAAAGAATCGGATGTGAATGTCTGGACTTTCAGGCTGCACCCCACTCGGTAGTCGGCGCAGCTTGACATGACCGATTTGATTCAAATTGCGACAGCAAGTAGCAACGAGCTGTAGTCCGACATCTTTCCGAAGTAAAACGTGTCGCGCGGCATTACGACTGTCCTCAATCTCTTCAAGTTCTTCTTGTACCCGGTTCATGGTGCTCAGAGCACTGTCAGCTGCTTCACTTTGCCAGGCATCAGCCTCACTTTGGGCGATTTGTTGGAGATTGTCAACCAACGTAGTCTCATCGTCGCTATAACCAGCAGCTCGCAAAAGCTGGTGAACACACGAACGGAAGTAGAGCAGCACCGCAACGTGGAGCACTACCAACCCCGAGGCGAAAATCACGAAAACTTGGACAAGTTCGTGACTTTCAGGAAGATCGACGTTCATTTTGTGGAGAGCACTAAGAAAGCCACAAAGCATCCAGGCTACAGCTAGTAGAAGAACCCACATGGATGGCTCGACTTCAATCATGTGCAAGATCTGGTTTGCTTGAGCACGACGAAGGTACTTGGAGAACGGGAAGAGCTGCGGAAGTCCGAAGCGACGAAGAAACAAATGCCGAAGTAGTCGACGTTCGACTGCTTCTTGCTCAAATCCTTTGGTAGATTTGATCGGCCAGCAAAACCATTTCGTTGGGTTCAATTGAAATTGTGTTGCAGTTGCGCGCGTTCCAGTCGGTGGACGAATGGCATTGACCAAGTCTTGTGCCGTGATTAATTCGATGCGATCAGCTTGTTTGTTGTGTTTGCGAAGCTGCGAAAAGACGATGATTGCTTGCATAATGAGCGCGAGGGCCAAGATAAAGATGGTGAGGTCAGCGACTTGGAAAGCCAACATGGTCTTGCTGTCTGCGTGGACGTTCACTTCCGAAATTAGTTTCAATCCAAGACTTAGTAACCCAAGAACCATGAGTTCTCGATACACCTTTCGAAGCATGTGTTGGTACTTGTCATATTGCGAAAGTTTATGTTCAACGTAATGAAGAGCGGCCTCGAAGAAAACAAGACAGAAAGCCAAGATGCTCAATTGAATCAAGACCCGCCAAAATTCAACCGCTTGACCGACTTGAAACAGGGATCCGCCTGCCATTTCGCGTTTTCGAAAGTGAGACCGACTGTCTTCTCAAGACAACTTTTTCAACAACCATTAACAGAGGGAAGATCAGTATGATTTATGCAGCGGATGTAAGTGCTGCCCAGTCGATTTCAAGATGTAAACCGAACGTATCTTCGATGTCGAGTAACGACATTGTGGCTTTCGTTCTCCTCCTTTTGAATCCGTTGCAAAACCGCCAATTCAAACACATGCTAGCAGGGAAAATCGGTCAAGTGAATTGCAAAACGTTACCTAGTTAGTAGCACCGAACGTTTAAACCAAGGAGCAGCTGATTACCAGAAAATGAACCACGAAAGACGCGTATGTTGAAGTAAAGCATTTTGTTGCCAAAGTGGAAGTACGTCTTGTTAACGGCGTAATCAAACTACTTGCTGTACCCTTTAGTTAAACAGCTCAAATGTTCTCGTTACGTTTGCTTGCAGTGTAGTGTAAATGCTCTTCATTGTACTATGTTTGTGAACATATTGCATGAACATGACCATCCCATGTGAATTGCAAAGTAGTACCGGATACTTTTCTACTGTTCAAAAAAAACTAGTGGATGAGCTTCTCGTCTGGAAGTTCTATGTAGGAGAAGCTCACAATGTTGAGATAAAAGCGTGCATGTCCTTCTCGTGCACAGTGGCTTGTGGTCGAAAGAAACATTGCTACTTGTCGTCAAGATACATCACCATGTGTCAACCAGATGCGAGATGAGGCCACAAAAAAGTAGAGTCGGACCAGCAGACGTAGATTAGGAACGGCTAAGGAAAGCGCATTCGTGCTACTACAGACTATCAGTTGTAGCAGAAAGTGATCAGAGAGTAAACCTTGTGACATATGGACCCTCTCGTCAGCCCTTGACTCGGTCTTTGTACGTTGATTCAAGCCTTGGGCAAAGGACACGTATGTATTTCAAGCTAGTTTTGCTGGCGTAGGTAGCTTCTGTAAAGTGCTATGAGTGTATCGTAGATTTGCAAGCCTTAGGATGAAGGCTGAAGAGCTCAGCTCTCTAGCAAAACTTTCGTTAGGCGCTTGATGAATAAAAGCAGTGAACGGCGATCCTAAACGGCTGGAAGGGTGTGTCCGAAACATTTGGGATTGCGATGACGACAAAAATCACAAATGCCGATTGAGAAGATCATCTTGAACGTTGATGATAATCGAAAGATCAAAACTATGTGTACTACTGCTTTGGTCACTTCGTGTGGCAAGAGGCAAAGCCCTTTTGTAAAGGTTCCGACCTCACGAGACAACCAGTGATGTAGAATAGTCTTTGTTGTTCGTGTCAAGGTGATGCGATCTATCGTCTTTCGTCGCCGTTATGGCTGTCTTAATTCATTCGAGGAGATCTTGTTCATGCCGGTGTTTGACTTTGAGACGAAACCTTTATTACAATTTCGGCTTTGTTGCTATGTACGGATACCAGAAAGTGAGCTCTAGCGAAGCTGCTATCTTTGCGACTTATCTATCTGCAAGTTGTGTCTAGTACTGCACGATTCCGAAACGGGGTATTCGAAGGAGCGGCAAGTAACGTAGCAGTGAAGAGAAGCGAGTTAAAGTGAATGCCAGGTCTTCAAATGATCAAGCCATACGCTGCAACATTTGCGGCCAGAATTTTGTAGAAGAACTTACAAAGACGGCGACGTCTTGGCATGCCACATTGATCCATGCTGTGAATATTATATCAATAAGCCTCAGTTCAAAGTGCCACTTGACAGTAAGTCAAACCTTCATGTTGATCATGCACGTTACATTTCGTAAAGTCTTAACAGCGTTTAATCAAGCGTCATCACACGACGAAACAAAGTATCCTCTTGTGATCGGACAAGATGGAAGTGACTTCGCGATGTATGTAAAATGAAGAGGTCGTGGTGGTATCAAAGATGTACTTTTACTTGGGATTACGAACTTAAATGTACCTGACCGGTTCAGCACGTCGACTAGCTTGATGTTAAACCATAACTTCATAGTATGCACTGCCCAATAACCTTTAACCAAAAGTTATCAGAGTTCGCAGCGCTTCCTGTCATCCGGTAGGCTTTGTAGATTAAACATGCTGTGCAGCGCATGAGAGCTGAAACTGGGGCGCACCACCACTGGCTGTTGAGCTCCAGCATTATGGTTGACTGCATCTTGCTCAGAAATAAGTGGCAATACGAAACTGTCTCCCACGGATTCGTCAAAGTTACACTCCACTCCTCCCACATTAGGTTGCAGTGAACGGGCTGAAGCGTATAAGCTGTAGTCTGCTTGAGAAAGCGCACTTGCCTGTGCTGCAATTTCGCACATCATTACGCTTGGCCGGAGTAACGGATGGGATGGGTGCTCACTGAGTATAGCAATATCATTTTCACTTTCATTCTCAGCCATCGCCACAAGACGAAGTACCTGCCCGTACGTGACAGCAGTACCTTCGAGCTCGAACAATAGCTTCACGACGCTGTTGAAGCGGAAACGCGTTAAGCGAAACCCAAACTTCGCAAGGACCGATCGGAGATCGTCTATATCGATGAATCCGGATGCAGTCGGATCGTACGTTTTCAGCTCTTCTTTCAAATCCGAGATACTGAGCTCTTGTTGCGTCATTTGGTGAAGCAATGAGGTTGCGAACTCGGACCGTAGTCGGACAATCTCACTGAAATTCTCTATCACATCGCTAAGTGTGTGGGAATTGATACGAAGCGTACTGCTAACGATGACGAAGTCGTAGAAGATATGACGCTGGAAGTACAGAGCATTCAATACAAGCGGAAGCGGAACCAATGCTGTCGGTAGCGCACCAAAGTCTTCATAGATTTCATCCAAGTCGTACATAGCACACTGCAGAAATAATGTGATGAAGAAGCCATTCAGGATAAGAAGTAGAATGACGGAGACGTGCCACGCATGGTAGGAGAAGTACTGAATATTTATAGTCGGTGACCCTGGGACGACACCATTCATACTTTCCCTCTCCTTTGATTTTGAGTCGCGGCTCATAAAACCATTCACTTGGCGAAAGAAAGCTCCGATTCTTCCTTCTGTCTTGTAAAATTTACGATGACGTTGAATACGTTCAAGTTCGATCTCCTCGTGCTGCTCTTGAATGAAACTCATTATTTCCAGCGCTTTGTCTGCTTCTTCATTCAACCACGCTTTGGCTTCATCTTTTGCAATTACGTTCAAGTTTGCCATGAGAAACGCCTTGTTCTGAGCGAATCCCGCCTTTCGAAGGAGGTGGTTAACGCAAGAGCGAAAATACAGGAAGACTATAACATGAAGCAGCAAAAGGACCCACGCGACGATCATAAATGCTTCCACTAGCTCTTCACGCTCAGGCATTTTCGTGTCTATCGTCTCAAAGAGATCGAGTAAGCCGCAAATTCCCCACGCCACCGCGAGTAGCACAAGCCACATCAACGGATTGACTTCAATCATGTGACTTATCTGGTTGGCTTGAGCTCGATTCAAAAAGTTTGAGAATGGAAAGAGCTGAGGAAACCCAAAGCGACGAAGAAATAAATGGCGAAGCAGACGTAACTCGATCAGTTTCTTGATATAGATCTTTTTCTTTGCTGCTCGACCACAAGAAAACAGTGTTTCAATAATAGAAGGACTTGGTCCCTCCACCTCCTCCATCATATCAATGAGATCGTGGGTTGTCAGAAGCTCGGCGCGTTCTGCTCGTCGATTCTGGTTCCGGAGTAGGTGAAATACCGCAGTGGTCTGCAAGATGAGGGCAAGGGCCAAAAAGAATACCGTCAAGTCGGCCACTTGGAATGCAAGTATTGTCTTGCTCGAACTGTCAATGTGTGAAGTCTCCTTGAAGATCTTAAGACCTAGACTGATCAAACCGAGGACCATGAGTTCACGATAAACTTTTTTAATCATGTGTTGATACTTGTCCGAACGAGGGAATTTGTGTTCCATACGATGAAGCGCTTTTTCCACGAGCACAAGACTAAGTGCTAGAATACTCAAATGCACAAGTACTCGCCAGAACTCGACGTCTTGACCGACCTGGAAGAGCGATCCACCTGCCATTATTGTAGTACTTTTGCGTAAATAGCCAAGGTGTTTGTTACAAACGACTTAGCAGGTGTTCGTTCACCTGATGTAGAAAACGATTATAATAAGAACACTTGAGAAAGCGAGACTTTAGTGTTATCTTGGGCTCTGTTCGGTCCCCTCTCAGTTGTGTATTTATTAGCTCGTACCGTCGCGCTTGAACGCTAAAGGGGACTGACTTTTCGTCGGTCTTTGTGAGACGATGGGAAAACTCAGTTGCTGATATAGGTGGGGGCCTCAGACATCAGCACCATCTAGTCGCAATGGAAAGCCAGAAGTGTTCCGGCCTTTGTTATCGTGTCGTCATAACGAGAGAGAAAAAAGACGGCTGGTGGTTGTAAGCTGCCTCGCCAATCAATTGAGGCATGGACTTCAGAAATGTACAGATCACTTGCATCCGATGGATACTGCCCAAACAGTCTATAGTTCATCAAGTGGTAGTGTTTCTGAGCCTTTGTCGGAAAGTTAGTCATGTAGATGGTGCATGAATAGTTGTAAGCTGGTCCGATAGAGATGATATACTTACACGAAAATCCCGTAGTGTCGTAGATTCGGCCGTAAAGACGGGCAGACCATCTGGTGCCTATCCTGTCATCTAGCGACCTTCAAGCATTCCAGCATAAAGGACAACTGTTCAAGATGCATATAATGTTCAGATCATACTCGACCGGGATTTTCCAAATTCTCAGCTGATTGTGCCTTGTCCGCTTTATTGTTCTGGTAAGGAAGGGTGTTAATGTTTTCTTTTGCTATGGCATTCCGCACCTCATACGTGCCAAAGCAAGGATAAGTAGTCGGATCATCATCATGAAAAGAAAGATGGGACCATCGTGCAATCTCTCGTACGGACGCACGTCTTTCAGTCATGATGATGATGATAATTACTGTCGAGTATATACTTATGATTGTCTAAGACATGTCTGTGAGGAAGTCTCTGATCTTCTGCCATGACTACGTCGTTCTCCTATGCACTAGTTCATTCTGTTAGCTCAACCCGACGGGACCAAGCCGGCTTTCCCAGACGGTCCAACCTGACTTATCCCTACATACAGCTTCGATTCATGCTCATCTTTATGTTATTCAGATAGTTGGCTTGCTTGCGTTGGCCTCAAGATTTTGAGAATGGAAGCGACGATGACAGTCAAAGGGACGATGGGCACGACTTGCTCGTGTCAAGAAACTAGATCAAGAAAATGTTATTTTGTGCTTTACAGCCAAGAGGTCGTGGCTGCATCAACAACTGCTGCATTAGAGTTTGAGGCTCCATTTGCTCATGTGAGCCGGGCGATATGGTCTGAAACTTTTAGTTCTTGGACTGAGGTACAAAAGGAATGACTTACCACAAACGCTAGCATCTCTTGTCCCACTATCAATCTATAAAACCTTCTCCAAGCCTTGGCCCACTATGGAGGCTTCACGTGCAAGAAAAAAGTTGGTTCACCAACGCTGGGGCGGACTGTCCGTTGTGCGAACTTGGTTGCCGTTAAGAAGTGTGGAGGGTATAACTTGTCATTAGCTGATGAAACGCTCGCTCCAAAAGCACATAGCTAAAGTTTTAGGATTGCATTGATGCTCACAAGAACGTGTTACCGGTACACTAGTGACGTGGTCCAGCAGGTTGTGATAAGATCATCTTAGCAAACAGCTTTTCCGTTTTCTCACTTGATGCAGCAAACCAACCTCTTCACACAAATTAACGGTCATTGATACCATTCGCAAAGCCCCATTTGGTGATTGTTAGACCAAGTCATGTCTCTGGCTATTTAAAGCGGTGGCAGCCATTATAATTCTGAGCTGAAAACTCGACAGTAGGCACCGCCATTTGCTACAAATTAGCTAAAAGCTCGACTCGAACCGTGCACGTTTAATCCACACATCATTGTTGTCTGCTCGAAATTTGGCATTTGCAGGCATCCCTAATGTCCAAAAAGAGGGATGTCAAAAATGGTGCTTGGATGACAATCGTATCGTTATATCAGCCAATCAGTGTCGCAAAAGGCCTGGTCGACGTCATCATGTCCTGTCTCATATCTTCACTTTTGCATAAAAAGGTGCGGTTCAGCACCAAAACAACAAGTACACATGAACCCATTGATGCATTTTCTAAATTCCTCCCAAGGCTAAAAAACACAACGATCCAACATGACTGCAACGTCAAGAACGATATGTCCTGTCGACTGGGAGCATCCGCATCAGTTTCAAAAACTTCAGAAGCTTTCACCATATAGTGCCATAGTTGTGGCGGCCAGGACTACCGAGAATTTGGGGCTACCTACGGTCCAGCGGGTGCAAGGATTAGAGCAAAGTCTACAGCTGGATCTGGAAGCGCATCGCCGCTGGAACTCGAGTCTGTCGTTGGGATTTGTTCATAGCGTTGGCCACGTTGATATTAACGAGGCACGCACTGGCAAGGACGATGAGGTGTACTATACGCTAGAAGTCTATCTGAGTCTGCCCACTTCGCGACTGCCCACGAGTCCTTGCGACCCGGTAGATGCAATGTCTCCGCAGCATCATGCTATTCGCCCGACATTCAAAGTGGAGCGATGCTTTGCTGAGTTTGAAGAGCTGCGTGAAAACGTGCTGAAGTTTGTGAGCAGGATACCACAGTGCACGTGTCAATATTGCAAGGACTTTCTTCTTTACATTCGTTTCAAGTACAGTCAGCCGCGCGGCATTACTAAGCTCACAACTGGGACCAAAAAGCGCAAGCAAGTCCTTCAGACATTTATCAACGATTTTGTCCTCATGGGTCAGCGTCGTGCACCGACACTAGGCAAGCGCAAATGCGAAGCACAGAAGCGATTGCCTGCCATGCTAGAAACATTCTTGCTCAACAATGCAACAGACTACCAAACACTTGCAGTGGGACCAGCAAGTGCGTAGCTTGTTATCTACTCATTGGTACCTACAACTCGCAAGTGGTAATGGGGTTCCAGTCGCCATCGAAGTCCGTGTGTACTTTTGCCGGTTGCAGCTTGACTTCAGCACCCTCTTTCAACTTCATGACAGATGCACGAGGGTCAAAAGCTCCTGGAAGCAAGATATTTGGTGGAAACGAATCAGTGATAAAGATGTCACTTCTAGAATCAAGCTGCGCAACGTGACCGAACCAGTAAATCACCATTCCGGGCCCGTAGCGGTTTACATATCCTTGCAGCTACAGCAACACAAATATTAATGTCAAGTAATAAGACAATCAAGTACCTCGTACCTGACTTGCGTTCTCCGTTTCATGCGTATGTCGATCTCCAAACATAGCTTTGCTATCGATCCAATTGACAACATGAAGCTGACCATGTTTTGAATCCTTCACACCAATAGGTACTAATAGCCTCACATCAGGCGTCTTGGATAATCCTTTTTCACGCAGCATATCCTCGCTCTCAAACACCAACTGCCGGTTACGCAACGTCTCTAGTAGCAAGTACTCGTATTCGACGCCCATATTGTGCCGAGTACGGTCCGCCAATGGTGAGCAATAGACGTCCTTCTCAATGCATTCTCGTATCTGCAATACCAAACCGCAAATTTAAGCTACTACACTCTACATTTCTATCACCAATAGGTTCAACTACTTTACCTCTTGTATCACTCTTGTGTATTCCTCATTTGACAGACCTCTACGGTTTAGCAGAGAGTCCCTTTGACTCTCATCGTCTGTCATGGCGTCTTTGAAAACATTGGAAATGGTTGTTTTACTCCATCCGTACTTATGCTCTAGCACTAGTCGTACCATCATGCATGGGGAAAAGTTTACAGACGTGGCAATCTCACACATCGATTCACCAGTGTCAAAACGAGCCACATACATTTTCAAGCTTTTATTCTGACGATGTAGACGCAATGTTGAGCGAAACTTGCGGTGTTGTAATTGACGCTTAATCACTGAAAAGGTCTCATTTGTCACAGTGAGCTGTAACGTAGAGGAAAACGTGTCTAACGAGCAGATCAGTCGATATTCTTCCTCGTCCATTTTTCGGATGTGTATACACGTACTGATAAAAAGTGTATAGCGATATTGTGTATACAGCCTTTTCGAATAAATTATTGGTGTTTAAGAGGTATCAACTATCAGAGACTAGCGTAATCAATCCCGGAGGAACGACTCAAGCAGAATGGGCACATGCCGATTGGCCTCGCATCGATGCATCGTGTTCTTCAATGGATTCTGCGCGAGTTCGACAAAGTCAGTCATGAAATCTCGTAAAATGTCTTTACGTTTCTCCACGTTCTGGCCGAATGACGTGAGCATTCGTGGCTGACGTAATTTAAACCGGATGTAGTGGCAGAAATCGTAGCAATACTTGCACGCATACTGCGCATCATGACACGTCCAAAGCTTGATCTGGTGTCGTAGCTTCGTAAAATCCGAGTAGCGTCGTTCTACGCGAAAGTCGGGTTTGCACGGTTCACTAGTGCTCGATAGACGGGAGGCAGCCATGCGTGGGTTGTTAACGTTCGTAGGCAACCGTGAACCATAGTGGAATTGGTACACATCCAGTACATAGTAGGTCACGCCATCGCGCACGACAGTCTCATTGATCTCTAAACGATCGATATTGTTCAAAAATGACAGCGAAAATGACGCCGATGACCAACGCAATGGCTCCATGGGCACGGGCGTAAGAGGCGGAGCCTTATGGTTCTGTATCATTTCGTGTTGCGACCTCTTGAGCGCCAGGTGAGGAATCAAGCTCAACTGCTTTGGCTCGTGATCGTTTACTGGCATCTTGGCAAAGTATTGGGCGAAGTTATGGAGCAATGGGCTTATTCAATAGACGGTAAATTGGAAAATGTAATTGCTTGTCGTGCGTAAAGCTTCACTTTGGCGTGTTCTGTCGTCCTGTCTGATATGGCTTTTTATCCAATAAAAAGACTGGAATAATTTAAAAATGTTGATTGAAAAATGAAGGTTGTCGTAATACTGCGGCTAGGGTATAGTGTGCTAATCAGGTCTTTTTTATCGCGCCTTCCCCAATGCGGCACACTGCGTATACCATGTCCTCCCACATAAAGATATTTGCGACTATAGTTGGAAAAGCCTGAGTGGCGGCACACATAGATATCAGTCTCAATTATACTTCCAAGAAGGATGTAGACGACGAATAGGGGCAAGTTATATTTCGTTGACTGTGTGCTGTCGCCAGCTAATTACTAGGTTGCTACCGTGGCAGCATGGCAGGTAGCCGGAGTACTTACCGTATGCATCAAAATTCGTTACAGGCTGTCGAAGTCCGACTCGAAAATGTATGGCTCACACAGGAGATGAACCATTAGTCGGCTGTCGACAACAGTAAAGTCAACGAGGCAAGGGGCGCCATCAACTTGAAGACGTAATCCGATCTAATCGGTGTCTTTGTGAAACAATCCGCTTGCTCCTTTTTTGGGGGCGTAATCCAAGTGGCTGTGCTCAAACCAACCTAAATGTCGCAACATGGCAATAATCGTTGCGCTTTGTTACGCTGTAAACAAGTATAGCACGTTCCAAAGGAGCAACTGTCACGCCTAGCTATAAAATCTTCTCTTTCGATTGTCTCTTTAACTCCTTATGTTTGTGCGGATCGCAGCAGAATGTCAACCTCTGCAGTACTCTCCCGCCAAGCTCTGCGGAAGAGACTAAAGCTGATGGTTATGGACAGTCAGTCCCTTTGACTGACGTAAGAGATAAGAAACTTACTGCATTAAAACGGGAATTGCTTGCAAGTGCTGTTGGACTCGGCGCCATACAAAAAAATCTGTTCTGTGCAATTGCAGGCTGCTAGATCTCGTCTACTTGTCACAAGAGACTACGGGACATGATCTAGCTCGTTTGTAAATGCGACATGTAACGATAGGTAGGAAAAGCTTCTCCGTACTACCAATCATCACCTCTACCATGTTGATGGCATGGAAGAGGTGATGGTAGCACCCCATGTTTATGGCATGGTAAAAAAAAGGTGATGGTAGTATCTCATGTTTATGGCATATGCAGATTGGTCACTTCCACATCCCTTTCTATTGTTTATGTCGTCCACAACGAGCTCAGCAACCATATCGATCTCTTCACAGGTCTTGACACCGTCCCAAACTGCTACTATGGTCCTTGATGCCGCCTCATTGACGTTGTCACCAAAACTTCGCGGCCGTAGCGGCTCCTTTGTCCCTCTGCAGCGCTTCGAGTGCATTCGAGTGGCCAAGAAAATCCGACGCAACGGTCATCGCTTTTACGTCGCCGCTGTCTTTCTCCAGCGCAACTCGGCACGCTGTCGGCTGTCCGAGAGCGTGTACAAGGCCTCACCGGCTTCCAAGCTGTCACCTCAGGCTATGTGCAATTTCATGATGACCGAACGTGAGCCAGACTTTGTAGTGGAGCGCCGGTTCTCGGAATTTCGCAAGCTGCGCAAGGATGTAGTGGCGCTATTAAGATTCAATGGAACACACGTTAAGGTGTGCACTGATTGCCAAGACCTACTGCGTGCAATGGTTCGTCCAAAACATAGGAATTGGACGTTGAAGCGGATGTTTGGCAATAAGGAACAGCGGTTTGCATTGCTCACGACGTTTGTGAACGATCTGCTGACGCTTACGATCAGTGTTGGTGAGCACACGACTAGTAGCAGCGTGACGGAAGGAATGGAGAAGGACTGTAGTATACGAGAACAAGTTGCAGAGATGTTGCAGGAATTTTTCAAACCTAGTTACCAGCCATCGCTTGGCATCATCTAAGAGGGAGGTAGCGCTAAGTAAACATTACGAAAAGAATATTTTCGTGCGCACAAGTGGATCACCAATTTCGATGACAGGTCCTGCCACAAGAAGTGGGTGCTTGTTCATAGGATGCATGGGCACGAGTTTCTGCTGCGTGCGTTGCCAAAAATGAGCGACGAATGCTACGAGTACAAATCAACCTCGATTGCAACGTTGAAGGGGAAATTGTACGGCATCTGCGACATATGAGCCACACTTGTCGAGCGTCAGCAGATGAGTTGCGGACGATGCGCTTGAGCATATCGCTGAGAATTTTGGTTGATTAGTTCCTTCTCGTCGGCCAGCCATCGCAGGCTTCCGAGTCTGTGCTGCTCAGTCGTAAAGATCCATCAGGTCGGCGCAGAGCTCGCAGTGAACGTTGTTATGAGTCGTCACGGGTCGCGCCGTAGTGATATATGAGCTCACTTATGGTTTTGCTGCTCGCACCGCTAACTTAAGCAGTCTACCGCTGTCGGCCCCTGGATTTACGCTTGCGAGCTCGCGGTATTAACGAAAACCGGAAGACTGTCATTGTGCAGCGAGCCTTGCTGCCCTGTCAATAAAACTTGGCATACGGCCGTTTAGAATGGTTTTGAGCTCCAGAGCTTGTCGCTGCGCCGACTTGCACGCGGGCTCATGTGAATACGGGGTTAAAGCTTGCACGGCTGAACATCTCGGCAGCATTTTGTAATGTACACTTGATAGTTGGACGGCTGCCACCGCTCGGTCGACTTGAGACCGTGAAGAGTGCCTGGTGCAGGAATGATATTAACTTGGCCAAGCATTCTACATGTACCGACCACAAAGGCTTTAGCGTACATGCACGCACATGAAAGTTTGTGATATAAAGAGCGTACATCTGACCACCACCAAGCAGTCGCTGGCAACGTGTACGTATATACACGCTGATTTATTGCAATGAACACGAGCGGACTCCACCGCAGAGGATGTGAGACAGGATATGGTCGACGTGCCATGGAATGGGGCGTCTAGGCGGCATAGCTTGTTCAGGTGAAGAGAAACGCGTGCACGGCTTGTGGGATTAAAGTCTGCCCGGAGCAGCAGCCTCGTGTGTTGATACAGACTTGACGAATGATAACTCTCAAGAGATCTACCATAAACCTCATCACCGTGCGCTTCAGCCGCTTACCGCCGAGCAGGCCAACTATAAATCCGTCAGGGTTTGCTCCGAATACGATCAATTCCAGGAGTTTCGAGCAAAGTTCGCAATGTTCACCGCGATGAGCCTCGTGCACGATGTCGTAAACTTTGTCACGAAGTTGAACAAATTCCAGCAGCGTCCTTTCAATCCTCATGGTTGGTCTCCGTATTGGACGACCATTTTCAATCGATTCACTATTTGGATCTGACCGCGCAGGAAACACCTCGATGACGAACATATCGTTCTTGTTTGCACAACGGACTCGAACAGCATCAATTTTCTTCAGCTCTAGCAGTGCACTTCGCCAAGCCGATACGGCTGAAGGTGCAACCATAACAGGCACCAACAACTGAAGCTTTGAGTTTACATTGTCGGACACTAGTGACAACATGATTGCTTTTGTGTTGCAGACCACCTATTGGATTGTGTGCTTCCCGGCAAAGCTGAGAGTAAAGATGCAGCAAGCTCGAAAGACCAGTCGAAGACCAGTCGAAAGACCAGCGTAAATGCCGAAGACTTCGAAGCAATTCATTGAATCTTGTTGATTAGATTTGCGGCTGCTATTCTAGTGTGCGGTAACTAGATACAGTTAGCACGGTGATGGACATGGTGTCGTGTACAACCAAAACTAAAGTAATAATGGTGACTGCCTCTGTTCAGCCTCAAGTCGTTGTCCCGAGGCAGTCACCATGAAACAGCTATACACTGTATCACTTTCCTTTAGTAACTATCACGCTCTTACGGACACGACGCGGTACCTGTGCGATAGATATTGAATCTGCAAGCTCTTTTTCTTGTTGCAGACAAAATTCCAGCAACAACCATCTTTGCCGACAGCGACCCGTCGACCACGCTCCTGAATTGTTGTTTCGCCATGGGCTCTTCCAACTTGACAAAATGCTACTAGTTTGCGTCATGAGTTGCGACCCATGCAAACACTTACGTGTTAGATTCGCCCGAGTGATCACCACCTGCAATGCTTCTCCGCGCAACTTGGCGACAGTAGGATAACTGCCTTTATCTTTTGCTTTTTGCAGCCTTGAGATGCTGTGAGGGATGCTTGGAAAATGACTGATGTACGCTCAGCAATTAGCTGACATGCCACAACCAAAGACCAACCTGGACAGGACCGAGTGTACCTATCGCATGATGCAAGAAATATGAGCTGATAATCCTTTTGGCGCATTGTGCTATAGTAGATTCTTTGCTTTTATAGTCGTCGTTTGACACTCGCTTCTTCATGATCTTGACACTTTCTCCATTTTATTGAAACATGCTACACGACTGCTACAAATCTGCTAATAGGTCACTTTCCAAATTAGGCTTTAGAGCAACAACGGCCAAGCGACGAGGCCTCCAAGAGTCGGCATACCGGTCTCTTACCTGGGCAAACCATCTTTGAACGTAATTTCGGTCGTCCGATTCCGAAACCAGTGCTGCATGTCAGGGATTAGTCTGACTGGCCCATCTAAGACAGCAGATGTGGTACACTGAGGCGCCACGTGCCCCCTGCATGTGTTAAAGTTTGGTTGGTCAAACGGTCATACGTGCTCTTTTAGGGTGTTCTCGTAAAGGCCGTCCGGTTGAGCCAGCAGAGTGAGCTACATAGTCATGGCAGAAGATCAGGGGATCTGGGCATGCCCTCAACTATCTGACGCTCGAGGCAAAAGAAATTGGCGCATTAGTTGATGACTTTGAACTTGACCGGAGCACCATGGCGTACCCTCACTACATTCAGAATGTATCAGAATGCCCAAGACGACATCCATAAACTCCTGCAGCGAGCGTTTTAATTTGTCGCGCCCAGCCAAGATACGAAGCGTGCTGCTTCCGAATTGTTTGTCCCTCATGTTGAGGTAACGAATTATCTCCTTGCAATATTCGCAGGAAACATACCTGTGTGCCAAGCGCGACGAGTGGCAGAGTGCTCGACGGAGATTCTTAAAGTCTGCAAGCGTCCTGTCGACCTGGTAGGCTGGTTTGCGAGTATCTTTGTCGCTGTCATGATTGAATTTCGAGCACGTATCATGAAATCGAGTCGATCTGATAGTCGAAGCGGTAGTGAACACTTCAATTGTGAAAAACGTTGTGCTTTGACGACGAGGTGTGCTACTAGATACGAGCACGCTTTCAACTTGGTGGCGTTTAAATGGGCAAATTCGGATGGAGGAATTTGATGCCGTTGTTGCGGCAACAGTGGGAAGAAAGAAGAAACTGCTGTCTCGTGAATTTGATGCTTGTTGTGGCATCTGCATGACCAAGACGTTGTCAGTTGGACGTGGTCAATTTTGAAATGAGGCTATGACACAGAAGAAGGCAGATGCGCAAGCGAAACATAAGAGTCATGTACTATGAGTACATTTCATCGAGAAGATTCGTCTCGAGATGATACTCCGATAACCGTTCTAGATCAAGGCTCAGGTGGCTGTCCCTGGCTCTCTAGTAGCTTTTTTCTCGTGCTTTACCTTGCAAAATTCTTCGCATTAACCTTCTCGTTTGAACGGTTATGATACCACTAGTGCCTAGTAATCTTCACGATCAGATGAGTATGGTGGGACCTTGACCTATTTGTGACTTCAAGCTTGCTAGCTCATGACATCCTACTTTGGCGCTCTTGTAGGGTGTGTCTCAAACAAGTTTTCTTCTTGGCCCAACGCCAAATGCTGTCAGAGGCACTGCATCGAATGTCAGAAGAAGTAGAAGCAGCTCTGTCGAACAGAGATGTAGCGACAAATACACTATTGGATCCAACATTCAAATACCCAAGCCTGATCGAGTAACCGTTGTGTTAGCAATATTAGTGCAGCATGCTTGATGATTCGACTTTGATCAGGCGTGGCGCAGTTGATTCCACATCGTGCGCAAACTGCTCCGTCTCCTTGTTGAAGTGCATCCTTCAGTGTTATTATACCGCTGCATTGTTCACTTAGCGCGCTCATACTGTTGTTTTCGACGACTAGTATAAGCTTGGCTAATCGGGCAAAGTACCAAATGCAATGATAAAGCTAAGCTAAACATCTGTGCACGTCAACAAGCTGCAAAATGTCTTCATTTGCTTCTTGTAAATGCAGCAAAAGAAGGACTTACGAGTTCACAACTAAAGAAAAGGCCGTACCGTTTGTTACCAGCTAGTTCGAAGGCTGCGAGACGAATAGCAAGTGTTTGCTTGCAGAGAATCGCTTTAAAACGCATCCTATTCGAACATTAGTCGGAGAAGGTGAAGCTCATTCGTAGATCCATTCAAGTCTTGCGCATAAGTAAACATCCGCTTGTGTTTGCTATTTGTAAATTGAAAGCCGTCCACGGATCTACGCTATACGAGTACCGAGGTGATTCCGCATTGAGAAAAGCGGACGCTAGGCATAGCTTTTAACGAGATCTGTCTGGGAGGCAATAAATGAAGCAGAGCTTCGACATGATCAGCGGGTAATACACGCTTCGAGCAAGCAAAACGAAGTTGTTTCTTGTAGAAGTGTGCGTCTACTACCACCTAAATAAAATATATGAACAAAGCACTTTCAGTGGTCTGCGTCGTGACACGCAATGCTTCACTTTAGCCTCTCCCACCTCACTCTGCAGTATTATTTCCTACAGCAAAAAAGTAGCTCTTCGCTTCAGTGCAGATGGTAAAGAAGCATTACGGAATGTGGCCATAGGCATGATGTTTCGACTTAATGAGCGACTTCCCGCTCAAGGTAAGATGACCGATATGTCGACTCTTTTTGGAGACCTTCGTCGCTTGGCCGTTGCTGCTCTAAAACCTAATTTGGAAAGTGACCTATTAGCAGATTTGTAGCAGTCGTGTAGCATGTTTCAATAAAATGGAGAAAGTGTCAAGATCATGAAGAAGCGAGTGTCAAACGACGACTATAAAAGCAAAGAAACTACTATAGCACGATGCGCCAAAAGGATTATCAGCTCACATTTCCTGCATCATGCGATAGGTACACTCGGTCCTGTCCAGGTTGGTCTTTGGTTGTGGCATGTCAGCTAATTGCTGAGCGTACATCAGTCATTTTCCAAGCATCCTTTACAGCATCTCAAGGCTGCAGAAAGCCAAATATAATGGCAGTAATTCTACTGTCGCAAAGTTGCGCGGAGAAGCATTGCAGGTGGTGATTACCCGGGCGAATCTGACACGTGAGTGTTTGCATGCGTTGCAACACATGACGCAAACTAGTAGCATTTTGTCAAGTTGGAAGAGCCCATGGTGAAACAATGATTCAGGAGCGTGGTCGACGGGTCACTGTCGGCAAAGATGGTTGTTGCTGGAATTTGTCTGCAACAAGAAAAAGAGCTTGCAGATTCAATATCTATCGCACAGGTACCGCGTCGTGTCCGTAAGAGCGTGATAGTTACTAAAGGAAAGTGATACAGTGTATAGCCGTTTCATGGTGATTGCCTCAGGACAACGACTTGCGGCTGAACAGAGGCAGTCACCATTATTACTTTAGTTTTGGTTGTACACGACACCATGTCCATCACCGTGCTAACTGTATCTAGTTACCACACACTAGAATAGCAGCCCCAAATCTAATCAACAAGATTCAATGAATTGCTTCGAAGTCTTCGGCATTTACGCTGGTCTTTCGACTGGTCTTCGACTGGTCTTTCGAGCTTGCTGCATCTTTACTCTCAGCTTTGCCGGGAAGCACACAATCCAATAGATGGTCTGCAACACAAAAGCAATCATGTTGTCACTAGTGTCCGACAATGTAAACTCAAAGCTTCAGTTGTTGGTGCCTGTTATGGTTGCACCTTCAGCCGTATCGGCTTGGCGAAGTGCACTGCTAGAGCTGAAGAAAATTGACGCTGTTCGAGTCCGTTGTGCAAACAAGAAAGATATGTTCGTCATCGAGGTGTTTCCTGCGCGGTCAGATCCAAATAGTGAATCGATTGAAAATGGTTGTCCAATACGGAGACCAACCACAAGAATTGAAAGGACGCTGCTGGAATTTGTTCAACTTCGTGACAAAGTTTACGACATCGTGCACGAGGCTCATCGCGGTGAACATTGCGAACTTTGCTCGAAACTCTTGGAATTGATCGTATTCGGAGCAAACCCTGACGGATTTATAGTTGGCCTGCTCGGCGGTAAGCGGCTGAAGCGCACGGTGATGAGGTTTATGGTAGAGCTCTTGAGAGTTATCATTCGTCAAGTCTGTATCAACACACGAGGCTGCTGCTCCGGGCAGACTTTAATCCCACAAGCCGTGCACGCGTTTCTCTTCACCTGACCATGCTATGCCGCCTAGATGTCCCATTCCATGGCACGTCGACCATATCCTGTCTCACATCCTCTGTGGTAGAGTCCGCTCGTGTTCATTGCCAATAAATCAGCGTGTATATACATACGTACACGCTACCAGCGACTGCTTGGTGGTGGTCAGATGTACGCTCTTTATATCGCGAACTTTCATGTGCGTGCATGAACGCTAAAGCCTTTTGGGTCGGTAGAATACTTGGTCAAGTTGATATCATTCCTGCACCAGGCACTCTTCACGGTCTCAAGTCAACAGAGCGGTGGCAGCCGATTAACCATCTAGTGTACATTACAAAATGCTGCCGAGATTTCCAGCAGCGCAAGCTTTAGCCCCGTATTCACTGAGCTCGCGTGCAAGTCGGCGCAGCGACAAGCTCTGGCTCGGTCCCTTTTGAACGTCTGAGTTCTGCAGGCCGGATGAGGGCAGTGCCAGCTCCGTGATGTTCTGACAACACTTGGCTTGGCCAAGCCGTGCGACATGGACATACGGATCTTCAGCGAGCACTGCACCACGTAGCAATGCTTACCCTGGCGCTTAACAGTCTTATTCGCTTCATTGTAGTCAGTAGCTTCGATGACGCTGAGAGAACTCAGCGTGCCTGCTGCTTTAGCGTAGTAATCTGGTCTCATGTGCAGCGGCTGCAGGTCGTGAATACGTAGCATATTGTTGGCGTTTTAAGTTTGCCGAATGGCGACATTAGAAGCATGTCCTAGTCTATCAGACAGTATGAATGATACTTTATCTTCATCTTCGGTGGTTTTTAGTGAAGACTTTGCCGTTGGAGAGGATTCTCATATTTCTTGTTACTACCAAGACATGCAAGCTCTGGTTTAACACATGCGGAAAAAGTTGACAAATTATTCCGGAGCTCTTGCCCAATCTAATGCCCAACTTAGAAATGCAAAGCAAGTATCTTTTTGATGTATTAATGAGCCAAGAAAGCGATCCAAGACTTGTGCAGCTTAAGCTTGCTGAAGCTGGGGGTCATATGTTGTTTCGATGGCGATGGCCGCAGTGAACGCTGCTTATTTCGGTCACCCAGCCTCCACCCAGCCTCCAACCTGGTCAGTGCCCGACTTCATTTCAAACAATCTTGAAGGCTGGGCCAGTCGACGGTGATGTCGCTGGCTTATTACGTAAGCACCACTTGACAGCTTCGAACGCAGTAGCTGCCAAAGGCATTCGCGACGTTTCTGTTGGGGCAATTTTGACTTGAGAAACGTGAGGCTGGTGCACCAATAGCGACCTCTTCATCGACTCAATGGTCGACGAGTCCTCCACAATGCGGCCAACATACTGACGTCGTTTGGACCGATATACCACCCTTGCATCAGGTAGGAGATGATCGATCGTCCAGAACAACAAGTTGCTCCATAAGTCACCAAGTAAAAACACTGCCATAACAGTCGTAGCAATGTCAGGTCCTTTATTTGGTTGTCCATTATCCCAGTGCTTTCATGCGTCATCGCGCAGGAATCGCACAACCAGGGCTGGAATCATCACGTTCCCGTCGCACATGTAATACCGCTGCCGTGTTTCCTCCTTCTTACCAATGGCCATCTCGATATACTTATTTATGCACTTGGCGAGTAGCCAACTGCGAGTTTTGTTGCTCTTGACGAATAACTTCATAAACAGCCGCGGCTGCGAGAGACTTGTCCAAAGGACTTCCATGTACTTGCTGCAGTATTTGCACGCAGAACCGCTGATGTGTTGACGCTGTGCGTAGCTCCACAACTTATAGCGCAAGTTAGCAAAGTCGGTAAAGCGTTTCCTGACGGTGTAGTCAGGTCGGTCTCGTCGTGACGTGTCCAATCGCTTGTTGGTCGGAATGCGATTCGTGTGGTGCTTCAGGTAGACATCTACGAAATAGTAGACGACACCACCGATCTCTTCAAAGCTGGCAATCTCCACGTGATCAATTTTTTCGAGTATACTAATAGGCTCGACAGCACTAGACGAGCGAAGCGGAGTCAAGTAGACCAGGGTGAGAGGTGGTGCCCCAAAGTAGATCATGATGTGACGACGTAATTGATATTGATAACTGTGCAACTGCGACTCTGACCTTACGCACGGGTCAAGCAAGCACTTATGCCCATCGCGTAACTTTGCTCGTGTGTAGCGACCACAGACGAAAAGCGGCCGAGTGCTTGCGCTCTCTGCACACCGCACGGGAGATAGCCGACAGATTGCTTTGATCGGCTACACTGTCTCCGGATACTTTTGATAGGCACCATACATACTGACATGGTCCATGAGGCCGCAAGTTCACAGCTAATATCATACGACACCCCCATTGTGGCGTTTCATAGATAAATATTGCAGTGGTGACATCTGCTACAGTTGTTACGCTGCACGTTCCACGAATACCATCCATTGTTGTGGTTGACAAAGTCTATTGGGACTTAGAGGATGTGAACATACGCATGATACCGGCATTTTCTACCTTTACTGATTTTGCAGATGTTGTGCTACGATACGATGTGTTTATTCACTTGTATGTGCATGCAACATACGGTACCTGAGCTCTGCTCTGCTACACACACTTAAGCTTCCTTCTATGCGTCATCCTTTAAGAACGCTGCATCAACTATCGGATGGCATAGGACCCGAATTTTCACAGCCGTAGCCCTGTATCTCCATATATGATGTACTTCATGTAGAACGTTGTTATTAACCTCTTATGCCTTCTCCACGATAATTAGCTAGCTTTACGAACTAAGTGGTCGTGACATCGAGTGCACGAAAAAGCTCACGAAAGCGACACGTACTGTACGCGCAGCGCAAGCACAAGACTTGGTCATCTTCAGTGTTGCGTGCAATAAATGCTATGTTCTACTTGTGTTTACCTTCAACCTTTTGCGCTTATTGGTCACCCCAAGCAAGAAGACAAAGATACGTGGTATCAAGGTCCGATGGCAATGAGTTTCGCATCATACATGTGGGAGGAACTCAGTTAAGGGGGGGCGGGTGAGGATATACGCTCGAAGGGGTGCAGCAATATGCCTCTTAGCTACATGCATATATTTTTGATAGTGTGGTCCTTTGTAAGAAGTAACTCGTATACGTACGGTTGTTCATGTTGTTGTAGTGAGTTGTTAAACAGTCGGTTGTCAACACGGTGAGGTTTATATCAATATTAGTATACCCAGATATTATTCTCCACAATAGTTTTCGTAAAAATGGGAGCTATACAATTCAGAGCTAAATTATGGCTGCAAACGCCCAATTACTCTAGCCTACACCTGGACATGAGAATCCAGTTATTTGCTATATAATATCGTTGCGGCGTTGGTTTTGCTTAAACACACAAGCACTCCTAAGCATTTTAAAAGCTAACCGTTGACTTCTCAGCATTTTAAAAGTTTACCGTGAAGCTCCTACGCACTATACAACACTAGCCTACATAGCAGATAAATATGAATCGATATCAGCTGCAGGTACTTTCGTCAACTATACCGCACACCTGCAACCTTCGATCGGTTGCTGTGGCTCGATTTCTATGCCTTTTTCTCCCGAAAAAAGCACTCAATCACATATGGAATAGCTTGGAACCCGTCACAAGCAAAATTTCGCATCTGCATCTCGCTATTTCCACCAAAGGTCATGCCGATGAACTCGTTGCAAAAAATCGTCATCAGTTTCTTGCGCGTTTCCACGCCAGTGGTCACTTTCACAAACAACCGCGGCTGCGCCATCGAGTGCACAATGTAGTTCATAAAATCTTTGCAGTACCTGCAAGCAAGCCCGTCTTGACACTTGCGCTGAGCGTATGCCCACACTTGATAGCGCAGGTTGGCGAAGTCGGTAAATCGACGCTCCAGATGATAGTCAGGTTGACCACCTGAAATAGCCTTGGTTGTCTTGTTGGTCGGGATTCGTGACGAGCAATGCTTTAGATAAACATCAAGTACGTAAAACACGACACCACCACGCACTATGGTATCATTAATCTCGACGCGGTCGATCTTTTCCAGGGATGCTAGAGGCTCCGAGGCCTTGAACCTTCTAGTTGGTTTCATGGTCACAGGCAACAGGGACTGCAGGCGCGGCATTATCGTAGAAGCAGACATGGTCAATGATTTTTTTTTGCGAGTTTGAATATGTAAAAGCGGCTGACGTGAGTTTTACAGGAGACTATGGGCCGTCGTAAGCCGGAAAAAAGACAAGTGAATCAACTGGACGATGCTCGCCAGGTGATCAGAGACTGTCGTCGTAGGGACGGGGCATCATATGCGATGCCCGTAATGTTGGCTCTTGAGATTAGAGCGAGCACAAAAAAGTATTTCTTAGAATCCTCGAATGCATCGTTGACTATTGCGATCGTATTTCGCTGGCACGACTTTAGCAAACCATTCGTATGGTAAAGTGATAGAGTACCTCTTGTTGTATGTTCTAGTTGTTTGGCAGTTATCATTTCTTCTGACACACAGTCGGGCTTTTTCACATTAGTTATGGCGATCTGTCGATATTTGCGGCTCATGCTCAGACCAACACTTTTCAGCGTCACAACATCTGACTTTTGCTTACACAAATTATCGAAAGAGTACCGATATGTTAAGCAGGTTATTGAATTCAAACTGACTGTGTAATGGTCATCTACTGTATGTAAGGCTCGCGGTTTTTTTAGAGAATACGAAGTCTCATGTTCCTTTAGAACGTATTGACGCAAGCGTGATGGTACGACAGAACTTCATAAAACACGCATGCGCAGCTTAGGATTCCATTGTTTTCCAGCACTTCTGTGGCTGAAACTTCTTCATTTGGCGAGGCCACATGTAGAGCTTTATAGTTTCAATATAATGAGTCTTGGTACGTATTATTATCGTACGACACCTCTGATCAATGCAAAGCGAGGGCATGTCAGGCCTCTTTTGAAGGAAAAAGAACAAGCAGGAGAAGGTCGTACAAAAAAACGAAAAAATCTCCCGTTTTGCTTGATTATGGCGAACTTTATCGTGGCAACAAGATACAGGGTGAGACTTTTCGTGTTTACATAAAAACGATCGTTAGCGGACACATCATTCACCCGTTCTCGAGCCTAGCAACCCATGTAGTGCAGGTACGAGATACAGTACTTTGTCATGTTAAGAAAAAAAGTAATACTACTAAGACGACTATCACTACTACCGTCCAGGTAACGAATGTAAGTATGCGGATACCAAGGACATCGCAATTTGCAACGTCTGCAGCTCCAGCTACCTAGAAATTCGCGAAATTGACTGAGCGATTAAGAAAATCGTTTGCATGCATGTCCAAGCTGCAGGTAAGTTTAAAATAGTATGTTTGACTTTAGTATTAATAAATTATTATATTTGACTCTAGTATTAATGTTTTAATGTTGAGCAGATAATAGTTGTTCAGAGCCACGTCAGATATTCTCTCGATTCATGACTCTTCGTTGACGTTCTACGCCATGCCCATGATTTACTGAAAAGCTGGAACAATGTCAATGCATTGTAAGGGGACGAGCTGTCAATGTGTGTGGCTGGAATGGGCTACTACTATATTACTGGTTTAAATCATTACTATTTTTCCTCTAAATGTGGGTGTCACTATGCTGCAGCTATTAAGGCTTGCTTGCCAACAGGACAAATTGTTTACTGCACTTAGGATGGCGGAAGAGGCACGTTTAATGACATTGTGGCGGTCCAGGCATGTTTAATGCTCTATAATTGAACAGCAAAAAAGTCCTGCCTGGAACTCCACAATGTCTTTGTGGTTTGATCTTAAGGGCCGATTCTTTCCACGCAGCATGACAGCATGCGCGTTGCAATACGAGCAATCAACGATGAGGCAGAATGAAGTGCTTCTTGTCTGTTGGGTCGTCTTTGGTGTTTACAGAGCGAATTTATCACGAGGCAGGATGATTTGTGACGATAATCTGTTGGCGAGGCAGCTATTTATCGATATGAAAAACCATTTGACCGAGCAGTACAACAAGCGGGGTATTCTGGAGAAGTTTGATCATGCACCTCTTTGGCTTTGTTGGGAGATCAATTAGCAGTAAAAATTTATACTAAGTGAAGACACGCTCATGCTGCCATCAAGTCGAGTATCACTTTAGATGCTGACACACTACGCGTACGAAGCCAAGCCCACGCCAACTAGGCTCTATCACAGTGATAAATCAGTCAAGTCCCGGATATGGCTGCAATTTTACAATACAAACCGTTTGGTATAGCATTCTTGTGGAGCACAGGATACGCGCGGCTGATGTATCAAATATTAACTCGCGTACTTCGTCATCAAAAGTTCGTGCACATAGGATCGCTTAAAGAGGTCAACGTAACGCCACATGAGCTATGTATGACAAGATGGAATATCTCATGTTTCTTTTTCAAATGATGCAGCACAAAGAGCTTTATGAGGAATTTGCTGGATCGTTTCGCCTTCAGCGCCTATTAAAGATGAGCGGGATATTTCATGTTGTCATGCATAGCGTGTGCACCATCGTTTATTCGGCCTCTAGGGTAGACACTGCAATGTTGTGGGCTAGAAAAGGAAGAGACACGTACGCTAAAAACGTCGTTGCAGCAAATCCAGTCGTTCTGCCTTTGGCAAACGTTCGTCGCTTCTTTCAGCATCTCATTGAAGCGGACAAGCTAAGAAAATGTCTATTGTTAGCGCTTGATGGTCATTTGAAGAGCTTCGAAGCATTGTTTCGATATTACTCGATGACAAACGGATTTGCTTGATCCAGTTGCGATGGACTTAGCATATATCTTAGCAGTAACAACTCGTACGAGCTCGTCGTGGGAACGAACGCGTCATTTCTGGTGTAGTTGCTTCGAACCTGGTTAAAACAAGACAATGCAACAACTGCGTGATTCATGCAGCGTACATGTAAAGACCGCGGCCCGGGTCCCCCTTTCGTCTGGCGAAACACTGACGTCGTACTTGCAAACCGTTCATTTTGGCGGAGAAGCTCCTAGTGAAGCTTTGCAGCACTTGATCATGTGCCTTTGCGACAAAGCACTGTTAAATTGCTGGTGAAGCGGAGTCGACACGGCTGACGAAAGCATTCCCTCGTGTTGGGCCTGAATGGAATATATCTGGAATCGTACTTGTCACAACAGCGACTGGATCAAGCATTGACATGCTTTGTGGATTGCAGCGTAGCCTCGATAGACCGCAAGATGAAGCTTTATGTCAATCACATCGCATCAGCCAGTCTTTGTGGGATGTGCACGTTTATAAAGACGAAGACTGTCGATAACTTGTAGTACTACGCAGTGCTCATTTTGAGGAGACGACATTGATAACTACGATAATTGTACGGAAAGGAGAAGTACTAGCTTGCTCCAGTTTGTTATATACCTGCGTCACAGCTGACAGGTGCAATATTCTCGAAGAAACAAGAGGTTTACCCAGCTTTAGTATTGTATTGTAGCAAGCTCCACCACTGATGCGTGCACCAACCAGTGGAGTTGTGCCGCAGGCGGACTCCCAAAACTCTAGTTCACCTAGTAGCAAGCTTTGAGGTCTCTTCTTTATCTATTTTGCTAGAATCTGGCATTGAGACTTTATACGACGTTTGATCATCAGATACTAGTTGAATTCGTTCGCGCTCTTAGGTGCAGAGCTCGATGCTGACCCAACTTATACTCTTTTGAACTGCATTTTCATCATCTTCATCACCGGTAAGACGCGTTCAACGAGTGCTTTACGGTGGAGTATTTGCTGAGTGGTTCGGCGTTTAGTAGCGTTCTTGCGTCGACAGAAGCGTAAGAAATTCCAGAATGCTATTGACCATTTCACAGGGTGCGCAACTTGCGGAGGCGCGTACGTAGAATGAGGAAATAGGCTCATGGGGCGTTCGTCAAAAAAAGAGGTATTGGTCTGCCAGCCCGATGGCCGGGACATCCACCGGCCAACAATTGCCTTTGAATCTTTGTCGATGAGGTCGTAGCTTATCCACTAGGACGTGCAGACAAAGACCTCGGTGAAAGCGCACTTGACTTGACCAGAAGGAGTAAGTAGAAATGTGCCTCATTTCACGTCGCCATGGTCTTGCGTTGCGACTGCAGGTACGCCAAACGACAAAATGGTCCCACAATTACGGATAACTTCTCTCACCAAATGTTTAGCTCGAATCCGACGAACTTGTCCGATGAACCGCATAGCTATACAGAGTGCACAGTCCTAGTAACAAGGATCGTAACTACGACGACGTTCGCGTGCTCGCATTGTCGTAAAGTTTGGATTTCGCGCTGTACGCTTTAAACGTGTCCGTTCGTTTCACAGTCTTGATATCTACAAGTATCACTTTTAGTGTTGCAAACAGGATGCAGTCATTCTTACAGCTAGCTTGAGATACTGATCGAAAGCTCATACGACACGGTGAAATGGAAAAAGACTGGGACGAGTCTCCCAACCGTTAGTGAAGTCGTTCTTTCGTGTGGCAGTTGAAATCGAGAACTTTCATGCGACAAGATTATTTCTCAAAGCTGCAGCTTCAAGGTGATTGCAAGCTGGGACGAGTTCCTGCTTGTGTGGGTGGCTTGTGTTAAGTGGCATTTTCGGATTTGACGACAAGAACGAAGTAACTATGACCGAAGCTGTAAAGGGACAAAGCGTGGGTATCGACCTGGGTACGACGTACTCGTGCGTTGGTGTCTGGCAGAATGACCGTGTGGAGATCATTGCCAACGACCAGGGAAATCGCACGACGCCGTCGTACGTGGCGTTCACGGACACGGAACGTCTAATCGGTGATGCTGCCAAGAATCAAGTGGCCATGAATGCCCACAATACGGTGTTTGACGTCAAACGCTTGATTGGGCGCAAGTTTACTGATCCAGAAGTACAGTCGGACATTAAGCACTGGCCGTTCAAGGTCGCTCGCGGTCCTGAGAACAAACCTCAAGTGGTGGTGCAATTCAAAGGGGAGACCAAGACGTTCCAGCCCGAAGAGATATCGTCTATGGTGCTAATCAAGATGCGCGAGATCGCGGAGGCTTACATTGGTAAGCAAGTGAAGAATGCAGTGGTTACGGTCCCTGCTTACTTTAACGACTCGCAGCGTCAGGCGACCAAAGACGCCGGAGCCATTGCTGGTTTGAACGTATTGCGTATTATCAACGAGCCGACTGCTGCTGCTATCGCCTACGGTTTGGACAAAAAGGGTGGCGAGCACAATGTGCTCATCTTTGATCTGGGCGGTGGCACTTTCGATGTATCTCTGCTGAGTATTGAGGAGGGCATCTTTGAGGTGAAGGCTACTGCCGGTGACACGCACTTGGGCGGCGAAGATTTTGATAACCGTCTCGTGGAGTATTTTGTGGCCGAGTTCAAGCGCAAACACCGCAAAGATATTTCGGGAAACCAACGTGCTCTACGACGCCTTCGTACGGCTTGCGAGAGAGCTAAGCGAACCTTGTCCACTTCCGCCCAGGCGTACATTGAGATTGATACGCTTTTTGAGGGCATCGATTTCAATTCGACGATTACGCGTGCGCGTTTTGAGGACTTGTGTGGAAGCTTTTTTCAAAAGACGATGGAGCCAGTCGCTCAAGTTCTGCGTGACTCCAAATTATCGAAAAACCAAGTGAACGAGATTGTCCTAGTTGGTGGCTCAACTCGTATCCCGAAAGTTCAGCAATTGTTGATGGACTATTTCAACGGGAAAGAACTGTTCAAGTCGATTAATCCGGATGAGGCTGTGGCGTATGGTGCCACCGTCCAAGCTGCAATTTTAGGTGGTGGTGGGTTGTCTTCAAAGCTGCAGGATCTTTTGCTGTTGGATGTAGCCCCGTTGTCGCTTGGATTGGAGACGGCTGGTGGGGTCATGACCAAGCTCATCCCACGTAATACGACCGTTCCAGCGAAGAAGACGCAATCATTCTCGACGTATGCCGACAACCAGCCCGGTGTTTTGATTCAAGTGTTTGAGGGCGAACGCTCGATGACGCGTGATAACCACCTTTTGGGCAAGTTTAACCTGGATGGCATTCCGCCCATGCCTCGAGGCGTGCCTCAAATTGATGTTACGTTTGACATTGACGTCAATGGCATTTTGAATGTGACGGCGATAGAAAAGTCGACTGGCAAGGAAAACAAGATCACGATCACGAATGACAAAGGTCGACTGTCACAGGATGATATCGACCGCATGGTCGCCGACGCGGAAAAGTACAAGGACCAAGATGAACGCAACAAATTGCGTATCGAGTCGAAGAATGCGTTGGAGAATTATGCGTTTTCTCTGCGTAACTCGATGCAAGAGGAGAAATTGGCATCGAAATTCAGCACCGACGATAAGAAAACTCTTGAGGACAAGATTGCTGAGACGCTGCAATGGCTGGACTCGAACCAGTCGGCAGAAAAGGATGAGTTTGATGCCAAGCAGAAAGAGCTGGAGGGAGTGGCGAACCCCATCATGCACAAAATGTATGCAGCCGAAGCAGGTGCGGCAGGGGCTGGTACTAGTGCTGCTCCTGGCGCTGGAGCTCCAGGTGGTGCGGAGCAAAACGAAGGTCCGAAAATTGAGGAGGTGGATTAGTGGAAAGAGAGTGGCCCCGAAGGAACGGGTGGAAGAATGCTTCAGCGAAGCGTTTAGTGTTTGTGTGGACGGGAGATCTCCGTCAGAATTGAATGAAATTCATTGCGACATCTATCTTGTGCTGGTACATTCCGATCATTCTAATCAGTAATGCTCATAACGTGTTTTTGTCATTGTTATCTACCGTAACGACTTCAACATGAAACTGTAGTGAAAAGACTGTCAAATCACTTCAAGTCATGGTCTCTCTAGTAATTTGCCACACGAATGTCAGGCCTTTTGTATGTTGAATCTTTTGCATGTGCAAATCCGGATCATTTCGCTCCGCCGATGACAACCACTTAAAACCTGGTTACAGACTCAGATCACAACCAACGACAGCAACAATCACACGGCACTTCTCGACCATTAGCTGAACAAGTCTCACATAATATACGGCAACATTATGGACGAAAAGGTGACGCGTTCACTGGAGCAGGAAGCTATTGCTCTCGTAAATTTGAGCAAGAAATTTGCCTTCCATCAAGTGGCACCGGAGCTGCTCGAGGCAGTTGATAAAAGCACAGCGATCAACATAGAAGACGCCGCCATAACAGACGACGATGCATCCGTGGAGCTGCTGGATGGCAATATCTCCATGAAGTCACTGCTTGAGACGCTTAAAAAGCGCAAGCTGCAGCACCAAGTCAAAGAGGAAGAGACCACTGGATCTGATAACGGATCAATAGACGATACACTGGACACTGCCAAGCTTCCGAGTTTCCGGACCGTCTTCCAGCCACAGCAAGAGAAAGAGATTGCAGGTGACGAGGTCAATACGGCCCCTGAGCTCAAGTGCAAGTACCGCACGGGCAAATGCCACAATGCGCGGGCGCTCAAGTCGTGCGGCGACTATCACAACTTGTGCAATTACCATCGACTTCGAGCCAACGCTAACCAGCGCAAATTGGACCGCAAGAAGAAGGAGCAGCGTCTGCAGCAGCAGCAACTCACGGCGAATGCATTCACCGGCACGTCCTCACCGCGTGCTTTAAAGCAGCTGCCGATCCCTTCGTCGTCCCACGCTGCCGCAACGGCACTTGCATCTCTTGTGGCCGCGCAGCCTCAGCATCACTTTGGCTTGCTGCAGCAGCAGAGACTGTTCCTTGCCTCGAGTGTCACCGTACAGGAGGCGGGGAAGACCAATAGGAATAGAAGCAACGGCGCCACAAGCGGTGTCAGCCATATGCAGGAAGACGCCTGTAGTTATTAGACTCGCTGACCGGCATATTGCGACACCAGACACTTAACCTGCCTCCATAGATCCCTACAAACAGATAACAAATAGCAACATACGATACCGCGATCGCCAGTTTGGCTCGCGAGCCACCTCTAAATATTGTGCAGGGTTACAGTACATTATATATTGGACGACGGCATAGATTGCCATCGTGTCTACAGCATAGACTGCCATCGTGTCTACGGCAGAAGACGCATTATAATGGTGTCTAAGTCCAACGATAGCAGTGTTACGTGTACACGACCAGGAAAATCATGCCAACAAGCACGGCTACCAGAAAAAGAATAAGTCCCAGTTGGCACTTGTCTAAAACAAAAACAAGCACATGAGTGGGTTAAAACTTGGTGGTACAAAAATTTACGGCACAAGTACCTTTCGTCTTTAAAAGTTTACTCAAGCCCTTCATAACAAAGTTCATTCGCTGTTGTGCTTCTTCCACATCCTCAGTCAAGTCATCAAGCATCCTAAGCATAGCCAAGCATCGTAATGCAATCAGATGGTCGATCATTCCATGGACATGCCGACTGCAAGGAGACACGTACCTGTTTTGTTGCTTGACCTCATTGGATATATCTACTGTAACTTCGTGCAAGCGTGTGATATCAGTATGAAGCTCCGCTAAACTCGTATTTTGCTCTTGCAAAGTTTGCTATGCCAGACCCGCAATCCATTCGTCAAAGCAACCAAGCCACACGTTAGATATAAAGGCAACGCAGCTATTCAAAGTTTGCTCGTACATGTTGTCGTTGCGTTTCTTCCTCCAAAAATTTCTCATTTCTCTCCTGTCCAGTCAGATTTGGCCTGAAAGACGTTGATTTTGCTGATACCATCAACTACACAGCAAAAAAAGAAACATCAAGTCATTTTCAGTACAAGTTTTGCATCAAAAGGCTTATACCGTCTATACCTTGCGTTCTTGTTTTCGAATTTGAGCTTTAACGACATCAGCGGAAATTTCAGCCAAAACAGTTTGTAGCTCCTGCAAATATACATCACATTTGTCAATTATTAACATTCCTCATCCTCACCTCTTTTCTCTACTGATCCTTGAGCTTTTTCTTCTTCTCACTTTTCTAATTGTTGCAACAAAAGCTTTCCGACTTGCAATTTCCATCTATCACATCAATATCAGTATAAAAAAAAACTACCCCAATCCCATTTGTTTGCTCTCTCTTGTACCGCATCAATGTGCTCAAACTTGACTCGATTGGTCTCCACCATAATAATAGTGTCCTCCAAGAACTTGACAGACTCGATTGCAGTAGTTATAGCTTCCTCAATCTCTGTGTCAATCAAAAGTCCGTATCAAAATGATTGCAACATATACACTATTTATTTTTGCAATTATTGCAATACGTACGATATGTTAAAGCTGGTAACTCTATTGAGTCTTTAACGTTCAATACGGTGCGCCATTTTGCGTGTTTATGGTTTACATCGGATACTTTACTCTCTAATTCACTATCAATACAAACAATTAAAGCGTTAAAACGAGTAAAACAATTCTGCAGACTTCAAGAAAATAGCCGCACTCTTTAAACACGTAAAATGGGTCTCCACTGGCTGCTGCCATGGACAGCTCCTTCTTCATTTCTATCGTCTCTTCTTTGATTAAATATCTGCTTTTTTGATGTGCAATTTTTCGTACTTTGGGACGCAAAATGGGAAAATTTAGGGTTTATATCATGGGTTTGACAGAAATATAGAATTGGTAGACGTATTTGTAGACGTCGTACGGATAATGCTAGTATACCTACCAAAATCTGGGTATTATGTCTTTTTACAGGGCAATGTATACCCCATGACCAATTTTGTATACGCTGTCTACCACTCTAAACGCCTGTGTATGCTTCGTCTACTTTGCTTTGTGGTACTACTGTTATTCTGGGTCATTTGAGAGAAAAGCCAATCTTTTTGGTCTCTCTTTTGGGGACTATCTGCTCAGATGCGACGACTCCTTGATTGGTGTAGTTTCGAATATGTATAATTTGCAAAATACTTTGACCAAACTTCCTAAGAAGCTTAAGAACAACATCGGCCAAGTGACGAAGGCCTATAAAGAGCCGGCATAGTAATCCTTTTACCGTAAGCGGGATGCCCCCATCATGGGGCCAAGGTTGAATGCGAGAATCCTTCTCTACGATGCGTGCGAACCCAACGAGAGCAATAGGCACGAAGGCCCGAGATGTGAGGTACCGTGGATTCATATTGCATAAAGGCTTCAAGTCGTACGTTCTACGCTTCAGGGCCTTGGTCCATATTGTAGTCGATGTGTTCGATCCCAACCAACTCTGTAAGATGATTCAGCGCGATTCGTTGAGCCTTAGAGAGGTGAAAGAGGCTCTGCATCCATAAAGCGGGTCAGTCTTTGACAATTAAATGTAGGAGTGACTACAGCAGATCACATGAAGTTGAGGGGTATCCGATTTTGCCGAATAGTGATATATCACAAATGCGAGGATTGCATCGTGTCAGGACGTACCATGTGTTTGATACATATTAGTTCTCATATCGAGCAGTAAAGTACAAGCCGATGAGGGATTGTGTCTCTACGAAGCACGTTGTGCGCTGGTTATTTGAGCTTTACTTAGCTTATAGCTCGTTGACAAACGAGTCGCTTGCTAGTTCCTTAAAACGGGTCGACTCTTTTAGTCGTTGTCTCAAACTTCCTTGAAATACGTGGCTTTAAGCCGTAAACAGATGTTTAGACGATACGTCGTCCAATAGCAAAGTCTGCATATAATAATTACTATTATAGTAATTAATCTAGTGTAGTGTACTTAAAGTAGGACTATTCATAATATCTTAAAGCATAAATAAAATCAGTTCTCATTTTGAGTTTACGATCGCAAGTCGTTCTGACTTGTTTTCTTGTGCACTTCGTGCGTTGGTTCTCTAAACCTTTGAGCATCTAGCTTGTTTTTGCACTCTGTGCGTTGGTTCTCTGAACCTTAAGCCTATTGCTTGCAGACTAAAAGTCTCTTTCCTCGTTCCTTAGAACAGGGTGACTTTCAGTCGTTTAATTAGTTCTAAGGAACTAATTAAACGACTGAAAGTCACCTAAGGAACTAAGTGGCTTTTAGCCGTCAACTCTATTTAGTTTTATAGAACTAAGAGGCTTTCAGCCTAAAGTCTTCCTCTGTATAAAGAGCTGTGCAGCTCGGCTACAGACGGCCAACATTTTTTTTTCGTCGGGCAGTACTCAAGCACCACTTGATTGTCTTCCACCTTTCTGCGTACAAAGTGGTACCGAATGTCGATATGCTTACTCCGCTTGTGAAATTAGGGTTCTTGGCCATGCAGTCGAGGATTGGTTCTTCTAGTAGATCCTGACTGTTTCATCACTGGACATCTTGCCGAGCTCGCGCAGAAACACCTTCAGATATACTGCTTCTTGTATAGCCTCCGACAACCATGTACTCGGCTTCAGTAGACGATAGCGCACCGCCCTATATGTTATGATTCGCCAGCTGACGCATCCGGTATTCATCTTGAAAACGTGACCACTCGGACTCCGCCGTAGGTCGATGTAAACAGCCCAGTTGGAATCCGAATAACCTTAGAGGGAATCCATGCCGTCACGTGAAAACTCTAGTCCGTACAATGGCGTCGCATGAAGATATCGCAGCGGTTGAGGGATTGCCAGTGTTTTGATTAGGGATCAGCCGTGAAATGACCTAAAGCTCTCACTGCCGCATTGAGGTCCTGACGCGTCGCCACCATCAAGTGCATGATACTTCCAAGACATTTAGTAAGGCACGTTTTTTATCATGTATGTATGTTTGCATCCGACTTCGCACATTTTCTTGGTCAGATTGATTCTGGAATTTGCGGCCTCTTCACTGGCTTTCTGTCATATAGCCGAACTCCTTCACGACGGACGGTCTGCCGAACCGTTGCTTGAGCAGCTTCGTGATTATTTTTAATGTCCATACTAAGAATATACTTGAGCTTGACCGAAAAGACAATCTAGAACTGATCACTTATAAATTCCTTAGGCTTATTTGACTTAGTGTTTCTTCGTTGTTGTTTGCAATGATCAGTCTTCCACATACAGCACCATAAAGACCATTTGTGGCCATACTTTTGCAATGGTGACGCAGTGATCGGATTCACACTTGAAAATTCCCACATTGATCATGAAATTGTCGATCACGGGCCAGACTGGTTTATCTGTAACAGGGTATCTAGTTACACGTAAACATTAAGTAATATACTTAATGTTTGGTCTAAAAGTATCCATGATTACTTTTGACCTGTCACTTGGGTGCGATACACAAATGTGATCCACCCTCGTGAATGTGATATCCATTTATGGATTCACATAAGAAGGGATGACGCTAGTTGAAGCTAGGCATCACGACGTCTCAGAAGGACGTCAGTTGCGATCTTAAATCTCTAGATTTAAGATCATGCGACAGGATACGCTTCTAAAGAGTCGCGTATCCGATCTATATATATAGCCAATCAGTAGTTAAGCATATATTTAGTTATAATTAATTAAATATAGCTCAGTCTTGAATTTGCTAACACCAAAGCACCACGCACGAGAAGCTATAAAGCTTCTGCGTGACGTCGGTGCCTTCTTGTCTTAACAGTTCGTTGCACTCTCGCTTGAGCGAGAGGCAGCTGGTGGTACGACTGCTTAAGCAGTCGACCAACCTCCCAACCACCCTCGCACGCGAAGGTAAGACGGTATAACCGCTTCATCACTTGTGCATAAGGTGTGTGCTCGTAGTACGAAGCAACTTCGTAGAAGTGCCCGTCTACACTTGGTAGCACTCGTAGTCCTTCCCACGACCCGTCTCTCTGAGCGTGCGTGTGGTTTATATGGTCCTTAATATGGACTGGAGTGACTTTTCTCACCTCTCCCAACATCACAGGGAGTTGGCAGAGCATATGGCGCAGGGACTTGGTGAACAAGCCCTGGTCAATCTCTTGCATTGTCCTCCTGAGCAACATGTTGCTCAGTTGGAGCAATTTGGGGCGTTTGTGCTCGGACAGCGTAGAAACGCGTCCGAGGTAAACAGCCAAGACACGGCTGAATCCATCAATAAGACTCAGGATAAGCTTCGGCTTGAGCAGGCACGTAAGGAGGCGCTCAACAGAACTGTTGAGAAAGACTCATTCGGATGGACCCTCCGAAGCTCGATGGAACTAGCCTTCACACGATTTTCACTGGCTAATAGCAGTTGAGCAATGTGGAGTGGCGCAGCTCATCGAATACGACACCAGGATGGTGTCGTATGCCATGTCCAACTTGCGTGGCAAAGCGTCAGAGTGGGCATACTCTGCGCTGATGGCTAATGCTGATGCATTTCCATCATGGGCGATCTTTAAGTCAAAGATTCGTGCCATGTATCAGCCGCCTAACAACGAAGTGTTGCTTATGGCGCGCTTCTTTGGAGCACGACAGGCGAAACGCTCTCTGCAAGAGTTTGTGCAGGAGATGCGTTCGCTGTCGGCGTCCATCAATGGGGAACCGATACCAGAGCGTATCAAGGTAGCCACGTTCATGAATGGACTTAGGCACGGCCCATCGCGTCAGGCACTTTTCAGAAAGGTGCCAGCGACGATGGAAGAGGCAATTGACATTGCCTTAGTTGAGGAGCAATCCTACAACAGCGCCTCGGCGACAGCCTATTACAGGCCGTCGACCGAGAGGTCTGATGCCACTCCTATGGAGTTAGGCAATGCAGATGTGATCTGCTACAAGTGCGGCAAGCGAGGCCATATGATGGCTCGCTGCTATGCCAAAGTAGCTGCTGGTGCTAAGGTAGCCAGCAAAAGGTCTCCCAACCCGAAGGGAGGTGCGAAAAACCAGCGTGCACGACGCACGGGTTCAGCACCTGCCCAAGATGGGTCGGGAAATGCGGGAGAGAAGTAGGGGCGGGATGCCCTACTGTCGCGGACTCTGAAGCTACCTCTAAGTTCAGAGTGATCGAACAAATGGGTAGCATAGTCCCTGAGGTTCCGAAAGGTCGGACCTCAACCCTTTTGGTATATAGCGCTCGAGTACGAGGCTATGACCAAGTGATGATCCTTCTCGTTGATTTGGGGTGCATCACAATATTTTGTGAAACTCGTGGCTCTGAAAAGGAGACCGGCGAGTTATGAGTCGCTTTGCCAGGATGGCAAGCGAGAAGAGGCGATCGTCCGTTTAGCGAGAGGCGCGCTCGTTAAATCGGAGGGAGTTCAAGTTGAACTCACCTTCAGTTTCAGTGACTTCTCTTGTAAAGAGAAGTTCACAGTGCTAGGTATGGAGAGTCCGTATGACCTCATCCTAGGCATGCCTTGGTTGGCTAAACACCAACCATGGATAGACTGGCGTACACGCACAGTCGCTAGCTCTACGCAAGACACCGGAAAGGATGTGCTCTTGCGAGAAGCTTATGTGGCTGATGCTGTGTCCAACACAGTCGAGGGTGCGATGACGGTATGTCAATCGACACCAGGAACTACCCAGCTCGAAAGGAGTGGTGTAGTTGGAAGTGCACTGGCGGAAAACCAGGTGACACATATTCCTACCCAGGTCGAAGAGACTGGTGTAGTGAATGGGGCGATGACAGGTAGTCATGCGTTCAATAGTCC